CTCTCCCTGCACCGCTCTCCCTGCACCGCTCTCCCTGCACCGCTCTCTCCCTGCACCGCTCTCTCCCTGCACCGCTCTCTCCCTGCACCGCTCTCTCCCTGCACCGCTCTCCCTGCACCGCTCTCTCCCTGCACTACTCTCCCTGCACCGCTCTCTCCCTGCACCGCTCTCCCTGCACCGCTCTCTCCCTGCACTACTCTCCCTGCACCGCTCTCCCTGTTCTGCCATTTTTACTCTGCCATCTCTCTCTCTCACTGCTCTGCCATCTCGTCTCTGCTCTCTCGCTCTCTCTGTCTGTCTCTCTGCTCTCTCTCTCTCTCTCTGTCGTCTCTAACCCCTCGCTCTCTACCCTCCCCCTCCGCGGGAACCTATTCATCACTCCCCTAACCTTATCTTGTGTACGTCATATTAATAGTATGCTAATTGTAGCGGATTCAATATAGGGTATACAGCATCGGATAGGATCTGTTTAGCGTTAGATTTACAATATTGGTGTTGGTTCGTAATGCTGCGAGGATAAATTACGAGTACATTTGAAGTAATGTCCATCAAACATTTGAAAGCGTGTGAGCAAGCATGAAAATCATGAGAATAACAGGCTATAGAACTCGCTGATCTCATAGGATTTTTTTGTAGGAAGTGACGGTAGTTTAGTAGAAGAAATAGCGGAACTCATGTTCGAATAAAGTGTTTTTATTTATAAAAACAATAACCTAATTACCGCAGTAAGCTTTGGCAGTATGAAACTGTTGGTCAGAGTGTTATTGCATGGGCCATCATCATATGGTCATAATGAACTTCCTGCCGATACACAATACTGGTCGAATGATACATTTTTATGCCGGCATAAACTTGAAAATACAAAATCCTAATATTCATTGTAAGATATTGAACGGCATCTCGCTTCCCCGCGTCAGGTTGCAGTGGAGTAAATTTTGAACATCGTTCCTCTCCATTAAATTGACATGGCAGAAGCGAATGTTTCATTTATAACTTGCCATATGAAGTGATCACGACAGCTGTCACGATAAAGATTGGCTTTTATTTAGAAGAGCGACTTTCTGATCATATTTGAACTCGTAAAATAAACTTGTAAGAAAAGCAGCTATCCAGAAATTTCATTAATTAGTAATAATGTTTGGTAATTTCACTTATTTGTCATGATGTTCTTTTCGAAGGTAAGCAATGTTGGAATACACCGTATAAATATATTGTTCCAAGTGCGATGCGATCTCTGTTCTTTTACTTACAATAAAAATAATGGTCGGGCATACAATTAACTACAACGCCTAGAGCTGTGTAGTCGCACGATGTGTAATCCGTTCAATAATAACAAAGGACAATCGCAGCATTGCTTCCCATGAGTCATTTTCATATAGCTCTTTAGTGTTTGTGTCTTACTTTTATCTCTGAAATACATCAGTCTACGTGAAATAAATAAAGCTCGAGACGCATATGCAGATAATATTTTGTAGAATACAATATTAACGTTTTTTTTCAATACCCTTAAAGCCTTAATAGAATAGAATTCTGACTTTGTTCGTTTTTTTTTGTAATAAGCATTCAAGCGTCATAAAGAATTGACAGATTAAAATCATTAGACGTAAAGAATTACTAACTTTTGAACGGAGCATACGTTACAAATATGTCTTATTGTTAGAAAAATTATTCAAAATTCAACACGTCGCTGTCGGAGTTTGAACATCGTTCCCTGGCCGCTAGTCTCTGCGGTTTTTTCTATTACATGTTATGCGTGAATTAATTCGCTTTCACGCATTGTTTAATTTTTTGTTTCTCATATTCCTGGTGTAGAGCTGAGATCTCGCTGGTAAATGTGACTTGAATGTTATCGCTTAGTTTTTTTTACGAAACATTTCCCACAAAATCAAGTCCAAAGTCAACTTGGTAATAAAGAAGACAAAAGTATTACCCCAAATACCCGTCAAATTAAGCGCTGGCTGAGATCCTGACACTTACGCAGTCAACTTCACTCCCAAGCACAGTCACGAAAAAAGATTTCTCGGTCTGTCCGACGGTTTCTTGTGAGCGAGAGATTTTATATTATGTACGTTACGCAGAAGAAAGTATCGAAGAAAACAAAAAAGCATCTGTAATTTTACATAGAAGTTTGTTGCCATTTTCCTAAAGGCAAGCGATCTTCAATTATTATTTTGAATATTTGTATTAATTCACGTTTCATCCGTAGACGAAACTGTGTCAATCTAATTTACTATTTATTCCGTTTTATTTTACCTAAAAACGTAATTATTGGTTACGTTTAATCTATAGATACAGGAAGTCGCAATATTGCATTCATTGAGCAATATTCTGAGACGGTATATATATACTTATAGTAAACCTATACTGCAGGCTCAGGCAAGTCCTACACGATGATGGGCACGGATGACAACAAAGGCCTCATCCCGCGTCTCTGTGATGAACTCTTCGAACGCATCGCCCGCACGGACCACAACACGGGCTGCAAGGTCGAGGTCTCGTACATGGAACTCTACAATGAGAAGGTCAGTCTTGCTTGGTGTCCGTTATTAGGGTAGACTGTTGTAAGATCAATAATCTATTGCAAGGTCGAGGTCTCGTACATGGAACTCTACAATGAGAAGGTCAGTCTTGCTTGGTGTCCGTTATTAGGGTAGACTGTTGTAAGATCAATAATCTATTGCAAGGTCGAGGTCTCGTACATGGAACTCTACAATGAGAAGGTCAGTCTTGCTTGGTGTCCGTTGTTAGGGTAGACTGTTGTAAGATAAATAATCTATTATTGCTTGTGTCGAGGCTTCGAATAACGCTCAATTATAATTGCCTCTCACTCAAAACCGCGCTTACTCAATAGATGAGCGAGACTGTGTCCAAATATCGTTTTTGCCTTTTTGTGGGGCATCCTAAACCACTGTAGGCCTGTACAGAGGCTTGTCAGGGCTACCTGCAAAAAATGTCCATATTTGGACAACATGACGAAATCAGTATTCAACAAAAACGCGTGCAATGCTGTATATTCGTCAGAGCTTCTTCAACGCCCTATACCAAGCCCTTCTTTTTTGCTTCTTACTCGTCCCAAAACCGTGCACGTCCCACGGGGTTGTTCGTCGTCCCAAAATCGTACACGTCGTGCTGCGTCATTCGTTTAATCCTCATCTAGGGTCACCTGGATCCTATCAATCATTTGATATTTCATCCCCTAATTGCCATCCTGTCTTGCGTAGTTCGCACCTTACATGCATCGCCCAGTAACGCGGCATTCGGCCAAAAAATCGACATATTCGCGTTGATTCTACGCCTTTGACTAATTTTAGAAAATATAACTCAGTACTCACTGCAGTGAGTGACAGAGAGCGCATTTTCTCGTCGACGAAAACTTGAGGTCACGGACGGACGGACAGACGGACGGACAGACAGACAGACATGGCGAGCACAATAGTGCATTTTTTCCGTAAATGAGAAAATGCGCTAAAAACGGATTTCATATCGGTGCTTGGCAGAAAACCTTGCCCTATTGTCTCGAATTTGCTGTTGGAATTTCTGCCCAGAAGACGTAATAACCGCTGGACTAGAAGATGATGTGTCAGCGTAACCTTCGATCAGATTGCTGGGTCACATCCCCCGCCTCTTCGTATTGATTGGCTCGTCAAGGTTGCGTATAGCCGAGCTCTCTGTTGGCTCCAATGAGGCTGCAGCCAATATTTGGGTCTCAATATGTTTGTGCTATTGATGGTCAAGTTGATATCCTATTCCAGCCTAATGCTCGTCGCTCACAACAAATATTACGCCCATTTTCGCCCCAATCTGAAAAGGCATGGACAATGATAATGAGATTTATTAGAGTTGGATGACGTTGGATTATTCTAGGCCATTAATTCGGTTTCGAATGACATCGTAACTTTCTTGTGCTTTCTCATATGGCTAATTTGTAAAAATTTTGATGCCGAAATGATTGTAGTACTAGTATTTTAAATGTTTTATTCTTATTGATCAAGCGTTAGTTGGAATTACTTATGCATTGAAAAAAAGATTGGCGTATTAATGGATAAGGTCTAAATATATGGCCATTTTTCTCATAAGTTAATAAATTATCGAAGTTCTTGCAATGGTGAACATGTTTTGAGCACAACTTGTGCACGCTTGAGTTCGTGTCTTCGCTTCGTCTGGGAGAGTCTGACGGTAGTTTTGCGAAACCATACCGAAACCATGCACTCAATGCAGTGTAAATACTAAAACCCGGCACTGGATGCAGTGCGTACTGAAACATTCTGTGCGTCATGCAGGACTGCTGAGCGCGAGCTGAGTTGCAGTTCCGCCTATCTGAAACTTCATTTTTAATGAGAATCGCAACAAACTCTTGACTAAGGATGCTATTCTCGCCGCACAAACCCTGGCACGCATAGACTTTATTCACGCCACAATGCCGGGCTCATGCCAGACATATGCCAGTAGAAGCATTCACGCCATACTGCCGGGCTCATGCCAGACGTGCTAGTAGAAACATTCACACTAGACGTGGATGGCACTTGCCATGCCCATGCTGTGAATGCTTCCATGGAAATGCATTAAAGAATGTTAAACTGGACTGTTACCGGCATCTGCCTGGCACGTGCCCGGCAGTATTATGTGAATCAAGCCTTAAATAACTCTAAATAATAAGCTTGACCTGAAATGATACTAAAAGTGTTCATTGTGATTAGTGAGCTTGCTGTGCCAAATCGATGAAGCACTGCCATCAATGCGAACTGCCACAATAGTGACAGTTCGCCTGCACTGCCACAATAATGACTATGCGTCTGACGTTCCTCTGCCCCCCGGCAGCTGAACGACCTGCTGGACCCCAGCAGGGACAACCGCCAGCAGCTCAAGATCAGGGAGTTCAGCAAGGGCGGCATCGTCGTCAACGGCCTCAGCGCCCTCGCCGTCACCAGCTACGCCGTAAGACATTATTCCATTGTTTTTCCACTTTATTTTTTCTTCTTCTTTTTTTATTTGATGTAATTGTTTTATTTAGAAGAATTATATTGCATTAAGAAACTGACTAATTCATGTGGCATATCATTTTTTTTTTGCAGTGGAGCTGTAAATTAAAATGAATAAAACGTTGATTCTATGAGAATTCACCGTATTCGCTAATAACTAACTGTATTATCATAGTTTGCACCTTAGTTCAATATCTTATTCATGGTTACACGAAGACTTGTGAATGGCGTTGGTGTCTAAAATGCAGGCGCCGTTCTATCAGAAATTAAGTTCACGTATTTTGTCGAGCTGTAATTTGGCACAGCATAACATCTGAAAAATTGCTCGTTATCTTTTGCACCTGATCAATTGCTCGTGATGCATGCACCTGATAAGCTCGTGATGTGTGTGCGCAGGAGATCGAGCGGCTGATCATGGAGGGCAACGCGGCGCGCACGGTCGCCGCTACCAACATGAACGCCGAGAGCAGCCGCAGCCACGCCGTCTTCAACGTCGTCCTCACCCAGACCGTCCTCGACGTCGCTTCGGGGGTGTCTGGGGCCAAGGTACGGCTGGGGTGTCGGGAGCCAAGGTGTGTCGGGGGTGTTGGGGCCAAGGTACGGCAGGGGTGTCGGGGGACGTTAGAACGCCTGCATCCTCGCATACGGCCAGACCGGTAGGTGGTTAGGGGGCGTTAAAACGCCTGCATCCTCGCGTGTGGCCAGACTCTGCTAGTAGGAATGTACTCATCACAAATTACCGACTGCTACGGCACTTATTGAGTGTATATCAGTTGCTGGTATATCAAAGTGTATATCAGAGCATGAACAATATGGGTTCACAGCACGTATTGGAGAGAAATAGTTGATTAAGTTCCGATTATCCTAACCGATTTCCTGAGCAGGAAATCGGCTCACCACTAAAGTGTTCACTGCTGGTGGTGGTGGCTGGGATTGCTCTTGTAGAAAGGAATCATTAAGAATTCAAATCAGGAGGCGGGTATTGCCGGTCCCAACTGAGCCATGAACGACCGAATAGATAAGAACTTCTGGGGAACTATCAAGACCTGCGCTCTGTAGGGAGCAGCTTCATCCTTCACAGCCTGCATGGTGTTTTTGTCAGGCTATAAGTTGCAGACCGCTGCCTTGTGTAATCACGGTGTGTGTGCTCGTTCACAGTGCAGTTACTGCTGCACAGTACAGTAGAGTGCTGCACCTGTCTCTTATACACATCTAGATGTGTATAAGAGACAGGCCGTACCTTGACCCCCGACACCCCTGCCGTACCTTGGCCCCTGTCTCTTATACACATCTAGATGTGTATAAGAGACAGGGCCAAGGTATGGCAGGGGTGTCGAGGGCCAAGGTACGGCAGGGGTGTCGAGGGCCAAGGTACGGCAGGAGTGTCGGGGGCCAAATTATGTCAAAGGGGCTAAAGTATGTCAGAGGTGTCGGGGCGAATGTATGTCGGAGGTGTCGATATATAAATGACGGGTTTTTTAAAAAGCTTGGTTGGGTCGCGGATTGTAATATTAATCATTATAACAGAGGCTCGTGTTGATGATAAAATTAATAAATAGCATAGTGGTATTGATCTTAAAGATGACGATTATTGATTACAGGTGTCTAAGTTATCATTGGTTGACCTGGCGGGTTCTGAGCGAGCCAGCAAGACGGGGGCTGTGGGGGAGCGGCTGCGTGAAGGCTCCAACATCAACAAGTGAGTCGCTGTCCTCTTACTTAACTTTGTATGTTAATATTATTGTAGTGATATTCCTATATTTGTTGCTGTTGTCTCCCGCTTGTGCTTTTGGATAATTTCGTTCAGTTTAGAAATGATATTTAATTATAATTAGTTTTGCAACCCAAAAAATGTAACGTGCCTTTTTGGTTTACATTTAAAAGAAGCGCAACAAAATGGTTTTATATGTTCCCGGGGTAAGAAAAAATACTTGGGGTCTTATTTATTCTAAGATATGTAGCGAATTGTTTGATTCATGAGTTCTAGCTAAACTCTCTCATGACTGAGTCATTCTGTTGCCAAACTGTAAAGAAATCTAAATTCAATTACATGGAATTCTACATAACAATTTCATACTGGAGAGATATTGACACCCTCCCTGCAACATGCTTGTTTTGTTTACGTTCCGTGACCGCGACCTCTGTCTTATGCAGGTCTCTGTCTACCTTGGGGCTGGTGATCTCCAAGCTCGCTGAGCAGGACAGCTTCGTGCCCTACAGAGACTCTCAGCTCACCATGCTGCTCAAGGTGAATTGTGTAATCAAGGCCTTGCAATGCTTCTTCCTTTGTAGGTGTCCAGCCCAATTGGACAGAAGTTTATATTACACCATAATGTTGTAATCACTAATATCTTTCTGAAGTTTCAAGGCCTCTAATTTTACGTTACTTCTGTTTTTGTGGCAATAACAGTTATAGGCTGCGTGAAGCGTAGTAATTGTACAAGCTCGTCGAAAAAAATTGGAGGTATTCAAAAGTTACTCTATTTTTTTAAGAGAAAACAATCCACTATGGACTTCGGCCAGGATGCAACTACCATTTTATAAGAAACAATTTTGTAATTTTGTAATCCCAAATCATATCGACCCATCTCCAACCTGTCGATTTTGTCGAAACTCCTGGAAGACGGTGTAGCCCGACAGCTGAACTACCATCTTCAGCAGTCCGGTCTCATGCCTCGCCTCCAGTCTAAATACCGTCTTCTCCCCTCGACGGAAACTGCTGTGCTGAAGGTACTTTCAGATATTCTGCGAGTAGTAGACTGCGGCGACATTGCGATACTGGATTGACTCGACCTGTCGTCTGCGTTTGACACGGTCGACTACGCAACTTTATTGCGTCGACTTGACGTATCATTCGGCCTGCAAGGCATAGTGCTGCGGTGGTTCGAGTCCTATCTCAGCAATAGATTCCAATGCGTTCGACGCCGGAATTCTGCCAGAGGAATCAGTTCTCGGCCCGATCTCGACTCTACCTGTTAGATACTATAGACGTATTGCACATGATTGATTCCCATAGTTTGAATCCGCATATGTTCGCCAACGACGCCCAAATTTATGGCTACTGTGCACCGGCTGACGCCGCAGCGTTGCACGAACAGATGTCTGTCTGCATGGACGCTGTCTCAGACTGGATGCGCTCCAAGCGTCTCCAGCTCAATGCATCTAAAACCGAATTTATTTGGTTTGCGACTGCTCGGCGACGGCATCAGCCAACCCTGTTCGCGCGGGCAACGAGTTAGTCATGCCTGCGTCTTCGGTTCACAACCTGGGCATTCTGCTTTACTCAGAACTTTCTATGAACAAACACATTGTCTAACTCTAAGTCATCACCGCTTGTTTGGCGCTCTGCGATGAATACGTAGCATCAGCCGCGGTCTTTCGCGGCCTGTCCTCGAGACCCTCAAGTGGCGATCGTTGTTCTGACCAGATAGGACTGTGGTTATGCCACACTCCATAGACTTCTGACCACGGCACTTAATAAACTGCAAACCGTAATGAACGCGACTGTGCCAGTCGTGTGCAATAAACGAAAATTCAACCACGTGACGCCGATATTGTGCGATCTTCAGTGGCTGCGCATGCAGCAACAGCGCACGAAAGTCACGGTCGCTGTTCTGACGTTCATATGTTTTCTCGTTCTGTCTCCCCCTTTTCTCACGGAATGTCAGCAGCGCGTGTTGGATCTGCCTTCCAGCAGACGACTGTGTTCGTCATCAACAGCGAACCTCGTCGTTCCATTTACACGTCTATCTACCGTCGACGACAGAGCATTACCAGTCGCCGTCGGCTTCCGTAACCTCGGCTCGTTCGTTGCAGGTTTTTCGTCGACGGCTAAAGACGGAACTATTTTGTAGAGCCTATGAATCAAGTGCTTAGACATTTCTATCCGTCCTCATCCTTTCTGGTGTCAATGATTTTTTGCTTACTATTAAACTTGTGTGTAACGTGCCCTCGACGTTCGTTTGAGCCAGACTCCATGATAACTGCTTTTTAGATTAATAATAATAATCCATGTGGAATTGACGTTTACAGGATAACCTTGGCGGCAATAGCAAGACAGTGATGGTGGCAACCATCTCGCCCTCTTCCGACAACTACGAAGAGACGCTCTCGACTCTGCGCTACGCCAACCAGGCCAAGAGGATCGTCAACAACGCCGTCGTCAACGAGGACCAGAACGCCAAGCTTATTAGGGAGCTCAGGGAGGAGGTGGACAGTCTCAAGGGGCAGCTGCAGGCAAGTGGCTCAGGGAGGAGGTGGACAGTCTCAAGGGGCAGCTGCAGGCAAGTGGCCTGCTGCCAGCGGTAGTTGCTGGGCAGTAACAAGCTGTACTGAGAAACCTCTCTCTTTAGCCGGTATTTAGTGACTTAATCCTACATAAAATGCTGGGTTGCATAATCTAGTGTGATTTCTAATTTCTTCATTATCATTTGATATTCTACTCATTCAAGTTGCACCCTTTTTGATTGTTAATCCTGTCGTCTCTCTTCACCGTATTGCTACAATTATTGCTATTGTAAAGATGCGCCTTATCTCTGATAACGCCCGGTGGTCAATCCACTTCACACATGCTGTTACCAAGACCTAGTCTATCCGAGTAAACTTTATGGTATCGTGTCAGTTTTGTGTAGAGTATGCGAAGTAAATAATCTATCTCACATTAGGCTCTCAATAAATTGTTGTTTTGGGTTCAGACGCTGCAGAAGCTGCACAAGGATGGCTCGGCGTCCATCCAGGAGGCGTCCCTCAACGCCAAGCTGCACGAGTCGGAGAAACTCATCACGAACCTGTCGCAGACATGGGAGGATAAACTTAAGGCCACGGGTCAGTGGACTTTGTGAATATTAATATTCTCTACTTAAAATATTACTCTACTGACGCCGACATAGGATGAATCAAAAGCCACAGGTCAGTAGGCTTTATGTGCCGTGTGATGTTTCCCATAAGAATATTGAGGCCACTGTGTATTTAGTATCGAGAAGTGATACTCGTACTATTTTTGCCAAAAGTTATCGAGTTCCTTTATAGAACAAGGTCAATTCTCAATGAGTAGGTTATGTGCTTGAAAACATTTATTAAAAATAATTTTTCGCTCTAACGAAGGTTTTTTAATCCATTTGTCAAATGTCATATTTACAGATAACATCATCGTTGCAGCCTCCTATAACGACGTAAAAATGTCCGCTTTTCAATCATTTTGTTTGTGTGAGGGCGAGTAGCAATATCGATGACAAATCAAATCGCAACAACGTACCAAGAATGGATAGTTTGTGCCGTGAATGCTACATTTCAAGTAGTAGGCTAGTTTGTGCCGTGAATTACCCCTGCAAAAGCAGTAACGCATCCGTAGTTAAGATGTTGACTGTGTATGTTAACGTTAGTGAAGCAAGAGCGCCTATGAAATGTAGTTGATGCCATGATCATTACAGAGCGGGTGCAGCAGGAGCGACAGCAGGCGCTGGAGAAGATGGGCATCAGCGTGCAGACGTCGGGCATCAGTGTGGAGAAGGACAAATATTACCTCGTGAACCTCAATGCTGATCCTTCACTTAACGAGATGCTCGTCTACTATCTCAAGGTGAACTCTTTACTTCATTTGTCCAAGAGAAGCGTGGTGTACGACGTTTCTAGTTCTTTATTGCAAATACGGATACATTTGTGTTCGTAATCAAACTACTCTCACTGCAAATGAATAGATGAATATGTTTAATGTGTGAGTGTGTTCAATATAGGTTTATATGGGATGCCGAATGGAATTCTGGAATGTTGAAAAGAAATCTTCTGCTTTGTGAGGTTCAAAACAGCAAGCATCAGTAGAGTAAAATGATCCGTTTTTGTGTATCGCCCGAGCAACGGAGATCAGCTTGGGCGCAACAATTTCTGTATATAAACCTCCGTGTGTTTGTAGGAGGCCTCCCTGATGGCTCGTTTTTATTGCGCCTTAATAACGTGCTCCGGTACACAGGACCAGTCGAGCGTGGGCAGACCGGGCGTTGCGGGCAACGACATCCAGCTGGGGGGCGTGGGCATCTCTGCGCGTCACTGCGTCTTCACCATCGAGGACAACGAGCTTTTCCTCGACCCCATGCCCGACGCCAAGAACTGCGTCAACGGCGTCCAGGTTAGTTGAACTAGAGCTCTTCCTTGACCCCATGCCCGACGCCAAGAACTGCGTCAACGGCGTCCAGGCTAGTTGAACTAGAGCTCTTCCTTGACCCGATGTTGGGTGCAATCTTCTAATGACTCATAATCAACGCTTGTTATGCATTCAGGCATTCAGGCATGTAGAAGACAAGCTTGTACAGTCATAAATAGTGGCTGTAATTTTTTTATAGGTAAGCGTTATTTTCTTCCTGTCTTCAGTTCAGTTTTTCATTTATTTTAGTTTTTCTAAGCATTATTGCTCCCCATTAAACTCGCATACAGTCTCTCTAACTTTGCATGTATTGACCGAAAAAAAGACTTTTGTGACTTCTCACTCCCTGCCTCCCTGCCAGATCGTGGAGAAGACGAAGCTGCGCAACGGCGACAGGGTTGTGTGGGGCTTCAACTATTACTTCAGAGTGAACTGCCCGCGCTCTACAGGTCCGTTTTATCTGTTCCCTTAATTGTATTTGTTGACGTTCGTGTGGTGGAAGTCTGGCGCTGGAATTATGTAGGGGCTCTTAGGGCGCGTATCCAGGATAATTATCGTATCTGGATATGACCTGGACTTGAAAATGCAATCTTTGTGGAAAAAAAGTCAGAAAAAGTGGGAGAAGAGGCGAGACAGTTTATTACACCCGCTTAATATGAAGCGTAAATAAAACATAAGTTCTCTTAGTAATTAACGTTTTTGATCCGAATGCACCTTTGAACCTCACGTTGACATACAGTTCTGACATCTGTTGATTACGCGTCTGTCTAGCATTCCTCTGTTGATCACACCTCTGTTGATCACACCTCTGTTGATCACACCTCTGTTGATCACACCTCTGTTGACATCACTCTCAGTAATACCTGTTGACCACGATCATGCAGGGGTGATGTCTGAGCCGCAGACACCGGCGCAGGCTATCGACTACCACTTCGCGCGGGAGGAGCTCATGCTGCACGAGCTCAGTAACGACCCCATCCAGGCTGCCATCCAGAGCCTCGAGCGCCAGCACGAGGAGGACAAACAGAGCAAGTTATTTTTTCTCTTCTGACAATATATGAGGAAAGATCTTATTTATTTACTGAGACGTGTTACAAGTTCATCTTCCTGTTTGGAGATGAATGAGAGAAGTTCTAGTCTATTTTCAGAGATATGTGATAGATAGGATAGATTTAACGTCATTGTGAATATTCCAATCTATCTTACTCGTTAATAAACATGTGAAAAAGATCTCACTCGTTCTATGAATTAATTAGCCACATAATTGGGCTCTTATTTCGCCTCCTCGGATCATTCACAAATTCATTGCTGAAGCCCTGGTTAGTATTACCCCTCTAAGGGTAAGACAAACGGTACTTTTCTCATGCTATTTATCATCAGCCGAAGCCATCCCGCAAGTCAAAGGCTTTGACCAAACTCGTGCCATTAGTCTGTCCCGCAAGTCGCTCTAATGCTCGCCAAAGTCAACGCGGTACCCGCGACCTTCTCATCCTCCTGCAGGAATTAGATACCAGCAGCCACGGTCCTCAGATGTCCCTTTGTGTAGGTCGCGTCGCTAAATGTGTTTATGTGCCGTGCAGTGGCGCTGGAGAAACAGCGTCAGGAATACGAGCGTCAGTTCCAGCAGCTACGCAGCATCATGTCCCCCACCACCCCCTATGCCCCCTACGCTCTGCCCCCTCACGCTCCCTACGCCCCCTCTGCGTACGACCTCGTCAGGAGCAACAAGATGACCCCCAGCACCCCCACCTCCCAACACCGCATCGACAGATGGGCGCATGAGCGGTGAGTGGCGTGTGAGTGGTGCATGAGCGGTGAGTGGCTTGTGAGTGGTGCATGAGAGGCGAGTGGCGTGTGAGTGGTGCATGAGCGGTGAGTGGCATGTGAGTGGCGCATGTGAGGCGAGTGGCGTGTGAGTGGTGCATGAGAGGGGAGCGGCGCGTGAGTGGTGAGTGGTGCATGAGAGGTGTGTATCTTCCTCAGTTTAATTTCCTCTTTTCAATCAGTATTATTACAGTAACGTGCCTTTTGATACAACGTGTTATCCAAAGTATCATAATATCCCCGTTGATATGCTGTCTGAAATATTCTCACATTTCGGCGTGACCAAAATTCGATCATGGTTTCTAATCTGGGTTTGCAGAGAGAACATATTCCGGCACAGCCTAGCGCGTCTGCGTCAGGACATCATGACGGCTAACAACCTGGTGCAGCAAGCCAACTTCCTCGCCAACGAACTCAAGAAGAACACCAAATTTGAGGTCACGCTGCAGATCCCTCCTGAGAACCTCTCCCCCAACAGGAAGAAAAGCTCCTTCGTCAGCGAGCCTGCCATCCGCGTCAAGCGGCGAGGCAAACCAAGCCAGGTCAATAACAAACCAAATCTGAATACTTATAAAATATATAAATATAAATGAAAAATACACAAATATATGAAATCAGTTTGAAATTACATGCATGTTTCAAGTGTGTTCTGCTTATTTACGAGTGCAATGAAGGAGGTGATAATGTACGCTACGTGTTGAATTGTTCAAGTATATTTTCTCTCATTTCTGTTCTGAAATTTCAACAATCTGTTTTTGATTAATGTCGTAAAGTTTCATCTCATGAGCTCAGAATCTTCACCTCTCTCAGGTTGAACAGCTCATTTATTCATGCTTTAGTATTGTTCCTATCCTTGTAATGAGCATCATTCTAGAAGAAGCTTCTCTTTATCAAGCATACGTATGTCTATTTAAAAAAAAATTAATTTTTGCAATTTATTCACACGCATGTGCTGTGCACGCGCAGGTTTGGTCTTTGGAGAAGCTGGAGCACAAGCTTATCCTCATGCGCGAGCTACACGAGGACGCCCAGAACTGTAACAACGCCCCCAACATCAACAACAACAACAACAATGACACCCGCTCCTTGAAGAACGACAACACAAAGCTAGGCAGCCCTGAGCCCGAACCTGACCCCTTCTACGACAGCCAGGAGACCCACAATCTCGTGGGCGTGGCCAACATCTTCCTCGAGTGTTTGTTCAGCGACGTGCGTCTCAGCTACCACGTGCCTATCATCTCCCAGCAGGCTGAGGTCGCAGGCAGGCTGCAGGTGATCTATTGGTCTTGACTTGGTCGCAAGTTTTGATTTGCAGCTTTTGGGCTACTGGGGCCGTACTATTAAAACTCGCAGGAGTACACGTATCGTCCTAAGTACACGTACCTATCGTCCTAAGTACACATATCGTCCTAAGTACATGCAACGTGTCGTCCTAAGTACACGTAGCGTCTGATTTTTCTTCTGTGATTGGTAGGTTTAGCTTGAAAAGCTGTCAGGGATAGGCTGACGAAGGTAGTAGCTCGTAACTATTTGTGATCAGCATGGCCACAAATGTCATGTTTTCATACAGCGCTTACCTGACATGAAGCTTCTCACACAAAGGCAGCGCGCTCTGGCCAGGGCCCTTGTTGTCGATGGACTGCCACTTTGTAGGCTCGCTGTAGGGGATATATTACGATAAAGTACGGACGTAAAGGCATACACTTGTAAACGAGTAATAACTTTAAAATATGAAAATAAATTTATTTATTTATTACTGCCATCGAAGGAGTAGTAAAACATGTGTAGACTGACTTGCACATTATTTCCTTCTGTAAACGCTGTGAATGCAGTAGCTGTGGTGCATGTCATAAGCAGTGTATGCCATCGATATTTTTTGCCCAAGTTTGAAGATCTGTGATGTCAGATACACGCTGTGCAACGATACGTACCTGCGTATCGAGTATAGTAAGATACATATAACATTAAATAAATCGTAGGTACAGTAGTAGGTAGGTAAGTTTTGCTTGAAATAATATCAATTTATAGGCCTTGAAAGTGTCAATTTACCCTCCTGTGTGGCAGGTGGAAATAAGTCGAGTGGCTGGACACTTCCCCGCCGAGCGCATTGCTGACACTCAGTCTGACACTTCCTCCAACGACGCTGACGCTGACGAGTCCTGCAGCGCTGCTGACGTCGATAATGCTGTCACCATCAGGGTTAGTCAGCGCGATACTATTGTCACTTCAGGCTTCCTCCTTTTTGCTTCGAAGACATAATATAAATTTGGCTACTTTTATACCTCAATTTTGCCACGTTTACGTCGTGGGCCGAGAGAATGGTTGCAACCTATACTGCCGTTCGGTTGTGTAGGGTCGGGCAAAAGGGCTGAGATGCACCCGCTGGCACCATGTGCTTCGGAGCGCCTGCACTACCTCCTCTTTATTGGTCTTCGAACCTCGGTCCTGCCTACATTATTCTTGTCTTCCTTTTCGCGAGGCTTTCTTTTTTCTCACCGCTTTCTTCCCTTCTCCCTCCTCGTCTCCCCCCCCCCCCGTCGCTATGTTGACGCAGCTGCCGAATCTTTTCTCCAGTTTTTCAAATTCTAATGCAAAGTATATAAAGTGGCCGACAAATCCTGCAACGTAATAGCGTTTTAATTTTTATTAACATTTATCTATCTGTCCCTATAGCCCCTTAACTCTAGTTAGCTCACATGTTACCGTGGGACAATTTTAGGCACCCAATGTTAGTAGGTTTATGATGGCAATAAATAGCAACAATATAAGGCGTTATAACCTAGTGCATATTTGAGTCATTACAAAAGGACGAGACTGAGGAAATTTTGAAAAGTGGTTGTACTAACTCATTGATGGCGTGTTGCAGGTGAGCATCCGTCAGGCCAGCGGGCTGCCTCCGTCGCTGTCAAACTTCGTGTTCTGCCAGTACCAAATGTTCGGTCAGCAGGAGCCACAAGTGGTGGCCCCCATCGTGGACCAGGAGTACCCTGCCATGCCCAGCAAACAGGGCGAGAGCCTCACGTTCAAGGTGCGTCATTCTGATGGAGGCCTCACGTTCAAGGTGCGTCATTCTGATGCAAGCCTCACGTTCAAGGTGCGTCATTCTGATGCAAGCCTCACGTTCAAGGTGCGTCATTCTGATGCAGGCCTTGCATCAGAATTAATCTTGTGAATCTATATTAACGTTTCTTGTTATTTTGGCATCAAATATATGTGCTAAACGCTGGAGTAAATTCATTGCCAATTTTTCAATGTAAAAACGTGCATTTCTTTTCAGTGATCAAGATATTTGTTAGCTAACTTTGAAATATCGCAAATGAAAACGACCGGAATGTTGAAGATTGCACATGGTTTTTCTTGTGAACAGTTCGACCACACGAAGGACTACCGCATCCCTGTGACCGAAGACTTCCTGGAGCTGTGCGTGGACGGCGCGCTGTCCTTCGAGGTGTGGGGCCACCGCTCCGCTGGCTTCGCGGTCACCCAGCCGGGCTGGGAGCTCGACCATCAGCTGGCCAAGGCTCGATCTCTGGCAGACAGGTGCGGGGTTAAAGCTTGCATTATATTACAGCTGGGATGATGCTCATTTATTGCAGGTCACGTAATACTCGTAAAATATTCCGGGTGGGGAAAAATATCTTAAGTTCAGGTAATACTCGTATGATATGACATGTGGGTAATACACGTTCCAAGGTCACTACTGCCATGCATAGTCGAGTGAGTGTGCATGAGTCAAGTATTACTTCTCATCTACGCAAGTCTTGAAAATTGTAGCTAGAATTAATGTCTTGCTCAATAAGTTAGAAGGTGGGGAACGCTCTTACCCTCCAGGGTAAGTGTTTAGCACCGTTATCCTAGTCAGCGAACTTGAGAGAAGTTACTTAAGAACTCGCACAAAACTTTATCTCCTGGCCGCACTCGTGTTTTTTTCCAGGGTCATATGATGTTTGGCCTTGCACAAGATGTAAAGCACATGTGTAATTACGTATATTCCAAAGCACGTATTCTATTATATATCTTGTGTGTGACTAAAGCGTGGTCAAAAAGCCTGGTACAGCACTCATTGTTTACCCAACTGAGCTGCGTGCGGAAAAATTCCTTTGCAAAATCAGCTTTTTAGGGAGGAACTTACTTCATTTAATGGGAAAAAATTAAATTTTCATCTTATTTGTGATGCGCCATGAGTGCTAAAGGATGAGTTGGGTGGCAGGTGGAGCGAGCTGACGCGTAAGGTGGAGCTGTGGGTGGAGGTGCAGGAGCTGGGTGACGGGGGCAGCTACGAGAGCGTGGAGGTGGTGCCCCAGAAGGACGTGCTCACCGGGGGCGTGTATCAGCTGCGGCAAGGCCAGCAGCGGCGCATCGTCTGTAAAGTCAAACCCGTGCCCAACTCGGGCACCTTGCCCATAATATGTCAGGTTAGCAAATGTTGTCTCGGCATTCTCATGTTTTTAGCGCATTTTCGCATTTATGGAAAAAAGGCGCTATTGTGCTCGTCATGTCCGTCCGTCGTCCGTCCGTCTGTCTGTTTGTCCGTCCGTGATTTCACGTTTTCGTCTACGAGAAAATGCGCTCTCTGTCACTCACTGCAGTGAGTACCGAGTTTTTTCTTGTTTGTGCTATTATTTTGCCCTGGTTTGGCCTGTTAACAATAACGGTAAGCCGTGCTATTTTCATGTAACTTATGCTATTATTATTGGGCAATCATTATTTAATAAAATGCATTATTTGTTCACATCTCTAACTTGTATGATAAAATAAATGTTGCCGCGTTATTCTAATATGTATTATATTGCTGCTCAGAGCATCACGAGCATATCCATCGGGTCAGTGAGCGTGCGTCTCAAGATCCAGCGGCAGCTCGACTCCTACTCCGAGGAGGACCTCAAGGTGCTCAAGGAGAACTGGAACAAAGCCTTACTGCGGAGAAGAACATATCTTCAGCAACAGGTAAGTTCTCCTCAAATTTATTGGGATTGTTCCCCGTTTGTTGTTCAGGGAGATGTTCAGGAGGTGGTGAGTTATTCCCTCCTTCGCACTCAGGACATGGATTGGTCATATTAATTAAATTAGTTGCATACTTCCTGCGTAGAAATAATTCCCACTTTTGTTGGGCCAAAATGGGTCAGGATGACCCACAAGAGGACATTTTTCTGCTCATCTCGCTCATTTTTCTGAGTCCAAGCCTGAATTTTTTTTTTATCGGTGGAATGACGAAAGAGGAGGTCATCGAGCGTATTATCTTTTAATCAATTTCTTGAGGTGAATTTTCAGTAGTTGCAATCACTTGACTTTTGTAATTGATTGTGAAGAAGACGAATTTCCAATTTGAATAATTATTGGTATGAAATGGCAAACTTTTTTTTAGTGCCCTCGTTGTCTTTTAAGTACGATAATCTCCTCAACATCTCCTTCATGGCGCTTATAAACAATATAATTCTGTTCCTTTTCTGCCGTAGCTGCAAAAAGTAATGAGCAAGTGTGGCGTGGAGCAGAGCAGCCTGGAGCAGGAGCGTGAGCAGTCATTGGTGGAGCAGTGGGTGTCGCTCACAGAGGAGCAGAACGCTGTCCACCTCCCGCCCCCTGGCAGCAACATCCCTGGAGCTCCTGCCGACTGGACGCCGCCCATCGGCAAGGAAGCGCACATTCCTGTCATTTTCTTGAACCTGAACGGTGCGTTCCAACAGTCCTGCCATTAAGCAAATAACTGTCCTACAATCATTTGATATCTAATTTATACATACACAGTCATTTGATATATAATTTATACATATAGTCATTTGATAGTATTATGAACAAATATTCTTAAATTTATTTTCATGTTGTTGCCTAAAAAATTTCCCGCCATACAACTTATCCTATCAACATTTCTATTTCAATTTATGAACAAAAGATGTAAAGCCTCGTTAAATTGTAATCGTAAGAATTGTGTATTATGTATTGACCGTCTTCTCTAAGTGTCCAAAGTAATCATTTAATTTACAACGCTAAATAATATGCAACATGCCTGTACAACTGCATAGCCTAAACTTCAAACGAGAGTAACGAACTTCCTCAGTGGCTCGTCAACAATCAACTGATCTTTCATGACCACAGATTGATTTCCAATAGCAATCTACTGATTTCCGATGACAATTGACTGATTCCCAGAGGAAGTCGATTGATTTCCCATATGACCATACTCCAATGATTTGATTTCCCATGGCAATTGACAATTTTTAATGGATAATGACTGATTTTAATGGCAAGCGACTGATTTCCAATGACAATCGACTGATTTCCAATGGCAACCGACTCATTTTAATGGCAATCGACTGATTTCCAATGGCAACCGACAGATTTTAATGGCAATCGACTGATTTCCAATGGCAACCAACAGATTTTAATGGCAATCGACTGATTTCCAATGGCAACCGACTGATTCTAATAGCAATCGACTGATTTCTCAGGCGAGGACTTCTCCTCACAAAACAACGGCGAGTTCCCGGCGATGGCCGGCACGAACGCCATCATCCCGAAGGAGATAAGCAACAAGTTCTTCCCGCTGCCCATCGTGGACCAGTACAGCGACGAGGTCTGCACCGTCGCCTCCTGGGACTCGTCCATACACAACAACCCGCTGCTCAACCGCGTTACTGCTGGTCAGGCCCTGCTGCATTATGGTTCCCTGCTAGATTAAGGCTTGGTTGCCACTAATGTGCCTGCTAGATCAAGGCTTAGTTGCCACTAATGTGCCTGCTAGATTAAGGCTTAGTTGACACTAATGTGCCTGCTAGCTGTCTCTTATACACATCTAGATGTGTATAAGAGACAGGATTAAGGCTTAGTTGACACTAATGTGCCTGCTAGATTAAGGCTTAGTTGCCACTAATGTGCCTGCTAGATTAAGGCTTAGTTGCCACTAATGTGCCTGTTAGACTAAGGCTTAATTAGCACTAGTGTGCCTGCTAGTTCAAGGCTAAGTTTACACTAATGTGCCTGCTAGATTAAGGCCTAACTTCCAGTGATATGTCTTCTAAATCGGAGACTGCCAAACTCATTGTGCCATTTATTTCTAGAGCTAAATATTAGTCCATCTGTCTTTCCGGATCTTCTTTGTCCTTGTATTAGTATTCAGCTTGCATAGTAGACCAGAAAACTGAGAGCTTACGGGCCATTTGAGGAATGTGCCTGAATAAGCTTGTGCAATTAAGTAGGCATGAAAGTAAAATAGTTTGTGTATACACTTCATCAAGACATAATGTGCCTACTGCCTTTATTAACCGGACTCGTGCAGAAATTGTCGAGTTGATGCTGTTCTATATTTTACTTGATATTTTATATTCTGAAAGTGAAATAAAATTCATTCAACTTATCGAAAGCAATTTAACTACTTCATCATATCATTTTCTAAAATGGTTATAGAAATCAAAATTCTCAGCCATAACCTTGCCACCGGAGATAAAGTACACCTTGGTATATTGACACAGGAATAGGTAGAAATTACATAGTTATTCAATTTCACTTTAGCCATAATTTGTCATGAATAGATATTTTATATGCTACGAACAACCATTCCACTTACCACGAGCCACTAGTTCACTTGCCATGACTCGCATTGCCACTCACCACATCTCACACTACCGTTCCTCACGACTCTCAATGTTACTCATCACTACTGACACGTCTACTCACCCCAAGTCACACGTCTACTCACCCTTAGTCACACGTCTTCTCACCCCTAGTAACACGTCTACTCACCCCTAGTCACACGTCTACTCATCCCTAGTCATACGTCTACTCACCCCTAGTCACCCTGCCACTCACCTCAACTCACACTACCACTCCTCACGACTCTTCACTTTTACAACTAAAGACACGTCTACTCACCCCTAGTCACACTACCACTCACCACATCTCACACTACCACTCATCACATCTCACACTACCACTCACCACATCTCACACTACCACTCACCACATCTCACACTACCACTCACCACATCTCACACTACCACTCACTTGTTCGTGCAGCGGACGAGCGCGTGTATCTTATCGTGAAGTGCGTAGTGCGTCTGTCTCACCCGGTCACCATGGACGTGCTGCTGCGTAAGAGGATCTGCGTCAACATCTACAAGAAGCAGAGCCTCACCACCAAGTTCATGCGCTCCCTCATTGGCTCTGGCAATTCCTTCTTCGAAACTGCTGTTATATATGAAATTGTCTCAAATATTCCAAAGGTTAATCCTATTCAACAACAGCCTTTCTCTATGTGTTTATTTTATACTGCCACAAAGTTTGCTGTGCTTTCTCTCTGGACAAAATGAAATTCTTAGCATTAATCAGAAAGCATCCCAATTGTTGACTATTGTATATGTTCTCCATTGGTTTAAGAACGAACTATATTCATTCTGGTTCTCTCACTCACTCACAGTATAGATAAATGTTCTGATGTTTTGGCACTTCTACTCTGCTCAGCAAGGTATCAAGCGCACTGTATCTACTTATATTCAAGTTCTAATATTTATGTGAGGTTCATTTAACAGGCAAGCGAGGAGCTTGAGGAACGCGAGAGTCTGGCCCAGATGGCGGCCAACGAGCACGACAGCAACACAGATGACGGCGACACCTACATCGGTGAGGACTCAATGACCTGCAACTTCTGCCTTGTAGTACGAGTCTACGAGACTCAGTTACCTTATAAATCGGAAACTTTTTTTCATATCCATGCCCATTGTCCAAGATTGCTAATATGGCTTCAACATCGTGTAATGTTGCCGCCAGTTCCTTGAGATGGGTATTTATGACGCCTTGCAGCTCTTGGTTGGTGCGGAATTCTTGTTCTTCCAGCCGCTTTTTCAGTTCAGGAAACGAATGGCCGGCTATCGATCTATCGATGCCTTATCGTTACTGTATGTAGGATGATCAAAATGTTCTACTGTGACCCGTCAAGCAGAGCTTTTGTTACACCCGCACGGCGAGGACGAGCATCGAGAGACTTCCACTCAGTTTTCTCAACTGAAGAAATGGCTGCACGAACAAGACTTCGTTACCGACCTAAAGTTTCACGACGCCTCAGCCGCACTAACGTGATGTTGTCATTAGAGTGTGCGCCCCTTAGGCTGTGTTCACACCATACTGCCGAATACCTGTCAGGCATATGACTGTCACTGTCCAGTCCAATATTCTTTAGTGCATTTCCATAGACGCATTCACATCATGGTCATGGCAGCTGCCATGCGCGGCTGGTGTGAATGTTTCTATGGAAATGCATAAAAGAATATTGGACTGGACCGTGACTGGCATATGCCTGGCGCGTGCCAGGCAGTATGGTGTGATCCTGGCCTTAACGCTCTCCTAAGTTGCGCTAATTGCGTATTTGTCTTGATGTTGCCACAGAGAAGTACACGAAGGGCGTGACGTCCGTAGAAAGCATCCTGTTGCTGGACAGGCTGCGGCAGAGCGTCGCCGTAAAGGAACTCCTGCAGTCGGCTGGTCGTCCTCTCATGCGTAAAACTGCGAGCGTTCCTAACTTCTCGAACGTAAGTCATGTCAAGCCTCTTGTTCACGTATTACCAGAGATTCAAGTAGAGAACAAATTGCGTGTCGTTTACCCTTCGTGGAAGCAAAATTCAAATGAACAACCAACTTCCAAGAAAATCGTGAATGGAGACTCATTATTTCCGAAGTCTTATATGAATACGTGCCCTGAGTTTAATCAATTTTTTATTCACTTCGAATGCATCTTCAGGCTTCCTACATTTGTTACCGATAAGTGCGGAAAATTTTATCTCCTCGTCAGTTCCGAAGTATGAAGCAAATATAATTCGTTTCGTTGAGGAGAAGCAAAAGCCCTCGTAGGCTTTGGTGCGAATGACTGCATTTCAGAATCACACACTGAACTGCTCCCTGTTATCTGCCTGATGCATTCACAACTTGCTTCCCTCTATTTGCACCGTCTCTCGAACGCTTCTCACGGATTTTATCACGTTTCTATCTCTCCAATAACTTGGTTGGTGCAATATTTACTTAATATTATTCTCGTTATTATTGCGTGTTGCTTTGGACCTTTCGCTTTTTTATATCTCGCTTGCTTCTCCACAGCTCTGGTCCAGTTCTTGTTTTCTGGCAATCAATTTTATAGGCAGTTTTGCATTAGTCAACCACCAACTCAACGAACTCGCACTGGTTCAGCGAAATTAAACTTGAATTATTTCTTCACTGAAAACTAATCGCGTTGTAATCTTGTGACATTTAGATTGAAGAAATGTAAGGCGTAGGCGTACTAGGTAGCGCCATGCTTCATCACCGCTACTTATACGACTGAAATTTGAATAGAACTTCATAAATGTAAATATTCCTTTTATAGTCACTTAGTTAATTAAATAGCCTAGTCTCTAGTTATTTCTTGGTCCCAGTACCCTGAGAATTTTTGAATAAAGCTAGAACCTACATCGAATCTTGAGTAGAAGTTGGTGAGAGACATCATGTTTTGAAGTTTGTGTGGCAGTTGTTTTTTTAAATACAATTCACTGGAGTAGACGTGAATTTTTCAGCTGCAGAAGCGACTTCGGACTAACTTAGAGGTAGCGTGGCCATGTCGTACTAATCATAGCGTCCATAGCTGTAGTGTGCGCTGCTAACATGCCTTCTTCGTAATTATTCCTTCTGTTATCTTCTTCTTTTGGCTGTTCCGCATTTAAATATTGAGTCTTCTTCTGATCTTCTCTTCACCAAAGTTCAAATTAAATCAATATGTATTAGTGTGTTACTTAGCATTGCTTGCCTTTATAAAATCAAAGAATTCCGTAAGCGCTGCGTCGGAACAGCATTTACATTCGTAAAACCTGTTTTCCTTGCACTGAGGAAGATCAGCCGTCGGCTTGTGCTTTCATCAACAATATTTAAATTTTATCGGCTGCTTGCTCATCTGTATCTCCATTCAGCCACTTATAATTTCAAAGCTACGGGAATCATTACTCAATACTTTCAATGGCGCATAAATTTTCAATTTCTTCATCATGAAGTGTCGGGATGGATGAGCAGTGGTATCGGTCATGCACTTATTCCTGGTAGCTCCTGTACCATGAGTTCCTGACTGAATTTTACTTTTCTTGAAAACACGCGCCCAAACTATTTGTTGCCCTTTACTCATGTGCGAATTCTAGTAACTTTAACTCATGTACGAAGTCAGTTACCGTCACCGACTGTACTCTGCATGGTCTGTGCTGTGAGCTTTAACGGGACTTTTTGTCGTTTTCAATTGATTCCCTTTAATTTATGATAGAACACTTTCTAGCTGGCCTCATTTAAATAATTTTCTTGCGATTTGCAGCAGCCATCCAAGCAGAAATCGCATTGAACGCACTTTTTTGTTTGTAGCATGTGGAGTAATAACTGCTTTGTGAAAGATGTGTTGTAATTATGTGCTTGTAATTTTTACCCTATACATTTCTGCGTACTATAAACGAGATGAGAAAAATCTAAATCTTTTTGTGGTGTTGGTTCTTATTTTTTCGGTGTGACTGGTCGCTCTGTGCTGTATCAGAACAGCAGTAGCAGAAGTTTCGTAAACTGACTTCTGAAAGCTTTTGGAATTATGGAACGCAATATATGCATGAATTAACATTTTCTAGCACTTTTTTTGCATGTTATTTGTCTTACTTACTCCTATTTTTCTTGTGCTGTCAGATATTTATTAGCATTTTCGTTGTGATTGTCCTGCCACAGACGAATTAGTACCTGTGTGGTTCTGCAGTTGCGTCATTTGTTCTAAGGTCCCTGGTTAGTTAGCAGAGTAATGAAACGCTTGCTGAGAGCCTGAGGACGATCATTTATGTATACCTCGATTGTTACGTAGAAACCAATGTCAGTAGACGCGATAAGCCGTCGTCCTGCATGATTAACATAAACTTACCGACGTTGATAACATTTAGGGAGAACTAAATATTTTCTTGATTATTTTCATGGAGTGAACGAGTCTTCGCATGGTAGCTATACTCCGAGACTCGCGTTGGCATGGCAAGTCTTCTTTGACGAAGATCTTTGTTTTCAGAGTTTTTGAAACTCTGAAATTATAAATACCATAGGCATTTTATTAGTCAGGAGTGTGTACAGTTTGAGGAAAGGGTTAAATATTTAATGTTCATGTTTCAAAAGAAGTGAAAAACTCGGTTGAAGTAATTATTTTAGTGTACATCACCGTTAGTGAGCCAACACATATGTATAGTAATCTTGTTAAAATGTATTTGATCTCCGTTTCCGTTGTCTTACGGAACGAATAACGTTACTTAAAAGCTCAAACGACTAAATTCTAAATCCACAATCAACTTATACATCTTTTTTACAATTATTTTTAATTTCGTCTGGTCTGAATTTTGTTGACGAATAGCCCTCCGTTTGTTGCGTATCAAAGCGTCTCCTTACTGTACTCTTTTATTCTACGATTCACACTCATTCTCCTGATTTTATTTAATGACTCTTTCCCTTCGAAAAATTAGTAACCAGTTTCTCGTGGTTGCAGCTTTTCGGGAGCGTCGAAGGAGACCTGAACATTAGCGGCGCCATGCCTCGCTCAGGAAGCTTCATGGACATGAACGGAGCTGCCCTTCAGTCCAACAATAACAGCAACAACAACGGAGCCAACACTCCATGTGACAAACCCAAGCATCGCTACTCCCTACCCAGTCCCAGCGAGCGTCCGTATGGGCTCTGTGAGTGACTGTTATGATCTCTTTCTTATTTTTGGTTCTTATATTCATGTCTTAATTTAATTGTCAAGCTTTAATTCAGGTTAAGGCTTTAATCATGAGTTGTCAATTTGAATTATTCATCATGAAATTATTATATCATAATTATTAATTCTTACTATTAGGAATACCGTAATTTTATCACTCGTTATCACTGCCTAATCTATTCGGTGGTGCAGGAATGTATATGCAACCATCGCCATAAAAGACCAGATTATACTCTTAAGAAAAATGTGTGAAATATCTGTTGACGCTCACGTGAGAAACTTGCAATAGTTTAATGTAACATACATTTTAACTTGGAGTATTCCAGGTTCTTACCTTTTTTGTTTGTTTGTCCTAAAGAATTCTACATTTTTCTCGACACGTTCTCGTGTTATCTTAACGTTTTCTGTGCCTTTCTTAATATGTGTTTGGTTTCCTTTAACAATTTTTCGGTTTATCCTAACGCTTTAATTCTGAGTTTCACGTTATACGTTTTCGGTTTTTGTTTCATCTTCTAGGTCTCTTGATAGGTTATCGGTTTCTTTTTACATGTTCTCGATTTTTCTTGACATTTTTTCGGTTTTTAACAGGATCTTGGCAACTTTTAACACAAGTTTACGTGTACTTTTAACATGATCTCGGTTTGTATTAACAAATTTTCGATTTCCCTTACACGCTGAAGCCCGGCCGACTTTCCTCAACTTGAGTTTGAACTTGAATTCGCTACGTCACCAGGGAACCGGCAGTGCCAAGTGTGCGTTGTAGAGAGTCTCTGCATTATAGTGCAGCTGGCCGCATGTCCTCGCTACACGTATTTTTTTCTGCTGTACTATGATGTTTTTCCCGCATGTTCCTTCACTCTACTCAATTTACGAATACAGATGTCAATTTCTTACTTCATGCACGAAGATTTCTTGGTCAAATATTTCCTTTTCTGGTCTTCAAGTGTAATGCAACCAGTTTATTTTTATCACGCATTATTGCGTTTTTTTCCTCGCGGAGTTCGCTTTTTCGATAAATATTATACTTTTGTCCTGCTAAAGATTTTGGTCTCTATCAGCTCACCCGCTGGCACCTATACTAATTTTTGCTTGCTAACGTCAACATTTTCCATAGTTGCATGCCCCGGCTTTTTTCAATCGTAAGAAAATAGGAACATCGTGACTGGTTTTGTTCGAGCAAACTGATGAATAAATTATGGTTCGCCCCAAAAAAACGTGTGTCGGGCAGATTTATGATTAAAGCGAAAAGCAAAATTGTTAGGCGAAAATAGCCTGCATGCCGAATTTAAGATCTCTAGAACAATCAGAAGTGGGCTAATTTTCGTTGTCAATGTTAACAACAAACAAAAAACAAACAAACAAACAAACGCGAAGCTAAGCTAAGAAAAACGTGTTAAAAACTAGATATAATGCGTCTCTTCCTCCTTTATTTAAGCATCGCAGTCACGAATTATCTGCTACAATGAAGTACCTTCCCAGGTATTGCTTTTTTCTTTTTATTCATTAGCGTTATGGGTATCGCTATTCTCATTTATTCATGATTCCGCTTAACATTTCTGACTTTGCTCTTTAAAGTAACTTGAAGGTCTGTGATGCATTAACTTGATGTATTGATGGATGTTGCATGATTATAGATTGCAAAAGAAATATCGTATCGTTTAATAACAATTATTGTTTCATTATTTTGTAGTCTCTCGAGGGAAGTCCATCCCATTAATGCCCTACAGACCTTATATTAAAAATCATCTCGGATATTAACACATCTCTGAATAAATTCTTTACATTCAAGAACGAAGTAAAAGCCGAAATTTTGCGTTTCGACTTCATGCTATCATATTTCCAACGAGTATTTGCAGTTTCAAAATTTTGACAGTCGTCGTCGTAGAGAAATTGTATCGGGATTTCAAGCCTTCAAATCTCAATAGCCAATTGATCATAACTTGAGTGTTTATTCCAGTCGAGAATACTCATAAAGTTAGGGAAATACAGGATGTACAGAGAAAAAAGTTTCTATGGGAAATGTCTAGTAAGGCGATCGTCAAGTTTCGCAATATTAGCCATATTGTGCTCGATGTTTAGATATATATTGAAACGTTGACGTTTGTTATCTATCATTGTTATCGTCATTGTTACCTATTCGTAATGTGCTCGATGTTTAGCTATATATTGAAACGTTGACGTTTGTTATGTCATTGTTATCTGTCATTGTTATCTACGATTGTTATCTGTCATTGTTATCTACCACTGTTATCTATCATTGTTATTTGTCATTGTTATCTATCATTCTTATTTGTCATTGCTCTCCATCGTTGTTATCTATCATCGTTGTTATCCATCATTGTTGTGTATTGTACAGCCTCGCCGAGTCCAGGCCCCGTCAAGATGGCCCCCCGCATGACGACCGTCCTGGAGGAGTGCCACCCCCGCCCCCTCATGCAGCACCCTGAGGAGGACGAGGACGATGGTGGCTCTGGGGACGTGGTGAGTTCAGCACCAAGCTCTTCGTCAGCCTACCATTGAAATAAGGATATAATGCGTTGATTTTGTTAATATATTTTATTTATTATCGTCAATATAACTAATTTTGATGATGACCACTTTTAAAAACCAAAAGAATGATCCTGAATTTGAACAATTAGAAGACCGACTGTGCACACAAGACCGGATAGACTTTAATAGAAGTATTAAAAAATTCAAAAGAATTTTTTATATATCTCCAAGAGTTGGCAATAAAAAATTCTTTATAATATTAAGTTTGTTATAAGCATGTTTAAATATCGGAGTATTTCATCAGGACTCGGAAGTTGTATCTCGCGGCGCTGCAGCTGCGAGGTCCCTGCACAGGTCCCGCCTCAGCCACAGCCGCACGCTTGACTCCCTCCAAGACGTGTCCCTCACAGCGCCCTCTGCCAAGAGCGGCACACCTTCCACCCTCAGCAGGTTATTTCTTATAGTACAGTATAATAGTCTCAGCGTCATAAAATGGTAGGTATGGCTTAGTAAAGTGTCGACAAAGTAGAAAAGTTATGGCTAAGTTATTCAACCTTCTATTCAACCTTATGGCTAGTTATTCCACCTTCTAAGCTTTACTCGCAGGTTTCGAGTAGACGACCATCACAATTGATTCCTGTGTTTGTTTTATTTAAGGTTGATATTCGCATTGTACTTCCTTCTGGCGAAATTTCATTTAAATATTATTCAGGAATATCCAGAATCATTTTTATTTTCATTGTGCAAGCCTTGTTTCTCTTTGTCAGCTGCTGCGAATTGAAGACATCTCAACATTGATTTACTGCTGGCTTGTTTCAGTAGAACACTCCCTTGTCCTCTTCCCTTGTCCTTCAATTCGTCCAATTATTTCAACTCAACTAGATATGATTGAAAACTCTTACGGTAGAAAAAGGCTAATTGCGCTATTTTCCAAGTCTCATGGATAATCATGTAGAAAGTACATTCATATAATGTTAGATTTTCATGGTATAACTTCTCACAGCTGAACAATGTAGGTATTGAAAATACAGCCATATTTGCCATCTTCTATATCAATCATATTAATCTTGTAACAAGTTGTTATAGAAAACCTTATTAAATACGCTTGATTTCTCCACAATCGACGGACGGTCGGTGCGTTTGAGTTGAAGAATAGAACAGCCCAGATTGGTGACGTGATGCTACCTCTACCGTGGCTTGAGAGCCTCAACTTGAACCGTTTTCTCGTTGTAGGTACAGACACTATTTATACCGACAAGAAATGCAGTTCCCGTAATCGATGCATTATTAAGCCTATTGTGTTGATAATGTTGAGCTCGTGACAGTGGCTATGGAAGCGGCGCTGTCTCGTCTAGCACGCTGAGCGACGACAGCTTGTCGGTGCGCAGCTCCCCCGACCTCGCGACCTCCCCCGCTGCCCTCAACTCTTCTACTGCCGCCAACTCTGACGGGCTCTCTATTTATAGGTACGCTCGTCTCCTTATTTGACAGAAGTAGCAATATTATTAGGTGGTATAAATGTACCTAAGCTCCCATCCCTTCATTTTACCTTTCTTTGGTGTCCTAATAGAATATAAATTTTTAGATTCTGCTTAATGACAAACTGCAAATGAATATTGTGGCGAAAATGATTTGAAATATCTTCGATTGCAGTTTTTCTTAAATGAAAAAATCCTAACCTCTGCCTGTCGCCTATTTAGTTTAACGAATATTTTTATTCTCATTTTCGTCGCGATTTAACATTTCAGTTCTGGAGAGAGCGACTCGAGCGACACGAAGACTGTGGTGCAGACAGACTCCACATCTTTGCTGAACATCGCAGAGCCTTCATGCGACTTTAGCGCTGTCCAGTCGAGTCCTCGGCATCTCGTAGCCGTGGTCACTGCAAGTCATCCTCTGGCACCCGAAGCCACGGCATCCAGCCATCCTCTGGCATCTGACGCCACGGCAGCTAGCCATTCTCTGGCACCCAACGCCACGGCAGCTAGCCATCCTCTAGTCGACGAATCGAAAAATAAAAGTGATCCAGCACCAGTTGGTCTCGCCTCTAATGAGGATATCATTCCGTCCTCCATGTTATTATCGGCAACAGCGCGAGTGGATGAGCGTAGCTCAGACTCCAGCCATGTTGAAGAGATGGAGAACTCCTGCCATGATATTTGTGATGACAATCACAACACTGACGTGCGAGGCAACGACTCACTCACAAGCTCAGGGTACTCGGATGGCAGCGGCCTCAACGTGCCTGAGAAGGCCTGCTCAGCGCTGAGTCTGATGCACGCCTCCGCGCCGCCTGGTCTCGATGTTTTTAGTGGCAGTTTAGAGAGCCATGGTCTAACGTCGAGTGAGACCAGCCTCAACGATGGTAATGTTATTCCTACGTCTGAGTCTATGGATGAAACCGAGTTCTTGAGCTTGACTCGTAGTTCTACTTGCCTGAGTTCTGCTTCGTCTTCGTCGTCGCTGTCTAATTACTCAACATCGACCACGTCGCGATCATCAGGTCAGAGCAGCTCGTCGGCAGTCGTCCATCGGAAAAAATCCCTATCCAAAAATAATGGCAAGAACTCGCTGCACCGAATGTCATTCCCTCTAGCTCAGCAGTCGAAGACTTCATATGAAAATGGTAAACTACTTCCGATTCAAGTTTCTTGTTACTAATTTCCATGATAATATACCACCTTTGTTTTTTGAATGACGAAATAAAAAACAAGGAAAACCACGGATGCACCCCTTTCGATTGGCAGGAGTTCCCTTAGAAGAAGTTGAACAATTTCTATTGATAAACCTGAAGATTACTCACTTGAATGCCAGGTTTATAATTAATGAAATATGAAATTCTAATTAATTATGATACGACTAAATTACCTAGCATACTTGGGCTACTCTTTTTTCATTTATGTTTACCTAGAACATGGTTTTCAATTTTATATATTTGCAGGCGAGGACGGCAGAGACGCATCAGGACTGCCGCACTGGTGCCGCGTAGGCGAGAGCGTACGCATCAGGCCTTATGACTACACCGGCGTCATAGCGTTTCTGGGCATGACGCACTTCAGTAAAGGAGCCGTCACTGCCGGCATTATTCTTGACTGTCCCATGGGTATGTTTTATGTCTAGAATTTCTGTTTTCATTGTGGCCACAATTACGCGACGAGTTCATATCATTGCTTGAACTTTTCCAGTTCACTTTTTCGTTAGGACATTAAATCGTGCTTTTTTGCCGTAAGATGAAGGCCTTGTTAATATTTATGCCGTAACCCCAGTACTTCTTCTCGACAAAACCTCTGGACCCGCTCACGTTTTTGCCACAACCTCGAGACCAGTTCCTTTCTTGCCTTGTTTCTTCGACTCAACTAGAACTGGACATAATTTGAAGTTTAAACTTGAACTGAACTTTGCTGTTTATTATAAGATTGATTCATCTTTCCTTTTGACCAAGTTGGATTTTGCGGTAAGCCTTGAACTGCAATTTATATATGGTCACTTGAAATTTAACGTGAGCTTCATTTCGTTAGGTAGGAAAATACAATTATTTCTTTATTAAAGATGCTAAGCAGACCTGAGGATTATTGCTTATTTTATGATACTTTGCAGGTAAGAATGATGGCAGCGTCGAGGGTGAGAGGTACTTCAAATGTGCACCCAAATTTGGGTTGTTTGTGCGACCTGACAAACTGCACATCGACCGCAAGGGCCGCGCCATGAGGTCCGCTCTCGACGGAGGAGGCCTCAAGTCCTCCACAGACTCGGTTACCTCACCCCCCGCGTCCCTTGGCGCACCTTCGTCCATGCGGCGATCCAAGTCCACAGCAGAGAAGCTCTCGGATTCTTCCCTGAAACGTCTCTCCATTAAAAGTAAAAGCCCACTATTACCGTCAGAAAGTTAATGAAGGCATACCTAGCTTCCATAGACCCTTTTCGTTCAGTCGTTGACATAAAGTTATGCCTTGCCTTCTGAACTCTGACTTTTATCAGAAAGATCATGTTTACATTCTTTTCAATCATCAAGAGCCGCGCGTAGTTTTCTTGTTATTAATAATTATCGGCGAACGCAGAGGGTCTTTAGCGGCAACGCCTCTTGTCATTGTGCGCTGCTACTCGTATTGTGCATGGCCTGTGATGCTCGTAAATGCGCTATCTTAATTACTTAAGTCTTGACATTAGTGAATCCTTAGCATAATCCCCATGAGGCGTCATACATTCCAACTTCGAATTTTTTATGATTTCGCCGAGTCTCTTATGTTGGTCAGCATGGAACAACCTTTAATATTTATTTTGTAGATCAGTTCCGGATCTCTATCGCCAAGCCTCATTTCGTGTTTTTTAATAGAACAGTTTTAATTGACGTGTTTTTCTAGTCTTCGGTAATAAATATTTCATCGTGTTGTGATTTATCTCCATGTAAGAACATGACATTTTAAACCTGTTCCTTTTACGCACGGTTTTTGGCTATGATAATCACATATTTTTTATTTTGCACTCAAAAGCGTCCGTCAAGACGAAACATTTTTGCCGTCTGCCCGAAAACTGTACGAAGTTAGTGAACATCGTATTTTACTTTTAAATCCAGAAAGCAGATTAGTAATTAAAGTTAATTAATTTGCTATGATTTCTTTTACTGGTCAAAGTTATGAATGATCTTGAATTTGTGCTTAGCAACTAGCGCTGGCAGAACTGAATTGGTGCTACCATCATCCTCAGTCTTAAGTTCTTCGAATTAATTGACGCTTAGCCAAGTCTTGTAAGTTGTTGAAATATGTGATTTTATGTAGCCAATTTTTTACTGGTCTATTTCAAATGAAGCGCTTGCCCTTATTTATTATGTGTGTGTACATAACTGACATGCTCAAGTATGCCTACGTCATTGCTGATGGTTCTTATGCATTTAACATTCATAAGATACATGAACCATGAGCTTAAACAAGAGTTTATATGTAGTAGAAATGCCTCATTCCTTGATTTCTGAAGGAATTCAAATTGAATGAAGCAAGTCTTGGTCAGAATCCTGCACTACGTTGATGATTATTCTCTATGTGTATACTGAAAACAGAATCCTCTTAAGCGAGTACGTTATAAACTGGCTTTATAAATGTTTGACATTTCACTCGAGAGAAACTTGAAATCGCTCTGCGTTCTCTTTACTTCTAGGATCTGTTACCTCACGAAAAATAATCAAGAATAAATTATATTATCACTGGTAAAGGTTCTGATTGATGTCAATTATCCATATTTGAAATATTCATAGAATGCTTCCGGCCGAGAGTAGTTACCAACACCGATCGCAGTTCTATTACTCGATATCGCTTGAATGTAGGTGTGATGTACAATAATGTTAATGAGGTGTGGCCGTCTAATATCATCGCTAAGGTGTACTTAACTAAACACCGACATCAACCTAACTTGTTCTTGCCCGACAATGTACCAGTATGATTTATTAGTTTTTAAACCCGCTATTGCCTCTTTACATCGTACAAACCAATTCTCAAGTCGGCGACATTTTTTGTTAATTAAAATAAGATTTTTAACACCTCATGACATTAAGTGCAAAACCCTTTGAGGAGAACTGTACTCTCAAATTAATCTCTTGAACTGTCAATATCTTGAACTTACGATGTCTGTGCGGGATATAATTTCAAACAATTGTGAGATTTAGTTACTGCAACCCATCTCTTCCTCCGATGCAAGCAGTCTGTGACCTCTGAATAGTTCCTTGCCTTGGTATACACGTGTCAGTAACTGCACCAAGTTTATCACTTGTTTCACATAGAAAAATTATTACATTTCTGTCTGACGATCAATGATTTACTTACCTAAAGATTTCTGTGGGCATTTAATGGAAATTCTATTCTTTAATCAATGTTATGGTCTGTTAAAATTGTTGTGATTGGTCATGCTAATGAAATAATTTCGTCATCTATAATTAAAAAATTATTTTTTTTACTAAATGAACCTGTACATCTTATCTGCATTTATTGAACACACCAAAGTTTCATTTAGGTTTTGTCCTTGTGTGTCGATGGAAATTGCTAGAGCTCACAGGAGTCATGAAACTGGGTGCATTAATTATTTCTATGTAATCATGGGTGCACAGCCGTGCTCCATCAATTTTGAATGAAACTCCTACCTTCTTCCCTGTGAGGCCGCCTATTAGCCGCGGATAGAACCTGCCGCCAGTAACCAGCCGACAACATTTTTGTTTTATATATCACGAGCTTTACTCCCTCAAATACGGGAGCGAACAGCCCACAGTGTAAGACAGTACAACCAAAAATAACAACACTAAAATAACAACACTAAAGCAAAGCATCACTTCAGGCTCGTACTGTGTACCTAGAGTGCGACGTACTGTAACCTATCTGCCAAGCTCTTCGGACGAGTTTGAAGCTGCGTTATTGGAAGATGGGATCTTATTAGTTCATTGATTGATGGATGGTGTTGGTTTCTGGCACGCTACTCTTGATCAATGCTCCTAGTGAAATAGTTCGCTTCTCCAATTTTGGACAAATCAGAAGATGGAAGCTTCTACAACTTCAGAATATTCTGAAACTATACCGGGTAATTTTATTATTGTTGTTTACGTTATGAAGGACGGAATTAACTTTATCCCGATGCATCGAATATAACTTGCGGTGTGCGGTGTAAGCTCCGCCAACCTGTACCAGCCGCCGTCCCCGCCAGCTGCTCTAGAAGGTATGTTTACTTCTCATGCATGTTGAAGTTTTTATCAGCTTATTTTTAAACCTGCTTCATTATTTTGCGTTTATCTTCAGTTTGAGTTATCCTTGTAGATAATTGTTCTCTTGAGAGTTGACCGTTGATGCTATTTTTAGATAGCTAGATTCATGAATCGGCGTGACGATTGCTGGCACTTCTTGGTGTCAGGGGGAAATTTTAGTCCTCGTAATATTGCCATCATAGTTGAATTAACAGTGTGGAGATAAAACTCAGTGTATCTAGAGTTCTACCGCATATGTATCAATGAAATATTCAATTATTTCTTAAGATTTTCTCGAGCATCATCATTAATTAACCAGTTTTGTGTACTTTTTTTCCAACACTGATGATTAATAATTTTGATTATTATTATTATTCAACTCTAATTATGGGTATAAAGTTGAGAATGCCCAATTGTGGATTTCCCGAGTGTGTGTGCAAGACGTAACGGTCTTGAGCAGACGACGCCGCCTCCCTGATGCGGCGCTCAGCGAGCAGAAGCGAGGAGCTGAGCGCCGCCGCGCCAACGCGACACCAGCGCTCTCTGTCGCGTCGCAGGAAATAAAGCCTGAAAACCGAACCGGAAATTCCTGGGGGTTAAAGAACTGCGCCTCGAGAAATGATCAAAACTTCACCCTGGCATTGGTGAGCAACCAATATCTAATTTATCTCCTGAACTGCAAGATGTGTTTACAACTTTCGTGAAACGCGCTTTGAAAGTATTTCTCGAAATTTCATCATGGTACACATACTTCCAAAGATTTCGGGTAGATACTAAGAAAGATCACCTCACGGTGCGTGATCTGCCTAGTGCGCAGCTTAGTTAACTTGCATGCGATTTAGTGGAGTGATACGAGTCGTGCGCTCTATCTTCCTAAATCCACTAAATTAATAACTTCTGAATTTGATTACTATTGCTTACCTTGGATCACGGATTACACAATAAAATTGAGGTTACGAGAACCACGGGAGAAAATTCATTGTTTGCGTCCCGTGTGGTCACGGTAATGCTCAGCAGGTTCATACGATGAAAGTCGACGTTTGTGTAAGCGTCTTGCGTCTCTGCTATGTACGAAGAACATAAATTTGAACGTTTGAACTAAAAAGAGAATCCTTAAAGCTCGATGTATACCATAAATCACGCTTCTAAATTGTCAACAATGGCTGCTGACTCATCCAGTTCGGTTGTTGTGCTTATCGTGTGACTGAGGCCAGACAGAAAATTACTTGCCGAGTCGTTAATTTACCAGAATAACCAGCCATTTCTCAGATAAATAACTTGTTTTATGTGAAACATAAACTTTATGATCTCAAGAACTTTTCAAAAGATCCCCCCTCCCCCTGTCTTATATTACGACACAATGCCTTCGCCCTCGATGCGAGAAAACTTTTCTAACGACATTTCCCTAAACTGCCAAATTCAGGCTTTATCAGCAACTAACAACTTTTCTAACTAATGACAGTGTCTTCACCACGGTCTGAGCATCATTCCAGCTAAGTAACAGGCGCGTTCAAAATTCGTTTTTTAGCTGCTCTTGCCAACTGTGAAGCTCAGTTCATTGGAATGGATTAAGGGCACTAATAAACGTAGCAATAAGGGGTCCTTTTTTAAATGTCGGTCACTACAAATAGTATCAGGGGATAAATATTCACGTACCTGCGCACCAAGCCTAAAATTTTATCTTTAAATGTTATCAAGGCAATATTTATATTGAAAAAGTTCCCCTTCGAATACTTCAGCGCACTATAAAGCCTAAAGTAAATAAACTTTATCTAGGAAATTTCACATATAAATCCAATGGTTCCTCTACCTCTCCTGACAATAGTTGAGCTTGAAGCCGATTTCAGGTAAAAAATCTGATCTTGAACTATTTCTGTAACATTTTTTCCGGAGGAGGTAATGACTGGCTGAATGAGCTTGCAGGAGGCGGCGTTACCGCTCAAAAAATCCGTTGATGAACACATGACATTCCACAAGCTCCTTCCCATCGAATACGATTCAGTTTTATTCGTATCTATTAAGTTATGACGGAAATATGTTAGTTTACAAAAGTTGGTATTAGCCTGTCTCTTCCCGGTCAGATAGCTGAGAAAATATAAATATATATTGTGTTTTGATAGTCATCATCGTCTTCAGTCACCCGGTGGCTGCCAATGTGAATGTCTCGCTGCACTGCAGGTCCGGGTGAAGTCGCTCGATTCTTTCACTGTCAAAGTAACTGAAATAGGAATTTGTAAATTAATGAATATGGTTATTCTTTTTACAATTCACAACCGCTAACGTGTATGAGTATTCTTCTATACTGAGTTCACCCTATAATGCCACTACCGCCAAGGCTTTTCGTTATGATGTTTAGGTAGGTAACCACGACCATCTATTGACGCTCAACGAAGTGTCACGTCCTCTGTGTCATCCAGTGAACACCCGTTACGTCCGCTAGATCCCTCCATCGTGTAGTTTATGTGCCAATACGAGGCGTTCTTTGCTTGTGATTCGCGTCTAAGATAGTTGCTGTAACGCCATTAAAAATAATATAACACTGCATCGTAGACTCTTCATTTTATGCTTGGCATCTTGTTTCGAACATTATTAACCTGCGCGTGTGAGACTTCTCTGCACATAGTCAACTTTGACGTAGCTTTAGTGAAATAATATCTCGATACTTAATAATCTGTGTTTTGTTATCGAAGTGTTTTTAATCAAAATTTGACAAAGGCTTCTCTGTAGAAGATGACGTACAATGCTGATTACACTAGCAGCCATCTGATAGAGTTTCATGATTATTTTCAGTCAATGTGGCATCAATACTTTAAAACTTGCCGATGGAATTGCTGCCAGTGAGTTGAACATTCATTGACTTCTCAATACTGAATCTTCCCCATACATATAAAAATGTCACTCTTCTTGGTAATAAAACTATGTTCGTGTCTTGGAAAGTAATGTACAAGTAACTTGATTTAAAATGTTGTATTTCAGTCACGATTTAGACTGTAAACTTATAACGTCCGAGCCTTGACATTTCTTAAGGTACTTATAGAAATTTACTTCTCTCCTTCCTAACCCTAAGCAAGTATGAACTGACGAGCCGTTGAAATAATAGACCGCTTGGAATTATAATCAGTTGCGTTAATACTGACCAGAATTTTGTCACTCTTGTAAAATTGAGTAGAAATGCACATTAGTTTCAGGTCAGCTGTCCTACTTACGTATGTTTGTAGTATCGTGTTGGTAGTGAGCACGTTATTTTCCAAGAAAGAAATTTTGTGATTGATAAGATTTGGTTAACTTTGGATTTATAGCTACGGTTTTTGCTAAGACATGCGATTTTAGCCTGAAAATTAAAAAAAAAAAATTCATAAGAAAATTATAGATTTTTTGTCGATTTGCAAGGTGCTGGAACTAATTTAAGATTTGCACTGAAACTTCAATTCTAAGAGCGGATTTGGTAACGAAGGTACTGCTGATATTCGCGGCGAACATCACATTTATTTTTCTTCTTCACTTCTGCTGTTGCCAAAATAGCGAGTGTATTGGAGGACAAAAATTTTCTGCCTGTACAATTGCCAAAATTTCCCTTGATTTGCAAGGCGGAAAGTTTTATTCGATGTCGATGAGGCAGATAAATAATTTTACTAGCATTTTTAAATTTTCTATGCTTCAACAAAAATATTCCTTCCATGTACCTCAAATGCTTTGCCTTGAAGTTTAAGTGCGCTGTGCTTTTGTATAGGTGCAATGTCATAAAATGCCTGCATAATGTCTCGCCATAAGAAAATATGTTCATATAAATCTAGTTTTTATGCCTCTTTAATAGCGTTTTCATCTGATGAGGTCCTAGTAGCGACGGGCGCAATAAATAGTAGAACTGAGATATTACAAGTTCAGCTTCTGTTGAAAAATAAGAAAAAAGTTATCCAAAACCAACGAGTAATTCGTCTAGTCACATGAATACAATACCCTCACAATGAATAGTTGCTTACAGACTGACGTTACCAGAGATTAATTAGGTCATCATCTAGGCATTTGCACACAGTAGTCCGGTATCATGATCTCGACTTGGCTTCGATATTCGCACAAACGGATCAACCAAGGCATGACTGCGCGTTGGCAATTTTATGAAGACAAAATTATTGCGAGTTTTCAAAAAAGACATGGGGAAAAGTTCTAGTATTTTATTTATCTTATCACATAGGTACAGTTGAAAGATTGCACATTTACAAATACATTCAGTGATCAGGGTAAAAAAGCTGCTTTACAATCGTCTACGGCAACTTTCAATTATAAGAATTACGACCAGTTGAAGCCAAATTTAAAGGTAATTAAAAGGTAAGACTTCCTAGTGGTGTTGGGTAAATTGGTGCCTTCCAATATCCGTCACTTACGTATTCCTCAACTGTTCGATCAAGTATTGTGACGATACTGAACGTAGGATGATGAGGCATCATTCGGTACTATATGCTCCACTTCTCACTGCAGAGCAACTTCTCGTTACGAATTCTCACGACGAAATCGCCATGTTGAGGGCCGCGAGGTTCAAACCATGTGAAGTGCGATCTTCGACAGGGAAACTGTTGGGTCTCACTAATGAAATCGGTAATTTCTAAGATGCCTCAATTATAATGGTTTTTAAAAATTTAAAACGTAGTTAAGAGACCATTACGACAGCAGTTCAAGCTTCCATTCATACAGCAGCTCAAATTATTACAATGGTACGCCGACATGGTCAAGAAGCACGTTGTAAGAAAAACAGGTTCAAAACTACATTACTGGTCATAAACGGACTGGGTAACACATTCTAAATTGATACTGTACATTTCTACAGATGAAAATGATAAAGGGTAGGATACTTTTAATAAGTTAGTATCACGAGTACGGTTGCTTCTAACGACCAAAGCACATCAAATATACATTGAGATAAGCTAAGCCACTACAGCAATATGCTTACAATACGTGTCAGGCTTTCGACGCTAAGTAGCGTACACTAATTCACTCCCGTTGCTATTGCTATCAAGACAGATCACCACTATCAGCAGCTATGCACAAATCGTCTACCTTCTCATTCACAACTCACAACCACATCGCATTTCCGAGATTATAACCTGTGGTCTATGAGTAGATTTTGGTATGAAGCTTATCTAAGGTACTGTAGGTACATGCGTCATTATAAAATGAGCGAATCCACTGAAATATTATCGAAATCCATTGACGTAATAAAATTCAAGCCACAAGCAGCCGCAGCGAACACATCCTTGTTCAGAAGCTCAACAGATAAATAAAACGGTGGTATTCGTGTAACGGTCATATACCAGTTAAAAATAAGTACATTTCTATACAGGTCACTTAATATGTGGAAGCGAGTAAGACGAATCAAACCGTATACCAGAAGATAAAGAGTTCACTATATATGAGTTACACCAACAAAACTCGATTAAAAGTATAAAAAATTGCGAACCTATAAATTGACTTTGAAATTTGAATGAAAAAGCGAGTTTACTGATTTCTCGATTCAGATGTAGTACGAACATCACGGCTTGCACTCAGATTTTTTTTTAAGTGCACGCAAACTCATTAATTCTAATACATTCACGATATTTCAACGTCTGGCAGTAATAATGCGGCTACTTCTAACTTAAATTTTCGATAAGCCAGATTAATAAACGTCTAGAAATTTATCTGTAAAAAGCACAAACGATAATGGATTTCATTTCAAGTATACCTCCAAGCGGCCAGAAAAACTTAATACCTACTCAACAATTTCAAACCTTTGTTGACACAGCGACTAGCAATGAAATAACGGCGGAAGACGAGTAGGATTCCTACACACAAACAGCTGCGGGCGTTTCAGCATTTAGCTGACTAGTGTATGCCGGAGCTCAAGATGCTTGTAGAATAGAACCGGAGTGGCGGCCTGTAGAACTTTCTATTCTCAACTAATTTTTCATGCTACTGGTCTTGTGTCAAGGGTTCCTGTGTCCTCCGTAGCCAATAGCTACTATACACGAGATCAATAACACTGAAAATATTGGCGGTTAGCATTTGAATGTTGTATTGGCCGCCACTACTGTCCCCGTGACCAAAGCTAAGCTGCAGTAACTATGAACAAATTTAGTTTTAATCTTCACTACTAACTACGTAATACATTTTAAAAGAAATCGTACGAATTATCGAGGCAGATTACGGACTACTAAAAAACAACCGAGGACCAAACAGAATATCTACGCGCATGTCATTTAGAACGGACACTAAAAAACACCCTACTAACCAGATTCATAATCTGACGATTCATGAACTTATAGCTCATATTATTAGTTTTCATCAATTATTTTGAGGGATGCTGACAGGGACAAGAAATATTTCTTTTTTTTTGCATGAACGGTATTTCGCTACGAGTTCTAGCTATTTCTTTGCGAAAGTGACACGCAGAAAACAGTGGAATGATAAATTCGGATCGAACTAACATGTTATAAGAGTTACTACAAGCATTAACCATACCAATTGTATCGGAGGCTTATGGCCAGAAATAACATTGCGTAAACAAGTCATTGACCAGACAAATGTGAGAAAAGAAAAAGTAGATGTTAAATATATTATTGAGAGACCGATGACAGGTAACAACGGAGTATTAAGAACAGATATTAAGGTACTTATATTCCCCAATTTTAAAAACTAATAACCCGATTCATCATATAGTTCCTGAATATTTCTAGAGATATAAAGGAGGCATAACTTGACACGAATGCAGATACATTGGGTGCTTCGGAGTGATGCGCTTGCGCGATAATACATTACTATCCTTAACGATTAAAATATAACTTTCTTGCGAGTCATAAGAGTATTAGTAACCAAAGTTAATACGTTTACACACGTTTTGACGGCCTAGTCGACAAGAGGAAGAATTGTTGGTGCAAGCATAACGTTGTAATCGGAAGTCACGCCGAGCAAACAAGGAAGAACAAAAAAAAAAGTAAAATGGTGACTTCTGCCTCATCATTACCGAATTTTCAATTGTATTTAAGCATAACGCTATAAAAATATTCCACTTCATCACATTCTAAGCAATGTAATAAATCAGCGCAATGAATTTCGAGATACTTTATACGAGCGACATAAAGGAAAGTGTAACTTAAAAGGAAACAGGATTAGACGTTCACACACTCATCGCTACACCCAGCATATGTACACTGTACACACAATCCAGTGTCGCACACACCGTATTTACCGACGATCCTCAAGGGATCACTAAGCTAGATTGGGTCTTCAGAACACAGCGGTCAGCGGAGTTCCTAGAGCAGTGTCGCGCAAGAGCGAACAACGAGGCTTGAAATGGAATGGCACCAGCAAATAAGCCCGTAACAATACACCTAATAAAATATAAAATAGTGAATTGAGAATTAATTTGCGTTCCCTGACTCAATACTAATGCCACCACTCATTACTTATGTACCACCTAAAGCTCCAGAATAATACACATGTGAACGATAATAACGATGAATTTTTGGAAAATTAAGAAGTATCAACGAGTTAAAATAGTAGTGGTGAGGTTAGTAGCACAAAAAGCACTAAGCAAAGTACCAACGATTCTCTCTCGTTGTACAAATTTCAATGAGCCTCAAGAACTCCGCCATAACTGGCCGGTCCTATGGGTGTGAGTAAACGCTTGGGCTTAGGGAGGAAGGTTAAACAACGTACGTAGTGGCCACGCCAGACGATCAGAATGAAGAAACAGCTGGAACATATGCCTAATTATTTAAATACTTAAGGAATAAATATAAGATTTACACAAAAACCTTAGCAAGAGCATCGGCTCCTGCACTAGCAATGAAGGCTTTAGTGGGATGAAAGGCCACATCAAAAATGCTCTCATCGAATTTTTTCCTATGAGCAGTAATTTCCTGAACACATTGTTTGCTGTCGAGCTGCCACAGTCGGATGCTGCAGTCGTGACCTGCAAGACATGTGATAGTTAGTGTTGTGCATCACAGCATCATCACAGATTGTTAGTATAGTGCATCACAGTATCATCACAGAATACCGATGGTTAGGATAGATAGATGCTGTGTATCACAGTATCACAGATAGTTAGGTGTTGTGCATCACAGTATCATCACAGATAGTTGAGTGTTGTGCATCCCAGTATCATCACAGATAGTTAGGTGTTGTGCATCACAGTATCACAGAAAATTTGGTTTGGTCCGTTGGGTGCTGTGCATAAGTCACGACTTTTTGCACTTCATCACATGATGAAAAATCTACAAAAATTATATGCCTAACTTACTAAGAAACACTAATATTTCCAAGCAAGTCAACATGAAAAACTTCAGAATGGAGAATGCCTTAATTGAAGGCATGCGTCTGAGAAGGCATATGTTGTTATCACGCGACAACAAAATTGTAAGGAGTGACAATTCTCATTGGTTATAAATTCTCCCTGCAAGCGCATCCAAAATTTACTTACATATGTATGATCCATGAAAGTAGACGCAACATAGTGTCTTGCCCCAACCAAGTATATATATAATCGTTTCAAGGACAGTGGCGCACAGAATTGTACAGTGGCGTAAAGAATTGAACAATATCGCACAGAATTGAACAATGGCGCACAGAATTGAACAGTAACGCGCAGAATTGAACAGTAACGCACAGCGGCTAAGCTCAATGTAATAACTCACTGCCAGAAAGAAGATATAAGCCGTTAGCGTCAGTGGCAAGGGATGTGACGGAGTCTAGATGAGCCACCATAGACTGCACAAGCTGCCCAGTGTGGTTATCCCAGAACCTAATGTGCCGGTCCTCGTGTGCGGTGATCGTCAAGGGTAGCGTCGGGTGACTCACCACCTGATCAAACTCAGCTCAATCAGAGGCAGAAATCAAAACAAAAATCTTCATTACAGAGCCTACAAACCGAAACGTAATTATGAAATATAGAGAAAAACATCAATTTCGTAAACGAAGAGAATCAGAATTTGAATGAACACCAAAAAAATGTTCTCAGTATTTACAAGATTCACGAATGAAAACTCACTAGCTGGATTGCTATTCCATTAGTATATTCACCTTATTTATTTGTCGCGTTAGGTTGCTGCCGGTATTCGAGCTATCAGCAGAGTCAGTGTCGAGGCGCGTGACGGGCTTGCCAGTTTCTAGGTCATAAATAACGCAGTTTGCGGTGTCGAAACTAGTCACGAATTGATTACTGGATTCGTATACAAAGTCCACACTTGTCGGTACACCATCTGTAATGTACGATTACAATGAATGACAAGCGTAAATCACTCTACATACTGAAGGTAAATTTCGGGAGATCAAGTCATACTTAACAATTGTCAGTAGCTTTTAAACAATGCTCTGCAGATCATAAAATTTAGCACAAAAGGTAGATAGATATTATGGTTTGGAGCACAGAGTGAAGCATGAGTTATACCTTTAAGGAGATGATAGGTAGAAAGCAACGGTGCTCGTAATGGTTGGGGTGACCAGAGGCGTACGGTGTTGTCGCTGCTGCAGGAGAGCAGCTGCGGCCTGTGGGGATGGCAACACAGGCCCCACACCGCGTCCAGGTGGCCGGACAGACTACCCAGCTCTACACTTGATTCTGTCAAGAAATTATTTAGTAAAATAGCGTAAAAACTTATTAAAATTGCTTTCCCTGCCATAAGTTACAACTTTCTAAGTGTTCGTTGTGGTAATAAATATTAACAACAATTTCTGGATGGCTTCACATAAGTAACAAAGGCGCACTAATTTAGCTACGGCAGCTCAAACCAATGAGGGCACAACGATTTATCGCCCAGGCTTCAATAGATACATCAGTGTTAACTAATTTGATGGTAACAATCATAATATGCTCTCGTACCAGCTACCCGCGAGGCCAAATTAATTGAATACTGTGTGGGCAATGCATGATGTTTATAATCAAGGAAATAAAAACAAATTAAGAAGATGCATTAACACAAAGTGCACTAAAAGTGTCAGGAAAACGTAAAAATTTCGATCAAGTAGGCTGTTCACTATCATGTCAAGATCTTGAATAATTAAAAATATTCACAAAGCGTTGGAACATGGAATGAAAAAAAAAACAGATTTATATCAGTAAAGAATGCGCATAACAATTGCAAAAAATAACATAGAATGCACTGAGAGCCGTCATTACCCGATTTACTACTCCTGCTTTACTGAATCTAAAACAGAGCCAGTATAAAAACTTGCCCTCAAATTGAAGATCACTAACAGTATATATACTAGAATACTTTACTGTAAATAATGCAACAAGTAAACATAAGGGATTATATTGTTACAAAATGTAGCATGTCGGTAATCACTCACCATAAGAATCATAAGGGTCAACATTAATGGAAGGAACGTTCCAAATTCTGATGTCTCCATCTAGTCCAGCAGAGAAGCACTTCTCACCATCGCCCGTGATGGCCAGACAGAGCACGGGTCCCATATGACCCCTGAACGTGTACACTGGTTCCACGTCCAGCGACAACGATCTGCACGCATCATCATTCATGCATCTACTTTGTTATTTGTTTATTCAAACTTTCTCATCTGCAATCATTGCAATTAAAAAAAAACACGAATTTGCGGTCGTTTTGCATTGCCTAGCTCAAGGCTTTTTATTATCGAGAAGAAAGTGACAGTCACTTTTGCACCCTTAAGTACATATGCAGGGTTTGGAGAATATAAATAAGCAAATGCCAACAGAAGGGCTACATCCAGACTGAAATAAAGGCCATGCCAATGAGTTTTCTGCAGACTTCTCATTTATGCCAATTGTTATGACGAGTGCAGTTTATTTTAGGACAAGTTTGTCGATAATGGCTACAAGAACATACATTAGACATACGCACTTTTTGGCAGGAACAGTTTTCTGTAAGTTCCATAGTTTGAGAGTAGCATCTTCAGAAGCGGTGATGAGGGCCTGCTCGCTTGGGTGGAAGCACAAAGCTCTGACGCCGTCGAAGTGTGACCGAAGTGTGTACTTTGCCGACCAGGTCTTGCGGTACGTTTCTTTACTAGACGATATCTGCAAGAACAATCAGCGTTTAGTGGCATTAGTGTATTCAATGAGGGAAGGGCTTGATTAACGTGGATGATCTAAAATTTAGGCTAGGCACTCAAATTCACTATGGGCCACAATCAAATGCTCGCGGCGGCATGTTTTAGGATAACATTCACAGATAACATTAAAATAATGCAATTTGTCTCATCTCATTGAACTTGAAGATCGGTAACTCTCGCTTTCATTGACGTATTAATTTTTCACTGCACTTTAACGAGCATCAATGTTTTTGCAGCATACTTTAGCCAACATCTGTACTAATATGACTACGAATCGAAAAATTATCAGGTGCAAACATTTATACAAGATTGACTCCATTATATTGTAACAATATGTAGAGTATATAATACGCGTTGACAATGAACATCGCGATGAAGAACGAAAAATTCAAATAATTTACACCCTTCATGGTTAATACTTAACTTCAAATTGTTCCGATATGAAATAATAGGATTATAAATTTTGTTCAAGTCGTCATTGAGTTTGTTTCCGTCAAGTTTGCCCCCTTGTTCTGTCCGTCAGTTGGGATATCTTTCCTTGTTTTCATACCTAGGCATCCTAATAGCAAACTTTCATTAAAATTGCTCAAAGCAACCTCCTTTTAAAATTGATAAAAAAAAAATTAACTTTGCTACAAGGAAAAATTTTACAATAATAAATGACGGACTTAATTAGTAACTAATTGATAACTAATGGTAATTAATTATCAACATTAGTTTTCATAATTTAGCCGACATCGCAAGCCGCGTCAGCTTTTTTAATTGATTATATCATCAATTATTAATAATTATTATTCAATGTAGGTCCTGCCTTTAATAATTTAGCCGACATCGTTAGTCGCGTCAGCAATATTAATCAATAAAATTGTTAATAATCATTCAATGAAGGATCTGGTTTTGGTTAGAAATGCCCGTATCAGCTATAACAAATAATTAAATTATAAGTTTTTAATAATAAAATGTTCTGTTTTGGCAATAAATCATACATCGTAAGCCGTGTCAGCTTCATTGGTGACAGTGAGCTGCGCCAGCTCGCCCAGCCCCTCCAGTGCGTCCTCCTCCCCGCCCACCGGCCCTCCACCTCCTCCAACAAACACACCGCGCGAACCTAGCCACACGCAATAACATAAAGATCAAAATATGGTCGTTTTATACAACAATTCGATGACAATATAGCAACTAATTAAAAATTCAATAGGATTACAACTGAAAATAATAATATATGAATCACTACATAGTAACTGTATTTGCAATAATAAAGAAAAATTCAATAGGATTACAACTGAGAATAATAATAGATAAGGCACTACGTAGTGAGTGTATTAGCAATAAAGACTCATAACTCCTGCATTGTTAGCTAGCACTGGCAGGCAGGCAAGGTGCTGAGCTCACCAAAGCCTGCAGCAGCTGCAGCGCTGCCGTCCTCGAGGTCTGCAGACCCGCTGAGGTACCTGAAGTCCTGGTCTAGCGAGTCCACGGCGTCTCCCTCCTCGTCCCCATCCAAGTTCTGCATGCCAATCAATAGTGAAATAAATTAGTTCTGCTCAGTAAATTGACTAAGTCATGAAATCTAATTTTGTTGCTTAATCATAGCAATTTGAATAACGAATAAAATGTAACTGCCTCAATCAATAGTAATACAACCAAAATAAGAGATCTAGGCATCATAAGATCTGTCGATGGCTATTCTATTTTCAATGTATAATCTCAGTGGTTGCAATCATTTTCTGGTTCTTAACCCATTAATGCCGAGCGGTTCCATTTGGAACCAGCGAGAAAAATGGATTCATAATAAAATTGCATGATCAAATAAATATACAAGTAGATGCGTAGGTTAGATACACATCTTGTTTATGTTCTGGCAAAGTTTGGTTCTGCTGCGCCGACAGTTTCCCTGTTCAAATAACATTCAAAGATTATAAGGTCTAGGTGTCAGACAAGACGGCTTGATATCATAGCGGAAAAAAGTGAGTAATTCGTCCAAAAATATAATATTTATGAGATGAATGCAGAATTTTATCAATAAAGTGAGCACTTTTAATGCTGTATATGGTTTTAAGTAATATAATGTTTCTAAAGTCATTTAGATCATGAAATATTTAGCCAGGTTCCAAATGGAACCAAGCTATAATTTTTCACATACGACGAAAAATGATTTTTAGAACATATTTCTTACTTACTAACGTCACAAGTGATAATATTCTCACAGGAAATAAAAAAAAACATCAGAAAATAATTATCGGCATTAATGGGTTAATAATAATTGAAAGGAAAATTAACATACCATACCCAATGAATTCTTATCCCAGATTCGGGACAATAGAATGGAGAGAATTGAGGGCTACAGCAAAAACATGACACACCTGTGCCCCCTTCATCCTGTTTCACTACACACCTGCGCCCCCTTCATCCTGTTCACTACACACCTGCGCCCCCTTCATCCTGTTCACTACACACCTGCGCCCCCTTCATCCTGTTCATCTCGTCCTCTTCTTCTTGGTCATCGTCGTCATCGTCGTCATCCACCTCCATGTCCGCTGTTGGAATAATATTTTTTATGCATTTGCATTGCTAAACAAGTTCATTGTAAGAGTGCAGAATCAAGTTAAATGAAGTTTTGTGTTCTACCTTAATGACCTGTCCCGCAAGAACAGGGAGTAAGCATGATGATGCATTAGGTTTGGAGTACCACATTGTATGTTCAGGAGAAAGCAGCGAGGATTTTGATTACTGCTATCAGAAATACGGCAAGTAGTCTAAAGGGAAATGCAGCCTGAATTGCCTGCACTGTGCAAGAGTTTATTAGATATCATTTGATAGTTATAATTAATGATCTATTATATAAATGCACTTTGTATCCATTGAAGTTACTGACCATCACAAAGGTCAAGCGGTAACCCAGATATCGTCTTAATCCCAAGATAATTGGTGGCAAGAAGGTACGTATGTAGAAAGAAAATTATGTGTGTTTCCTGTCTCTGCTTATGCAACCCGCCATTCCTTACATAGGAAATTTATTAATCTTCTAATTCATAAAATTTCACATCTGGCCAAGATCTGGGGACCAAATCTTGTTCTTGCATTGGGTACATGAAAATAGTTCTGTGTAGGATTCAGAGTGAGGTTTTGAAGCATAGGCTCATGAGAACATGTGCTACGTGGCTGTAAACTTCCTTGCCTAAGTAATCAAAGGTCTGCACTGGAGTTAATTTCATTCAATCTGCCATCATTAGCATATTTCTTTGCATGAGTCTAGGTGGTTCTAGTTTCCCTTGAGAACAACATCAGCAGTGGCAATGGACTTGAAGAAAAACATTGCTCTGAGGACAAAGCGGATAGATTTTGAGCGCTATTGTGGTTTTGGCATGTTTAGCTGCATTTGGTGGCACACAAAAGCAAAAATAATACGGGTGGCAGCCCAGAGTTTCATTGAGATTTGCAAGCTCTTCCACAATGACGATGGCGCGATGGTACGAGGATGAGGGGGAGGGTTAACAAAATGCTGATAATAACAAAACAGACTAAGTTGATTGCATTTTTTGAATAAGCACAGAAAGGATGGCATAACTCAACCAGAGTATTTTTTTTTCATTTATGCATACCTTCTGAAGCGAGAAAGTCAAAATTTTCCAGAACAGCTTTCTCGGCATCTTTGATCTGTGCCTCCAGGGAGGTCATACTCTGCAAAACCAGAAATTAATTACTACATTGCCCGTCTTAACATAAAAATAAGAATGGTATAATAATTCACAATGGGGAAATTCAATTAGCAAACAAATCTGTACTCAATGTGATTATAGTAAGATACAGAACAGTTCTATCTACTAATTTGGATGGTATGAAATAGTTCCAAGTCCAATCTACGCAACCTCAAGAAAGACATCTAGCTTTTGTTGTGCATCTGAGAGATTTGCAGGAAGTCTGACCTTCTTTGGTTGTGTCCACCTCAATGGGGTTTGGTCAGCCGGTCTCTTGGCCGCTGTGAGTTCACTACCACCATTGATGGTTGGTGCAGTCCCTCCACCACCAGTGCCCTCCTCACCACTTCCTTCACCCCCACTGATACCCAGGAGTGACCTGATCACAGGCATTATTCTCATATTAGTTATTAAAAGAAGTGCCAAAGAATCTGCAATGATCGGTCTGCAATAGTGTATAATGAGCCAGTTTCTGTTTCAATAAAGAGCAGTTTTGCCCACCATATCTTCAAAAACTCTTCATGAAACCCCATCCTCTAAATATATAAACACATTTTCTGGGCTCCATCAATGTCACTTAGTCAGCACAATTAAAATGTTCAGGTAGCAATTAGAAATTGAATTTGTGGTACTACAGCAACTGAACAATAGCAAGCAGATAGATAATATTTGAAGTGAAGCAATTCAATTCTGTTTCCAGCCAAAACTGCTTCTTTTACAGAGTGATTCACGGAAATTTCCTGTTTTATCTTTGGCGCCAAGCAGCCAGACGTTGTAGGAAAAGGGCAGGGAGTATTTCATATGAAAGGCAAGGTCATGAAGTTTTGTGTCCCACCTAGTCAGTTGCCACTATGCATTGGTCAAGTGAGCAGCGTGCATTGACTGTTGAGGCGCACTTGTCTAATGGCGTTCCACTATCACAAATCAACAAGCATTCTGTAATCGCAATGCGCATTACCTACTTGATGGACGATATTCTTCAGTCAGCCGGTCCCTTGATTTGGCTACATGTGATTTTTTATGGGGTTATCTTATATAAATTGCTTACAGTGACTGCTCAAGGACCCTACCTCATTTGAAGAACAACATACACCAAACCAATGCCAAAATAGCCATCAATATGGTGCAGCAAGTTGAGTGGAACTTCAAAAACTGACTAATTGAATGCATTGACAATGGGGCCATCATTTGTCCAATATCATGTTTGAAATTAAGTGACACAAAAATTCAGGTATATAATGTCTTTTTCAATAAAATTTAAATTGTAATATCTGTAAAAATTCATTTTTATTGAGTTTTTACATCAAGAAGTTTCTGTGAATCATCCTGTATAGGCTGTATTAGTGTTCAGACTAAAGAGCTGCTCATTGTTCAAGTTGCAGAGACACCTGTTGTAATAAACCCCTGTACAAGAAATAATCTTTTGCCAATCTAAATTCTGGTTCTAACATTAGCACAAAAATTCAGCTAACGCAATAATAAAATAAATGATAGTTAAAAATAATAAATAATAATGGATAAATAAAAAACTGCAACTTGAAATGAATAGGCAAATGAGTAATTTAGCTCATTGACAAAGTAAAAACTTGTCTTTTAATTAAATTATTGTCATTTTTCTTTTATAGGGAAAATTTTCCATTTTCATTTTTCACTCTTTGCATAACAACATCCTAATGTAATGAATTCTTTACCAGGCATACACAATATAAAAAATAGAAATTTCTGCATTTTGTATCTTTCAAGATACACCTGTATATATCGAGTATTTCATATATTGAAGGCACAAACTTGAATTTAACTCATACAGTCAGCAGAAAAAAATATTTGATATGTACAACTGAAGAGGCAAATAGAAAAAAAACATTACCCGAATTCAAAGCAATGCAATATTATCAAGTTCCCAATATTAACATAGACATTTCCCTTTTTAAACTAATACAGACATAACTATTTTTGTTTTAATTGGAGCTATCAATTTCCTGCTCTCGGTTTTGTAATTCTGGCGCGTGGTGAAGTTTACACAATGTATCACATGATAAACAGATGATTAGTAAGGCATGATGATGGCAGCTCAACCTCAAACTTGGGATAAATGAGCTGTTGCGCATATTTAGGTTAGGAAAAAATCCAAAAATAAGGAAGCCTAAGATTCAGCTTTATGAGAACAACTATACTAACTTGTTTTGAGTACATTCACACATTCTCTCAGTGCATTCACAACTATATAACTTGTTCTAAGATGAATCACACCATACAAATACTTAAAAACTCTGTTTTAACCAAAGTAGAAAAATTTTCAGGAATTATACAAAGGCAGTGAGTGAGAGAGCGCATTTTCTTGTAGACGAAAACTTGAGGTCACAGACGGACAGACAGACAGACGGACATGGCGAGCACAATAGGGCATTTTTTCCATAAATGAGAAAATGCGGTAAAAAAGGTATGAAACTTATTTACCCAAACATACCTGACTCGATTGCTCCGGATGTCAATAATTGTGTCGGTGTAACCAATTTCTTGTAAATATCTGTGCAGAAGAAGATGCATTAGTACAAAACACATAATGATTAGCAGAGAGCTGGAGGAGAGAATTTTTGTAAAAAAATTCCAAGTGCAACAGGAATTTTTAATCAAACTACATGTAACTGATAAATAAAAATGGTCCTCCTAGATCTTTATGACAAGTTCATAATACAAGAATAAAGTGACTGCTCTATTCAAAAGAAATAACATTCACCTACAGTTGAACAAAGAATCAGGATTCTAACACTACATTAAAAATTAGCAATTACAATTTATAGAGTAACACCCACTGCCTAAGGAGCTGTCTTGACTGTTTCCAAGAAGCATTGGAAGCTGTACAGGAGAGTATGGAAGCAGATGTGTCACCAATGCCGCCATCGAGCCTGCCTGCATCGTCTCCTAAATCATCTAGCAGGCCTGGTGGCGGTTCACCACTTCCTTGTACCAGGTCACTGCCAAACTTTAATTTGTGATACTTTGCTCTGAAAACGGGAATTCAAATTAGATATTTGTTTTGGCAATCAATGCTATCAAAGGATTAAATATGCATGCATTAAAAACAAGCCAAAAGGCTCATACCCAGAAATTAGATAGAATATTTCTAAGTGTTATGTGCATTAACACATTCTTGTATATTGATTGGGTTGTATGTGTACCAACACTGATTGTCATCTGCTGTATAAATATATATATTGGTGCACAAATGTACCAAAACCATTATTTAAAGCTGTTTTGATGAAAAGCTTCCAACTCAGAAACTTATTTAGAAAAATTTCTTTTTGATTTTTGCGTGCACATAAAAGGCTGCCCAAAAATTTGTTAATTAAGAATATGCATAGAACCTGTTATGAAGATTCCAGTATTGGCAATTCAGCAATGCTTCAAGTTTCATAAGAAGAGTTAACCTGGCATTAAATTACCAACAGCAAAGTTTGAAACTAAAGTATTAGGTTAACTTGAAATAAACAAGTCAACAATTTTACCTCTCTTGTTTGAGTGCATATTCCAGCATCTTTATCCTCCGTACCAAATCATTCTTGAGATTTTCTTGCCCAGTTCTTTCCCCATTTAGAAATGCTATTTTGGCCTGAAAATCAAAATTAAACATTAGAATTACGGTACATACAAATTGCAATGAAGTTCAAGTTGGATCATAAAAAAATCATCCTGATCTTGATATTTCCTAAAATTCATCTGACCAATTTTTATTATGATCTGTGTAATGTAATCATCCCATAATGAACATTGTAAAAAAATTACAGATATCAAAGCAAATAGGCTCCACTCAAAAGTAACAACAATTGCTTAATTTTTGGAATTTAGAATACATTACATTCTAGGACTTTCAAACTGAGAATGAAGGACTCCAAAATATTCTCTTCTGTAAATATATGGTGATTTTTTTTACTTTTTAATTCATTATAAATTTGAATTCAAGCAATTTGCATAAAGTGCAAATTTGCAATTCTCATTAACAATGATAAATAGTACAAAAAGTAATATAGAACCTAGAAAAAATGGGTTGCTAATCTTTGCCTTAAGCTTGGATAACAAAATTTTCTTACTTTATTTTCCACAGTACCTACTTCCAGGTCTTGCTACCTAATCTTGTTTGCTATCTTCTCTCATTTATGGTTTCATGTTAATTGTATAGTGTATTCTTCCTTTGTGTCTGTTCAAGGCATATTTTATTATTCATGACCAATAGAAACCCAAATGTAGCCTGCAACTCAATGTGGTACCCATACAGTTCATTTGTCACTGGCCTCATCCTAATCAGAATAATTTTTGTCTCCACTATTGTCTGTCACTTCCAGCACCTATTCCCTGAAACCTGCTTTGTCTTAGGGTTAACTTGTTCTGTTTTCCCTCTTTTGCCAAACATCTTTCTTTCTTAAGGGTGATAACCACTGAATTGCTTCAAACAGGCAGTAGGATTCCTGTCCTGTTCATTCTCTAGCTTTTTACTATATTGCATCCAATTTCCTAGTCACCTTGAAAGTTGAAAATTTTGAAATTTCTGTTTCTTGAAGAGCATTTGAGCATTTCCATTATATCTTCATCATTACAGCTATTGTGTCTCATGTTAGGAACTTGGAGTTTCTTCTCAATACAGTAAAATCTAATTATCATGAGCATAAAGTTCCAGACTTGGCCATGCTAGGTGAAATTCACAATGAAAAATTCATCATATCAAGACTTTTTCAAGTACCGGTATTTATATTAAATTTTTTATATTTTTAAAATTGTTTTAAGAGTATAATGCAGCAGAAGCACTTCAAAGCTACAAGATTTCACCTGTACTAAAATTCAGAGATAATTATAATAGAGCCACAATATTCCACACAAAATTGGATATCTCTAATCCTGTTTAGTTACTGAACTGCACTACCGTATAATAGCTGCAGCAATGTTCATCAGTTCATGCTTCATGGGTGTGTGTCTCTTGCTCAATTTCCCAGTTTGATAAAGGCACTCAATTTCCTGTGCAAGAAATATTTTTTATTAAAGCAAATTATTAAATTTGATCATTATTTTTGAGTAGGATATAAATAAAACATTTATAAACATCAACCCTAATTTTTCTATAATATTGTGGCTCTAATATTGCATAACTTTGGTAGGTAGATATTAATTCTGGTGGCTCCAAAGTTATGCATTTTGGTTTGATCAATGTGAGAGCAAGCAAATATGAGGTACTAAAAGAAGTTTGGAAAAGTGTGGCTGTTCCTGGGATTATGCATGGAATGGATATTATTGCATAAAATGATGGCGAGCTTGATAAGTTGGAGGTTGTACAGAATAGGATAGCTAGACTGGCACTTGGGGCCCCTAGATGGACTGCAGTTGAGGCATTGAGAGGAGATACGGGATGGAGCATGTTTAACAAGACAAAAATGAAAGCAGCGCTGAGATACAAAATATGACTGGAAAAATGAAAGATGAATGTTGGGTGGGAAAGATGTACTTGTAGAACATGAGGGTGAGTAAATGGAATCGTAAGTGTTATGCACAACCATAAAATGGGGTAACTTAGACCACCTTTTTTTTATAAATGATGCCATTTTTTTACTAGGTAAATTAAACTTGAATTGAAACATGCAAAATACAGGTCTATACTCTAGCTTTACTAACCATAAATTGCTGGCTCCTGCCTCTCATAGTCTTTATGTAATTTCAAAAAAAGTGATGGTCTTTGTTACCCCAGCTTTTGGGGTATCTTAGACCAGGTGGTAAAATCAATTATATTTTTTTGTAAAATAACTCCAGGTTTTGGTGCATTGTAGTAGAACTCTTCTAGTTACATATGCAAATGACAAACTTGAGGAAAGTGTCATAGTTTGCAAATGGGGGCGCTGCCCCATAATGAGGGAAATGTGACTACCTAATGGCAGCCCTGATGGGGTAATATTGACTGGCTTGGAAATTAAGTTAAAATTACCATATATAAGACTCTGTAGAGTCTGAAACATAAAGAAAAAACATAAATAGGCTGTCAAACATAAAATATGTTATATATGGTAATTTTATATTAACTTCCAAGCCAGTCTATGTTGCCCCATCAGGGCTGACATTAGGTGGTCTAAGTTCCATCATTTGGGGGTGGCGCCCCCCATTTGCAAACTATGACACTTTCCTAAAATTTGTCATTTGCATATGTAACTAGAAGAGTTCTACTACAAAGCATCAAAACCTGGAGTTATTTAACCAAAAAATAAAAAAAAATTGAAGGGGGTACTCTGACAGGCTTTAAATAATAGCTTTTTTCCGTGGGTAACATTTTTAATTTTTTAACCTATTAGATATGCAAACTTTTTAAATCTTTCTATTGTGTAATGTAGCCTCAGTATTAGGCCTTTAATGCCCATTGACAACATTTTTCTGTGTCAAATAGTTTTTGAGTTTTGGGGGTTTTTCTTAAAAAAATGAAAAGTGGTCTAAGTTACCCTGCCGGTCTAAGTTACCCCATTTTACGGTAGTATGCAAATGTGACTTGAATGAGATATGGGCCTACACAGTTCATAATAGACAAGGAGATGAATGGTTAATGACTGTACAGGGTGTAAGTAGAATAGATAGGGATGTCAAAGAATGGAAGAGAGATTGAAAAGAGAGTGAAATATGCAGATTAACAGTATGGAAGCAAGGAATGGAACAAAGGATAGCCTCAAGCTATACAGAATGAAAGAAATGCCAATGTATGAATGCATTTATGATGGTAGCAAGGGTGGGGAGCTAAGGTGGAATGAACACAGGTGGAATGAAAGAAGAGAAGATATCTGTTACATGAGCAACAGAGGTGAGAGAGAAATGGTGGAACACCTGATGATGGAGTGTGAAGCATATGAGAGTGAAAGACTGGAAATGATTGGAGTGATACTGAATGAGAGGGGCAAGGGTGATGGCATGATGTATGAGAGAACGTGAGATGAATTGTATTATAAATGACAGTGGGCCTGTTACCAGGGGGCAGAGGTGACCACTGCCATGATATTTGGTGGTAAGCACTTTTTTGAGAGTGCATGCACTGCATGGAGATTGGAGAATGAGTGAGAGGAGGAGGCTGGAGAGAATGGAGGCCAAGAGGCAGGAAGGTGTAAAGAAATAGCAATAAAAAGTAAAATAATAATAATAATAATTACAATAAAATATAAATAGAAACAAAGTATTACCTAGCATTTTGGGAGCTACCATAACAATATCTGTATGACAAATTGACAATGTTCCAACTACTGTGCAATAAGTAGGACCTAGCATTCTAGCAATAACCAATAAAACAACATTTATATTGAAAGTATTCTCCCTCTCCTCTATCATCCCCCCTTTTTCTTTTACTTCATCAACCTTTTACTTTCATCTTATACTTTACATGAACAATCTCTACACTCTAACTTTTGTCCCAATATATCTTGAATCCTGTATCTGGGTCCTCTGCTCCTCATTTCACCCCTCCAGGTCCAGTGACTTGCACACTAGCCTACAAGTTAAGGTTTTTGTACTATCAACTCAAAATGAACATTGTTATTCATTGGCCCTCCCTATGACAAAAAATTAATTGTAAAATGAATGTGTGACGCATGGCAACTAGCCGATACAAACGCCTGACGTAGCCTATGAAGATCTTTTCAGTGTCACCATCATGGTGACACCATGCTCCAAATCCAAAGATATACATGATAATAAAGCAAGTGGCAACAAAAATTAATCAGGGGAGAGGAATGAAACAAATTAGTGACGTTCATGATTTACACTTTCAATTATACTTGTAAAAGCCTAAAAGGTAATAATTTTGTATAAACAATCGTATATTGAATATAATAATATATTTTACCTGTAATTCGGCTTTTTCCAACTCCCACTGGGACCTTTCCATTTCGAATCTTGCCCATTCATGTTGAATGAAATGCAGAATGCCGGGAATAGAATATTGAACTCTCGGTGTGGCTTCATCCAAGTTCTGTCTATTGGTAGCACTCGAAGAGGGAATTCCTCCCCCTATCTGGTTTTGACTTGAAGATTCGTCCATTCTCAACAATTTATACCATGGCAGCCATTACTCCCAAAACTGGTCCTAATTTCCGGTGTCAATCCCAAGTCTTTTAAAAATACCCTGACACCGAAATGAAACCTCAACATAGAACAAATGCCTAAAATAGAATTCAGCTTATGACTATGAATGTTTTTATCTTATGCGCACGAATGTGTAAATTACTTCTACTACGTAGTTTATTGCAAAATAATTTGTCGCCAACAGAGAGATATATGTAAGCATCTTTAAAATGTAGCTCTATCCTGAAGCAGAAGTTTAACTTATACATTGCAAGGAACAAAATTGGATGAATGAATTTTTTGGATTCTGTGTTAGTAAAGTTTTTATATATGAAACAAATATCATGTGGCATTGAAAAATCTGTTTACTATAAGTGCCGCTAAGAATTGTTGGAACAGCCGATGAGACCTGTCAAATGAACTGTAGAGAACGTGAAAATTCAGTCAATCTTCGCAATTACCTTAGTCAAAACAATAAATTATTATTCATTTTTCAAAGATTTTAATGCTACATTTGAATCATTTAGATCAAGCTAGTTATCATATAACCTATTTTTCTTGACTCATTTGCTACATATAATATTGATAACCGTATTAAGTGTCGATCGTGATTATAACTAATGTCTGATTTTTAGGCAATGCATAAACAAAGAATGTCGATTATATTTATACATCCGCTAGCCACGCAATCGAAATTTCTCTAGACTCGCCGGCGTGCTCAAACATCCTGAGGCCCAAAATCTAGCACAAGCGTTGAGCCGAAATTTCCCGCGCACCCATCCCATGTCATAACTCGTCCTCGCTTTACTCAATCTATTCGCAACCTATATAGATACAATTTATAAGAAATTTTCTGCTATAAATCGCTTTGGAGAGCGCCGTCAGAATTTTTTGACCGATTATTTGCATGTAAGGAGCGTTAAAGATTTAGCACCTTGCACGATAGCATTGACACTTCGAACTCGCCCGCGAACTAGGCAGCGGACTCGAGTAAAACAAACCAAACAGCTCATTTGTCCCTCAGTTCTGAACGAATATTATTTAAATTTAGAAAAATTACCTTTTATTGGCTGTACGAAGCGATAGAAATTATAAGATTTTTATCTCATTTCGTCTTCAATTGAAACGGAAAAACAAAGCTTGCGCAACCGAACATTAATTTTCATGACAGGCCAAGGCATTGTCCAAGAGCTCTTAATTGCGAGTCGAGAGACCTATTTGCAAGACTGACAAGTTTGAACGTGGATGGGCAGCCAACTAATCACTCAAACTTCACATTTTTTGTCAGTATTTTTCTTGAGAGCTCTGACATTGTTTATCGCAAGCTCTAGTCTAGCACGAAAAAATGCCTTTGCAAGATTTGCGACACTAGTCTCACGATTTCTTTAGTGAGTTCATAGATGTACACCCAAGTCTTCCGTGCCCAAGCCAACAAAAGCAGAGTTGTATCGATACTAAATTTTCAGCAGAAAGGGGTCTCTGCAGAAACAGAGTTTACCGTAATAGAACGCCTGCCATAATAAGCCATACTGTTTGTAATTTCTTATTAATCGGCGTTTGCAATGGCACTTTCCTACCAAATGAATGGCCTTACTGAAGCTCAGGGCGTCAAACATCCATTTTCTCATTTATTAAGCACAAGCGTTGATTAAGCCCGCCAGAGATAACCCGGGCAAGAAACCATCTTAGTCCCCGGGCCGTCACCCACGGAGAAAAATGATAATTTTTAGTTAATTATTTACGGTCGGAGAATGTTAAACGGGGATGATCCTGTTGAAGAGGCTATATGGAATGCCAGTACGTGTCGTCGCTTGCACTATAGTAACGCTTTTCTTTCCGTATTTCATTTAGAAAAAGCTTAAAGATTATTTGAATCACACTTACCGCCAGACTTCGTCAGCAAGTCGTACTAGGCTTCTGTAACAAATTCTCCAACTCGCCTGCGGAGACTTAATGGGGAACATTAGTGGAGCTTTTGCGGCCTTAACAGAGGTATTTAAAAGGCAATTGACGAAGTCTCGTTTGGCTTTGCGCCTTTTAGAATATGGAGACAAATAATTTTCTCACAAACGCAGGGCGTATAGCTTACAATAAAATAATCTGCTGCCCCAACCGTTGTTCGACGACAACTTGAATTGACGTCAAAGCTATTCGTAGTGCAATGAGTTTCATTATCAATGGCAAGGTAACTATAGTTACCGTCAGTAGAGGAAGGGTAAACTGGCTCAATCGCGCCATTGTTCGTATGTTCTACTTACTACTCAACGAGCCACGTCATGTATACTGTATATGAAACTTTCCAGCTACGGGACCCTTGCACGTCTCCACGAGTCAGTATTGTGTGAGCCGCGAAGGTATGAGGTGAAGTCGATATAACCGGTAGTGATGCCTTGACTAGGTAGGTCTCCGAGTTTTTTTGCCATTATAATCCTAAAGCACTTACTCACATTCTAAATAAGGGGAAATGTATGCAGCGTGTAAATAATTCATTGATTACCTAAAATTATCATTCATTGCAGGCAACAGATATGTAAATATATAATTACTAGAGAGTACGGCGACCAGAAAGAATGTTGAAGCAGGGTTTCGTCTCACCTTGTCCACCACAATCGGATGAAATTACCTCTCACAAAACCATACTTGATCGAATCTTGACGGCGCCGATTATCGAGTCCCTCGCGCACCGGTGGGAGGGCTCGAGCCTAATCAGTTGGAAGACGTGAGTATGGTACACTGTACCATAACATAACACTATACCATAAATTTGAAATGCATTTTCCATTTAAAAATTACGATGGTGGAATATGATTGTGATTTTACCATTCTATCACGAATTCCTAGCGTCTGAACTACGCGTACTGAGACTTATGGCAGTGCTGGTGCCTCGCACAAGCGTTGCCAGGGCACCCAGTAAACACCTCTACTTGCCACCTTCATACTGACGCACCGCACTCACAGTACCCGTGCGAGATAAACTCCCGGAGTAACATGAATAATTTATTATTATTGACTTATAGTATGGGCTTATTATTTAGATCAAAATAAATTTAATGCTGATTGACGTCTGGTATCGGTCGAGAAAAGCCCGCACATCGTGAATGCAATGTAGAGGGTACGCACCATGTTCAGTAAAAAGTTCAAAAATTATCAGATCATGATATATGCGAAATACGCAACACCGTCTGTCTTTCTCCTTACTAAAAAATGGATATTTATTTCCGTGGACTTGCGTAATCGTACACATTGAACCTCGAAATTTAGCCTCGTCGAGCAATCAAAATTTCTGTATTAACTTCCCCTTAAAACGCTAGTAAGAAACATATGTTAATTTGACGAATTAAATGAGTTTGCTAAAATTTTATTCAGCTACCCAACAAGTAAAATACGAGTAAGTTAGATACTTAAGTTTTCGGATACGTTAATCCAGATAAAGCTTAAAGCCAAATTGTCGCGAATTTTTCCTGATAAATGAACGATTACATTTTTCTCGTGCAGTGACCCTTTGTTTGGTGTTCGCCACCGATACCTATTCTTCCTTTTCTGCGTGCTGCTGTTCTCGTCGGTAGGGCTGCAAATCATCCTGCTCCCCTGCACCTACTACAGTTCCTATAACCCTGAGCCGCCCGAGAACATCGCCCCCATTCTTGTAAGAGCACTGCAGCAAAATGACTCCGAATTTGGCATGGAACCGGTGAGAGCAATGGGGATAATTAAATCAAGGACTGATAATTGGTGCAATGTCAGATAAAATAGGTAGTCATTGTTAACTAAACACTTTGAACCGTGTAACTGAGAGCCACAAGGTAAATCGTATAGAATTGTCTAGCCAAAACAAAGTATGGATACAATTGTCAGTTTTAAATGGTTGAAAAAAGCTTTCATTAAGCAGTTAAATGTTAATTTTATACACATATTCTACTAGACATTATTGATATACATACCCCATGCCACTCCTACAGTTACACAAACGACCTGGGGAGCTTCCTCGACTTCTCCTTCTGCTCCAGCCATTACCAAGTTTCTTCGCCCACCTCAAGTCGCTCGCTAAAAGTACCAAGTCCACGCCACTTGTGTCCGACACTTGCACGTTTCTTAATTTCATTGAGGTTGTGGTCAGTGCCAGGGAGCAGGTATGTCTCGTGCAGCACTTCAACGCTAGATTGGGGTTGACAGACACACTGATATCGATGTAACTAACACATTGATATTGCTGTGATATTGTAGAGGAGGGAAAAGTGAATTTTATAGATGCTTTTTATATTGATTCGTTTAAACCAAAATAATCTGATATCTGGGTGATATTGCTGGATCGACCCAGAAGTGCGGAATAGAAAACCTTTGTAGGACCATTCGGTCAACGCCACCAGTCCCACCACCGCGAACTGGTGTGTACTTAATCGAAGCTTGACAATTTAAAGTAGGACCTATACCGTTCTTGATTATATGACCTTGAATTTATTCCTGTGATGCATAACTTGTATAGATTTAGGAGTGAATAAATTTTGTCGTTTTTAATTATGTGTTTTAGGCACGAGCCAGTTGTGTCATATATCGGGAAAAAATTTTATCTCTTATGCAGAGAGACATCCGAAGTCTGAAGCTGAGATTTCAACTTACTTACTCTTAAGATTTCTCGTTGTTGAATGAAGGCTTACTCTCTGGCTGTCTTTATTCTCCTGTCAAACTGCAAGGATTGTGACGAACATGGTGGGTTATTGCGGACAGGTTAAAGTGTTAATGTAACGAACACGTTAATGCCGGTGTGACGAACACGCTGATGCTGATTTAATGAAGACACTGATGCTGCTGTGACGAACACGCTGATGCTGCTGTGACGAACACGCTGATGCTGCTGTGACGAACACGCTGATGCTGCTGTGACGAACACTCTGATGCTGGTGTGACGAACACGCTGATGCTGCTGTGACGAACACTCTTATGAAGATGTTCTTGTAGCCGCCCCTACTGGAGCAATAGAGCAGCGGACACTAGAATATACAGAGTATACTTCTCAAGCAATTGCATGGCCCGGAATCTCCATGTATCATGGATAAAATGTCCGGTTCATGTGAACCCGTGGTAGGGATCAATGAAAATAAACCTGCATCCGGTGTGACAACGAAAAAGTCTGTGCAAAAATATAATTCTGTTCATAATATTAATTAGAAGAGAAAATATCTAAAATTTTCCTCAAAATATCTAAAATTTTCCTCAAATGTAATTATGCATTAATAAAACAATGTGTAATTTCCAATTTTTTATTACGGAAAAGTAGCTTTCTGTATTACGAAGCGTGTGTGCGTCAGGCTCCACAGCACGAGGCCGCTCAGTGAAACTATATAGAGTTGACAACTGGATAACCTGCGCTTCCCACACAAGGTTTCAGAATAACATCATCAGAAACGATACGATGATCTTAATTTCAGTGTTAACACCAGTGATTTAACATTATTATTTGAATAAACGGTTCGCTGAAAAATCATGACATCCCAACTTGTATAGGTTGTTTGGTGTTGAAAGAATCGACACGTCATCATGTAGGACGAGTCTCAGCATCATGAAGTATATTCAGCTGAGGAGTTCTCTGCAATGCCGCATGATTTTTATATGAAAAACGTTACACAAAGCGCTAAAAGTAAGTGAACCATGAAAATATTCTCATAATAATCCAATAGGTCAACATTAGGAATCTGAAGTCAAAGGTAGTGACTCTTATTAAATGCTGTACGCGCGTTTCTTAAAGAAACTGCACAGTGCACATGATCGTAAGAACTATGACAGGTTTAAACTCCGCATAGTCAAATAATCATGTAACTTCGTATACGAAATAGAGCACGTACAAGAAATATCGAGTACATAAAATGAACATCAACATTTAAAAGCGACTATTCCGTTCAAACGCATATTACTTACAGAAAGAAGTCGACTCAAAACATCAAAATTCACGTTGGTTCGTTCTCCAAATGATTTTCGTCGTTAGCATAATTGGCAACGAGGCCATTGTACGGAAATTATGAAAGAAATTTCAGAACAGAATATAAAGCTATTTACCCCACATTTCTGAACATAACTCCGTATACCTAACCCTACCTCCATACCTACTCCGGCTGTATTAATTCTTCATGGGAGGTAGGATTATTCGTAGTTATGCTCTGGGAGTTGAGACACGATGGCCTTGTACTCTGAGAAGCAGGGTAATGTCCAAAAAGGAGGACATGAAGTAAGACAGTCCAGTTACAGGGAAGGTTAGGCTTACGGTGATCCTGCGTGGTCTGCAGTACTTATACTCTGAAGCTCAGAGTAGCTATTCCTTGCTGAGGAGAGACTCCAGCTTCAGGGATAGTTTATTAAAAGTTAAATTTGTGGCTCCATGGCTCAATGGCTTTGCCTCGCGTAAATGGATGAATCCAAATCAATAATTTTCAAGCCAAGCCAAAGGTCTGCGAAATGCTCGAACCTTCAAAAACAAAGGAAGTGTGTGTAGAATAGTCATCAGATCATCAAAATGACAGAACAATCAACCAAATTTATTAACGTTAACAATTGTGTTGAAATTGGAAAAATTTCATTAAACCAAGTAAACTCATTATGAACATCCAACAATTATACAAATGATGCCATGCAGAGGGATAGTTTGTACGGCTCTTACAGTATTCTGGTAGAACATTTTCACATTTGGAGTACCTTAGCAGAGCATATAGACTAGTAAGCATTTACTTGTTGAAAGTGGAAGAGAACCAAAACAGTACGATGCATTCAAATAAAAGTCTTCCCTCGAGATGAACTTGTTTCAGATTTAGAAACATGTAAAATTAAAGCAATTCATAATGTATCATATACAATAATTATTTCTCATTGGAACAATAGAAAGATTCACTACTTGAGCGAACTCCCAACTTTACGACTTAGCAAACTATTTTAGATGCAAATAAACACTAAAGAGTCACAAAAAGGAATCGTAACACTTTAAAACCCTTTAAATTAGTTTTCTTAACCATAAACGTGATAAGGAGAAACGAATAGCAGCAGCAACAACGGGTAGAGTTAGCTCGTTACAAGCGCCGAACGGAATAGCTATAGATGTGCTTTATTTCACATAAATATTTCACAGCGATTATTTATTAAACAAGTTCTAAATGATCCAAGAATAAAGTCACGGCATCCGTTATAAAGAATGAAAAGATACTTGACATGACCAGGCGATGGCATACAAGCCTTGGTCAGCTGATGCAGCGCTGTGCGGCGGCTAGCATTCGGTTGCTCGGGAGCTGCTACAAAATCAGTTAGGTTTTACACAGAGATATTAGACCAGATTTGGATGACCAGTATGAAATTAAAGAGATCAGATACTGCGCATGGAACTCATTTATAACTTTCGGCCTAGAACCTGCAAAGGAACATGAAGTGAACTTATTTAAATATTAGGGTAGGAGAATAACTGAATACAGGATCAGGCAAACTACGACGGATATGGTGCATCTAAATCGCCTCAACAAGCAGCTCGCCAGGAGCTATGAGAAGTGCATACAGTAAACACGACGAAAATATGTGCTCACGAGGAAAAAGTGGAAATAATACACATGAAAATATATGAAATAAGTAGAGAACGGTTATGCGTAAGTTGCTCTGATAATTTCATCAATACTCTCTTATATACGGTTCAACAGCTCATCAGCAGCAGGAATAAAATCTTGCACTCCTCTACACTGCGATCGACGTTAAAGTTCAATCTTGCCTTCAGTAGCTTAAAGAGAAAATCACTCAATTCGCTCTCACTTAAAGTACGTTTAGTATGACTTCATTTATTGTATTCATATTCGCTTAAAAATAAAAGTAGAACTAAATTAAATGAAGAGCGCAGTAGTGACTTTTTCATCGGTTGTAACGCACATAGAGTCATGAATGTACCGCACAATCGCATATTTGTTTCATTTTTCTTCTCAACCGGTCTCACATAGTGTACATGTAAATTAGGATTCCGTTTAACGAATAAGCATTCGGAACAGATTGGTTAGATAAAGTGCGGCGTCACTGTAGTGCAAATCAACATTGGGCTTCTGCTCTGAGGCTGACCCACATCATCTGCAGATGACAACCAGAAACAGGACAAATGCAGAAATGCAGTGTACTCGACAGAGTAGAAATAACCTTCAGTGAGCAGCAGCTACTGCAAGTATTAGGGTGGACCTCACGGAGTGTTGAGAAAGGTTTAAATTCGTTATAATTTAACTTTCATAACTGAAAAAATCCCAGTAATAATATTAAGCTTCAATTTATTAAATTCATTGTCAAAAGGAATTGTTGAAACGATGCCTCAATTGTAATAAAAAAGACGGGCTTATAGCCACTTAAGAAAAAATCGAAGTAAAAAGGACATGGCCGCTCTCTTGGTTAAATAAGCGAGTCTTCGCCTGACTCGTGGACGCTCAACATTCATAGCTGAACTGAGTTAGACGAGCGATGCGGAGAGAAGGCCGAGCTCTGATATTCGGTCAGATTGTTTAAGGCGCGTGAGAATGAAATGAAACGTGCAGCGAAATGATAAGTCCTGTGAAGAGGAAGTTGTAGTTATGGTAAAGTAGCGTAGAGGTAAGACGTATTTAAGAGAAAAGTCGTAGTTGAGTCAAATTCATGCAATTGGTGGAAGGAAGTCCTATGAAAATAATTTGCATAAGTTACTCAAGTGATTGGATTGGACCTACAAATTCCTTAAATTTCATCATTAACTCTATAGGAAGGAATCTATACCTGGATACAAGTAGTTATATGTAAAAACGATACCTAACTTTGCGATTTCGATTCATGAGCTCCCGACAAAGCGAGGCTGAGTTACTTAAAAATTATATTCAATTGGATGCTTACACCACCTTAGTTACACTTGTAGAAAAATATAAATTTAGTGGGATCGTAGAGGCATTTATGAATTTCAACGCTGAGCTAACCTGGACTCGTCATTGAGACGTCGTTACGTCCAAATATCAAGTAACGAGCCCAACAATGACTGACGATCTCACGCAGCGGAAGATGAGGTGCTATTCGTACCACGGAAAAAGCGAATAACTCTTATCTGAACACGAAGAATAATGGATTATTTTTATTAAAAAGTTTATATCAGAATTATTAGGCAGATGGGCGGTAAGGTATTGAGGCGTCGTTCTCAGGATACTGTTAAGTTAATTTCCGGTAATGGTACTTATTCCATCAGTAGTCAGTACTTTTTATAGACGATCATTTGGAGCAAGGGTATCTGGATTCACCAAGAAATCTTTGTCTTTCTGTGAGCTCCCTGGTTTGAGGTTATTGCTCCGCTACTAGTCGCCTGACTGCTGAGTATAATGAAGTTCAAATACCTAAGTAAGCAACATCAAATACGGCGGCTAGAAGACAACCTCAACCAACTTTCAAAACTAAGCATGCCAGCCTAAACGCAACGCCGGTCCTGATCCGAGCATTCATACTACGTACATCAACAGAGAATCTATACCTTGCAACCACACATACAAACTTTACACATACCTAGAGCTGGCCAATGAGATTGCTTCAAACACCATGCATTTCATTCACTCGAACATGAAATTTATTTGCGCAATATTTACTTGGAAAAATTTTGGTACGGCTAAAGAAAAAAAGTCTAGTTAATTACTCTGATATTGGAAACAAACAAGTACATGCATAAATTTAGTTGGCTGCTCAAAATGATGCAGGTAAATGACGAACCCATACTTAAAATTTCTGTTTTCATGGATCGTGTCAGTGATAAACATCCAACCAGTCATGTACCTTGTAAATGTTATCTGATGTCAGTAGTAATTTACATTCTTTCACCTGGTGAATGTTACCCAATATCAGTGATTTACGTACATTCGTTTACGGACTAGATGTTATCTTATGAAAATTATTTAACCCCCACTTGTCACAATAACTTAATTCATGAATAATTTTTACATGCATGGCATATAAAGGAATGTTAGTCTAATAGTAGTTCAAGGACTATTAAAAGAGATATGACTCCATAAACTGAGGAACAATAACAAACAACATAAAATATTTCTTTAACAGTCAATTAACAATTAGAGGAGCGAAACGCACAACGCTACTCAGACTAGAACTTTTACTTATTTATTCTGCTATTATTCTCTCATATATCATTGTTAAGTATTAACACGTAATATGTATAGAGTTTATGAACAGGTACCATTTCAACATTATCCGTACATTGCCTAAAAACTCTTTCTATATAAGTGCCTATACTGATCTTCCAGAAACGCAACTAGATGAAGTTAACCAAGTTTTTCGACTTCAGTAATTGACTAATGCTTCAGTAATTTAGAAGCATTTTCCCATTCCCACCGATTTTGAAATAATTTAAAAAAGAGAATATGTCAAATGAATTTAGCTGTTCGAAGAAAGCAAGCGGGCGCGTTCCTACAGAAATTGCAAGTGGAAGTTACATTCATGTTGCCAGAGAGATTACAATGCGACGGCCCCATATAGCCTCTACAAAGGCCACTCTTATACACGCCGAATATCAAGTGAGGCTACCCACTCTTACTAATTACGGGTATTACGGACACGAATCCATCAAACCGCATTTACTTGGTCTCAGATGTCCAGCAAGTTTGATGAGTCGTTTCGGAGATTCAGAGCCGGAAACTGCAAGTTCCGTCTGTACTTTACAAATAAGCTTCGCATTCACTCCAAGGTAGACGTCTGAGACCAAGTAGAGACGAACTTAGATCACCTGTGATACACAGTACGAATAGATCATCAAGACGGCGGAGAAATTCCTTGCATGGGATCATCGAGGTGCAATAGAAACAATTACCATAGCAATGGCCGATTGACTTGACAGTGAAGACGGAGCGACGTCTCGCACGAACAGCGCGCTTTCATACGCGAACACTTCTAACAGTGAACTACACACTAATACGCTACAATTATGATTGACCCTAACACTGCGTGCCTGAATGGGAAGCGAGAAAAGTTTAGATTATCAGTTAGACAAATTCATGAACATTCTCGCTAAAGGCTCACCGCTCTGCTGCAAACGACTTTATAAAATTCTTCTCAGAAGAATCGAAGCGCTTGAATGCAGCACGTAAGCGCGATTCCAATTCCTGCTTGTCGGAAGTCATCTAGGAAGTATACATTTTAATGCATACTATGTACAGATGCTGATTTTTCCGTTGAGCTTGAGGGTTAACAAAGCCCTGATTTTGACACGACGCAGTACATTTTACACGAGAGGCAAATGCAGCCTGAGAATATCAAAAGTCGTAAGTCGAATGCAGCAGCGTCAAGATTTGGTTTTCTCCGAGTGGGTGAGAAGTTATCTGGTCCTTATGCCTATGATGATAAAGTTCAAGTATTTGGTGATGAAGAGGATTAAAGAATCATGATGTAACAAATTGATGAGTGCACAATTTTATACTACGACAGGAGTCCTGCGACTGCTGCCCGTGCTGCCAGAGGGACTCTTCCCTCTTTTGTTGACAACAGCGGGGGATAAACTTCTTCGTCGTGACCCCAAGACGATGTGCTCGTCAACTAAAAGCTCATGGCGCTCTTCGAGCTCTTCAGACGTATCTTCTTCGTCTTCATGAGGAGCGACGGCAGCGTAGAAGCCTCGTTTGGTCTTACAAGCCGCAGGAGAGCTCGTAGGAACGCTGGGACGTGTCACAGAGGTTGAGGGGATACCATGTGTGGTGGACGGCGTGTGGGTGATGGGCGGTAGAGGGGACGGCAACGAGGACGACGAGGCTGGACGACGAGTCTCCTCCGTCACGTACCCTGAGTCAGGGCCCCTGCCGCTGTCGGAGTCCCCCTCGCTGCGACACGCCTCCTGGACCGCGGAAATGTTATTTTTAAAAATTACTTAGGCTTTTGATTGGTCCGAAATTACATCAATTGGGATTTATTGTAACACGCTTATAATTATGTTGTACATGAAGCGGAACACTAACTTGATTATATCTTAACATGGTTATATGTAATAATTCTATACTTTAACAAGACTGTGGCTATGTAATATTCTAGTTTTACTGAAGTAAGGCTTTATAATAACATGACTATAAGGATACTATTATAATAACTATATAAGAAAAGTAGAACCGATACTGTTCAGGGGATAGGAAAATATAAATTTCATTAAAAAAGTCATTAATTGATCACAACTTTTTTATTAATATTTCCAGTTCATACCGAAATGATAAGCTTGCCATTAAGGATAGTTTCTAACCTGCACATACTCCTCTTCATCTGGCCCATTAGCCAGTGTTGAGTAGTGTATGACGGGCACGGGCGGGAGTGGTGATGTGCCGCAGGGTACGTTAGTGTAATGATTGGTGTCAACACTGCTCTTGTTGCTGTATGTGTTGCTGTTGCTGCTGTTAGTGTCACTGTGGCCGCTATAGCGTCTACCGTTAACCACAGACGACTGGGACACGGGCGATAAGCACGGCAGTCGCCGTTCGTCAACTTGCGCGCCCGTTGACGACGAACAGCGTTCATCTCCTGATGACAGGCGACGCTCTGCCACAGACGAATTGCCTGACGATAGACGACGATCGTCGATGGACGATAGGCGGCGATGATCAGACGAGGAGAGGCGACGACCATCGGAAGAGGAGAGTTGATGCTCATCCCCCGAGGGGAGATAGACAGGGTTGTGGACGTCAGCGTGCGGTCTGCTCCCATCGAAGGTTATCATATCATGACCCCACTGCTGGGGCTGCATTGATCGGTTGGGGGGCTGATAGGCTGAGGATGGAGAAGCCCCACTTGTTCCAGAGTGATTGGAAGTTCTGCTGTGGGGCACGCCTCTGTGGTTATGGTGTAGATGTCGTGAGGTGCTTGAGTCACTTAGAACAGGATTGTGTGTATTGTGTGTAGTAACGCTGACGTTTTGGGGACATTGGGGGCTGAGTTGTGCGGGGGTAGAGGGTATGAGTAGATCCCCGGCTTCCTCAAAGGAAGGATGACTGCTACGAGCCCTTAGATACGACTCATCCCGCGCCGCTTCAATCGGCCTCGAACTTGAGCCTGCACATACACAAAAAAACTTTCTCAAGCAACAAGCCAAACTGGACAAATCTTGAAACGGTTTGTGGCTTACACCGAATATTAAATGATTCACTTGTTTTGTTTAAGAAGCCATCTAAAATTGTCTCTCATTATGAACCAAATTCTGAAATAATTCAAGACATAAGCATGTGGTCGTGGGCAATGACCAACACATTCTAGGTCGCACCTTCCTCAGATATGTCGAAGTTGAGAGTCTGCCAGGAGCCCTGAGAGTGGGACCCATCATCCCGAAACTGATGGGGAGCTGGCACAACTGAGCCGCCGAAGTAGGTCCTGTTGGTGACCATGAGACTCCTGACCTCAAGGTACTCCACGCTGGCTGTGATCATCGCCTCGAAGATCTCCGTGAGCTGCCGGAAGTCCGGTCGTCGGTGCGGGTCGGCATCCCAGCAAAATAGCATCACCTCGTACCTGACCACACAGAACAGCTTAATAGCACCGCTGCCCACCACTTCCACTCTAAAGCATAAGAGAAATTTAGGAAACAAAAAACAATCTTCAAAATTCCAAAACATGGTCAGAGATGCCATACACGAAGAATCAAATAACAGATATAAGAAATTCGACAAGCACGATGATCAGCAAATGTTGGAGGTTTGCCTCACAGTTCTTGAGAGCAGTTGTGAGGGCGCTCCATTCTGTAGCCCCCTTTCAGGAGGTCATAGAGGGATTCCAGTGAGACTCCCGGGTAAGGAGTTGAGCCGAGGTTGACGAGCTCCCACAGAAGCACGCCAAAGCCCCACACGTCACTCTTGGTGGTGTAAACGTGGTCGATCAGAGACTCGGGAGCCATCCACTTTACGGGAACTGGAAACAACAACGTTGTTACTACTAGAGGGTCCTGCAGTTCTTATTATAAACTTGGTCGGTCAAAGACTCTTGAGTCATTAACTTAACGGCTTAACCATCTACCGTCTGACATGAGTAACCGGAGCAATATTGTCACAAGCCTACTTCCCAAAAAAGATGCGTTCTACTGAGCGCAAAATGACATGCACTGATGGTTGCCGCCACGTATGACAACTTTGAAAATGTTCTCATTTGGGGACAAACGTCATCAGGCTGCTACACTCAATAGTTTACATATAATTCAAGTTGAAAGTTATGTTTCCGGAGAGTGACATACGGCGGTAGAGGGTTAAATCAACATTGCAGGAAAACGAGTGTAGAGCAGCTGCAAGAATGTACCGTCACCCCGTCAGTAATTGCAAAATTGTACATCATGGTGAAGTGAAAAACTAGTTTTCGGAAAAATCCTAATCTGACAATAATTTTTTCATATGGACTCTTTCCAAACTAAGTCCCTTTAGAAGGGCTTACCAATCAAACCGTTTTCAGAGTTGCTGATATGACATTGAAAACGAAAAAAAACGTAAGTTTCAGCTCAAGTTTGACTTGACTTTTCAATTTTTTAAAGGTAACCTGGATTGCGGATATGACATTGAAAACGAAAAAAACGTAAGTTTCAGCTCAAGTTTGACTCGACTTTTCAATTTTTTAAAGGTAACCTGGATTCTTGAAGCGATACTTTAGAAACAAATAATTATTTTAAAATTATAAATCATTGAACAAAACATGGCTCAAATAGATTGACGTTAAGAAGTTCATTCAAGTCTCATATGCACCACAACCTCTCGTCCCACGAAAGGTAACCTGTTATCGCTCAAACGGAACATATCATGAAACATCTCGGCAATTCTCACACTAATGTTGCAAAGTTAACCGATTAACTAATTCGCAACAGCGTGGCCTGTTTTTACTCCCGTTCCATGATCGGCTTAGCATTTGGCCTCTTATGTTAAGGGGTGCCTATTTGATATTACTTGTGACACGATGAGGAGACTCAATAAATTTCCTGGCAAACGTTGCACTGACTTCAGTTTTCTGTTATGTTATTGTGCCTTTTTATATCAATAATAAAGCTGATGTCTCGATTCATAAGAAAACTTTGGCTGTAGTGCGTGATGGCAATGCAGTATTTTTATTCTGCCGCAATTTTCAAATTTTACGCCAATGAATTCGTCGCAGTCAATTAACCGGCAAGCATTACTTAGATTGCGATCTCTTAATTCTGCCCACAAATTTAGAGAGCAGCGACGCTGGGTGGCGCTATAATCTAATGGAGACCGGCAATTGGGCGGGTAATTTCGGCGGAAGTGAAGCTGCGGCAGTTAAATACGCAACATCAGAAGGTTTATCAATATTCAGAAAGAAATGCTGAAAGCCTCACCTCGACTCTTGCTTTTCTTGAAGTAGAGATCGTCCTCGTATATGTCCCTCGTGAGGCCGAAGTCAGAAATTTTACAAACTCTGTCGGCGTCGAGCAGCACGTTCCGGGCCGCCAGGTCTCGATGCACCAGCTGGCACGCACAAAGAGCCATTAAGCACTCATCAAGCATCAATATTTGAAAATAAATAACTATTCAACCAAATTAGATAGATTGGGCCAGGATTTTAAGAGCGACGAAGGTCATTGTCAAGCCTGCGTCGTTGAATTCGTCTTCAACGTCTGCGTCGTTGAATTGGGCTAAGTTAGATGAGGAATGCCATGTCATGAAGGATCTGATTATTCAAGGACGGGGAAATAGCAATATCTTAACCTTGAGGCTGGCGAGGTACGTCATGCCCTTGCAGATCTGCCAAGCGAAGGAGAGCAGGTCTCGTGGCGTCACCGTGAGATCTTGGCCAGCGTCCTGCGCGGCTCCCACGCCCTCCTCGAACTCGTAGTGTCGAGACCGCCGCAAGAAGTTCCTGTAGTGCAGAGCTTGTATCAGACACACTCACAAGGGGGCTAATTAGAGACACACGCTATGAACATAACTAAAATTTGAACACAAAAAATTTAGGTGTAAGGTAAATAAGAAGCACATCTGAGAAAAATTCTAATAGTTAGTCTTCAGGGTGTAAGTGAGCAATAAGATGATCATCAGTGCGATTTAATTTAAGGCACGAACCTAAGAGCGCCGTATTTGCAGTACTCGATGATGAGGTAGATGGGGCCTCCCCTGCTGGTGCAAGCACCCAGCAGCTTCACCACGTTCGGGTGGTTGACGTCCTTCAGGAGGCTGTACTCTGACAGCAGGTCGCCCAGTTCGGAAGGGGTGCTGTTCTGCTTCAGCATCTTTACGGCCACCGTCGTGCTTCCTGGATATATGCAAGGCACAGTTAGGACGAAATACGAACCGAACAGATGATTTAGTTATTGGAGTCTATTAAGTTATTTGCGCAACCAGTGTAGCATTACAGTACTCGCATTAAATTCAAGCTGTCAGAATTCAGTTAAAGACGCATTATAACTCACCAGGACGGCCAGCGATGTCGAGCGCTCGTCCCTTCATCACCTTGCCGAACTCGCCCTCACCCAACGTCTCCTCCAGCGTTAGCTGCGACCGCGGAAACTCCCATGCCACGTCCACCTACCGCATCACACGCATCAGCACAACTACAGAGTCGGCTACAAATGATCAAGCAGCTGCCTTGCCAGCCATTTCATTCCATAGATAATTCAGCTATAATAAAAGACACCTAATAGATGGATCATTGACGCAGAGCCAGCTATCAAATCCGCGGGCTAGGCAGCTAGATTGTTTCGTATTTGTTTCTGAAATGCCAACAGAAATCCTGAACAGAGATCATCACAAACATATTTTTGTCAAAGATTTAAACTAAGGAAGTGAATAAGGCAATGCAAATGAAATGTTAAGGCCTTGGCATGCAAGGAGAGAAGGGAAGGGATATTGCCGCTCTACGGCTGCATTTGTTAGTATTTAAAGAGGTGCTATTGAAGGCGAAAGGTCACCGGAGAGAGGGTAACAATGTTACCATCTGCACTCCTGTAACTTCTCAGCCTTAATGGCTAATTAATTCCATCGACAATTGCAGACTCAGCCATAACATTTGATGGACGCTCTGCGTGGGCCAGAATCAATGATTTCGAATTCCACTTGGCACTTGGAGGCAATCGAGTCGCGTGAATGTTAAACCGAGCTTCCATTTCGTTGCCTTCTGATTTTAAAAGAAAGTCGCATTGTATTTATTAATTATTACATCACAATATGCAAATCATATATACTAAAATTGCAAGCATATTTAATGTGGCGCACAAAAGCATGAATTTGATAATCGGCTGGCACGAAATTTGCTTGATTACAAGCTCAGCATGCAATTTCGTGCAATGATTTGTTATAGTAAAATTGGGAACCATTTTTAATGATGCTACGTGGAATACGCCAAACATAAATTACTTTAATGGCGGTGCACTTATGGAACTGATCTCAACGTGGACGCTTATGGTTTATATTTCAACAGCTACGTTGTAGTTCCTGACAGTTGTTTGCTTCAAGTTACAATGCAATGATCACAACTGAAAGCTAACGGCTGTGATCAGTCTCAAGCAGCGAATTGGTAGCGAACAAAGCAGCCTAAGCACTGCTGGGGAAATCATGCTCTACACATCAAATGCTCCGACGTTAAATGAAAAAACTAAACTGCCGGGCCTCGGGCGGGTCCAAAGCCAATCTGGGACGAGGACGTCAGAAAAAAAATTAAAAAACGCACCGCTAGTGAACTACAGGAAACTATATTAAGCGATTTCCGTTTCGATCGACACTCACGCTGAGGGCGTGCTTCACATTGACGCACGCTGAGGCCTGAGGGTTTGCCTCTGACCGACACTCGCTGATGGCTGGCTTACAGATTGATACTCACGCTAAGGGCGCCGACGGGCAAGAACTCTGCCATGATGGCATGGGCGCTGGTGGAGGTGACAACGGAGCTTGGCCGTGCCCCTGGAGTGCCGTTGACTGCATGAAGTGCCGTTGTGTGGGCCTCGCCATGAGAGGTACTCGCTCCCGACGGCCGCTCCTCCATGAAGTCGGGGGCCAGCGCTCCCAGAGTCAGGCTGCCTGATTTGTGCTTGCCGTTACAGCTGTTCTTCTTACTGTTGGACCCCAAGAAACTTGCGTGAGAAACTTCACTCCTGCTTAGGATGCAATTCAGGTAGGAGTTAATCAAGATGCAATTCAGGTACGTAAATCAATGAGTGGTGCTTGAGAGGGATAAAAAAATTAAATACAAGCTACCTAACTCAAGCATCATGCTTGAAGCACAAAGGCACCAAAGGCATGAAGAGATTGAAATTCTCCAGGTTTTGCTCGCAATTATAATTATAGTTTAGAAGCAAGAACGTTATAATAAACAACTACGACAAAGGCTCAAACTGAAAGTCAGACGGAATGGTTTGAGGATATTTGCAGCCTGCATCGCCTGACGAAGAAGAAATTTTCCGCGGATCAGAAATCGAGTTTAATTTGCGGAAATATTTCCCAGCAAATCACATATAATGGTCATGAAAGATTTCCATGAAAATGCGCATCAAGAACGAAATTTAAATTGCTTGGCCTAATATATGTTCTGGAAATCGCAGGCAATCCTAAAATATTAGAAGACGCCTAATTTATAAATATCACAAAATTCTGCTCGTTTAAAGCAAACGAGGAGGGGGAGGCGGAGGGGGAGCATCTTCAAATCTTAGTAATGCAATCGAGAGGCAAGTATGCAGAGAAAACTTTGTCCTTAGGGAGGAATAAGAACAAAAGCCATGCGCTCCATTAACGGGATCAGCTTCCCTCAAACCTCGTAGCCGGCGCTACTTTCATCAATCTTAAGAATAAAGAAAGACTGATAAGGAAACTAAGGCAATAAATTTTATTTGGCGCGGTCACATCAGGAAATCACATTTTCTCAGCCTCAAGTGATCAGCTAAACTCTAACGCTTGACCCGCTCAACCAATTTCTGTGTTCATTTGAATGTAATTTGCAACTTGATTGGACTTCAGTTGGGCGTTGACAGGCTAAACATTCTTCACACTTTGGGAATATTCTAACAGGACAATTTTAAAAATGACACGTCAAACGATCCGTCCATGTGGGTGAAATTGTGAGATATAAAGTTTTCAATGCAGCAAGCATTGCACTTCGAAACTTTAATTTATTTACGTTCTTTACTCCCTACCAATTCGAGTAAATTGAACGGAAAGCTGGCTTTAACCTTGAGAGAAGAATTCAAGAGCAGTAACTAGGGCATGTTTTTTCGTAATGTCTTCGCAAATGAGATCAGAGATTCGTTTAGCTGCTATTCTCCTTTGGGAAGAGCACGGTAGGTTGGATCGTTGGCAACAGAAAGCCAAGCCCTAACAGGGCAGAAACATAGTATATATAAAGAATAAGAAAGTACATAGAAAATGAAGCTTCAAACTTGAATTAGATGCGTGGTGATTTTTGGATTGAAGCTAGCTTATTATTTACGCGTCAATAGGATAGATCGGTTCACTTTAACGATTTTCGCCATTGAAGATAATTAAACTTTTTTATGATTTGCTTTGGTTATCAGTGTGGTCGATAATAATTTCAGATACCTAATAAATGAACTATAGTAAGCATGGTAAGTGGTCATCGGAGAATATGTCGGTCTTACACGAGCAGGGCCTATACTTTCAAAAAAAGTTAAGAGATCGTAAGTTCATCAGCTAATTATTGACGGGCTTTCAAGCAAAATCCACCAATCATAGACAAGAAAATAGAGCGTAAGTACTTACGTTCACTTAGCGAATTTTGAAAGTATGGCCCCAGGACTCGTTCTTACTCACCGCTGTAGGCAGATGAAGTAAGCGATGGCGATGCCAACAACGAGCAATACCAGGCATGCCAGTCCAGTCTGACATATCGTGTCGCACTCTCCTGTCATTAAACAAACAGTCATTAAGTTCAGATTATCATGAGAGTTCATTTTACATTGAATTTCGGAGCGCTCAAGAAAAATTTATCAAAAATGAGCAACGTTTCACTATATCCAACGCTTGAGCAATTCAGGCCGCTATGGTAAACGGAATCCTGGCAGGCCTAAGCATCTTCTCGTCAAAACCCATAAATTATGAATTTTTGCTCCGTATTTTCCATCGGCACTCATATTTGTCCCTACACCTCCTACACTTGACACTTCCTACATTACACCTCCTACACTTGACACTTCCTACACTTGATACTTCCTACATTACACTTCCTACACTTGACACTTCCTACATTACACTTCCTACACTTGACACTTCCTACATTACACTTCCTACACTTGATAAAGTTTGTTGTTTTTTTTTGTGGCTGAAGTCTGGCACTTGGAGGATACAGAACATGATCGGGCACGCATCGAGGATGCTTACAGTGTCAAGATATTAACTGGGAAATTTATTTTTAATTATGGAATTAAGTGACAGTGAGAAATGAAGGGAAGAATTAGGTTTAAAAGTTGCATTGAAATTTTTACATTAGTAGGTGTAAATTTTACATATATAAAAAAAATAAAATTTCAAGTAAGCTCTAAATAACAAAACAGGCGTTGAAGTAGAGTTCCTTGATAGATGTGGAATTGAATCGATCTAACTTCACTTACAGAATTCGAGATTCAAAATAATCAACCAGATTCTGGATGATGGGATTAAGGATGAACGATTTTGAAATGACGGGATTAGGAATAACAGAATTCTCAAATCGAAAGGATAATATTTCGAGCAAAGCTGGGCTAACTGCTACTAAAAAATAAAATAGAAGAACTTAACTTCATTTAAATTCATGAATGGTGAACAAAAAAAGATATTGTAATGTTTTCATAACTTCAAATCTTTCGAGTGAAAGGTCAGAAAATGACCATCTAATGTAGCTCGCTGGCAAATAAAGTGGGAGAATATTTTTGTTTGGCACAAGAAGCACTTGAGGTAATGTCTACTCGTGTGAATGTCATGCTTTCGCATGGAGATTTATTTAGAGAATGTGACAATTGTTTTACTGATGTGCCTCGCCAGGAGGCAAACTTGTATGCAAAGCAGAAGCACACGTCAACGACTCAAGGGGGTGTTATTGCAACGACACTAAAATTTAGAATAAAACAAAATTTGCATTAAAAATAAAGCGTTAATGCTAAATGCCGACGACTGAAAGCCAGAATTAACAGCGCTGTTTGAACCATGCAAACCTGAAAGTTAATCACAGAGTTAACATTGACATAATTTAGACCTTTTTAATTAGCCTCAATGTCATTAAATCGAAGGAAGTAAAAATTAAAGAGTTCGAATGTTAATGAGGTATCAATTAAATAGCAGCTTAAAATAAATCTTCATGGCAATCCAGTATGGATTTTCGACTTCAAAACGAATTAAGCACATTTGACGACCGAAAAACATAAGTTTTAATATGAATTTTGTTGTGATTTAAGTTGGCAGCATGAAGAAACAAGCCAGGACATAGTTTGTTACGAGTTCGCACCTTCGTTAGGTAATCGTATCGTTGTTACGTACTCGTATCGCTGTTGTGCGGTCGTATCTTTGTTACGTGCTTGCGTCTTTGTAAGGAACTCGTAACTTTCACGTACTCACGTCTTTGTTACGTTTTCGTATCACTGTTATGTACGTAGTCGTTTCCTTGTTACGTATTCTCGTATTTTTGTAACGTAATCTCGTATTTTTGTTACGAATTCTCATATTTGTAACGTACCCTTCCCCTTATTTGGAAGCTTAATTATTTAGGACGACGGCACGACGCATTCAAATATTCAGAGCAAATGGAAAGCACGGTCGTTTAAATGTAGCACTGTAATGGAGCTCAAGCGCATCCTCTCAACCGGAAGCGAATAAAAGAATAAAAATATCGAATATTTAATGAAAATTAACATGGAAAAAGTTCTTGCCACGAATGAACTAGAAATGTTTTACACTGTATGAACAAATTTCCCACGTAACGAGCTCTTAATGAGGTGTTTTTTTTAAATAAAAGAATAAAGCTCGAAGTTAACGCCGCTCTTGCTGTCTTTATGTTATTAAATACAGAAAAATATTTAAAACAGCGTTTGTAGTTGTAGCCATATTACACAAAACTCTTAAAAAAAACCGCATGCAGGGATATGCGTCCCCCAGTATAGATGCACGAATAGAACCAAATGAAGCCCACATTCAGATATTGAAGTATTTTGCGAGCAACTGAAGTACCCACAATAATGGTATTGCAACCATAACGGGGATAGTGCCATAGCCAAGCTTCGTTTCTTGCACGCTGTTCAAGCGCGCCACGGGCGATAAGGCGGCAGCTGCTCTGGAGAGCGGCTCAACGTTTGTCGGTGTTCATGAGAACCAGTTTTTGGTGACATAAATATTCTAGTTTCTGTAGGCATATGCACCTTTGGACGTTGAGAGCAATGCGTAGCTTTTCGGTGTTATAGAACAAGATAACAAAAACACAAACTTTCTCAAAAGTAATGAATTGAACATCTATACATTTTTGATTATCTAATTAATAACATATGAAAATGTGGAACCAATTTCCTATTCGAGGGCTTTTTGCGCAACAATGCTAGGCTCGCTGTTGTTATAAAAAATATCAACAAAAAATGAATGCAAATTTTATGAAGAGTGTTTTGATTGGTTTTGTTTCGGTGAATTCTTTCCGAATCAGTAAAAGAACGCGGAAAGTGTGTAGAATTTGAGGCATAAATAAATGACTGCTTAACATGTGCCAGTCCAGTTGCACTTAATCGGTAGTTGCAAGTTCACAGTAAAAAAATTAATAAATTTTTTTATATTTGGACAAAATTCAACCTTAAAACCTTGACTTTCAACCTCATCATTTAAAAATGAGGACCAAACCCAATATATTTTTACCCAAAGAAGCAGAAAACAGTTTAACGAGGACATTATTAGTGAGCGGCAGTCGGTGAGATTCGCTAACGGCAGGAAAATGTCCGTTCGGTTCCAACAAGTCACAATGTTATGCGAAAAACTTTAAGCCAAACAGCCTCCAGGTCACGAGGCACAATTAGTACTTACCTTAACTGTACTAATTAGAAAAACTACAATTGTGTTATGCTTAATTACTTTCATGTTTCAAACGTGTCATGAACACGATGAAGCAAGCAAGAAACATCACACGAAAAGCCGTTAAAACAATGAATGGTTGTTGTAATATCAGTAGTATACCAAGGAACCTCGGCAGAGTTAATAGATATTATTACGAGCAGAACTACGAAGAAAATGGCAAGCTTGTTAATTGTTGTGCACTCAATCCACCAGCGTGAGTACCTGAGAGCCCGAAGATATTATTAGTGGAAACCGCGGCGAGAATATGTCTAGAAAGATATAGTTTTTGAGGAACGAATTGTTAGAGTTTGTTCACAGGAAAACAGGCTCACACGAACAAAAATGGAGCGCTGGATCACCTGGAACAGCTCCGGAGAGCTTGAAGCAATCGTGGAGGTGACAGGGCTGGGGAATAGGATCAGCAACTGCTTCCTCTGTACCAATTCAGAGAATTTTAATATGAGGGTTAATGAATGGCGTATTATTATTACTATACACGAAGCTGCTATCGTGGCGTCTGGTTCAAACGAACTTCGTGGGCACGTTACACATAAGTTGAATAGAAAGCGAAAAATAAATAGGCACGAGAAAGGATGGGAACGGATAAAAAATGGCTCAGCCCTTTGATTCATAGGCTGTACGAAATAGTTCCTTCTTTAGGCGTCGACGAAACACCAGCAACGAAGGAGCCGATGTTCCGGAAGCCGACAGACTCTTCCAGGTTCGGGCGGCGGCGACCGGGAACGCTCTGTCGCTGACAGTAGATAGACTTGTGGATGGAACGACGAGATCCGCTGTTGATGACGAACGCAGTCGTCTTCTAGAAAGCAGATCCGATACGCGCTGCAGACATTCCGTGAGATAAGGAGGCACCAAGCCGTGAAGGCATCGGAACGTCGGAATAGCGACTTGAACTGCGTGAGCTGCTATACATGCGCAGCCAGTGAAGATCGCGCAATATCGGCGTCACATGGTCGAATTTTCACTTATTGCACACGAGTCGCACAGCAGCGTTAATTACGTTTAGTTTAGTGCCGTGGTCGGAAGTCCAACCATAGTCCAATCTATTCAAAACGAATGCCACCACGAGGGCCTCGAGGCTGCTACTGCCGCATTCATCAATAAAACAAGATGAAGATATATCATTTTGGTGTGCACAATTAATTCAATTTAATCAGCATTAAATAAAAATATTTGTGAAGAATGTCGGCTGTTTCGGAAGATGTGAGTAGCTATTTGTTGAATTTAGACAGACTTTATTATGAAAGAACTTAATTGGACTTTATAATGGCTTCTGGTCATAATTATAATTAAACTTTCTGGATTCACATCAGGTTCTTTCTCTCATGCATTTGATACACAACCCATTGTTCCTCGGTGCAGGGTGACAAACCCTTTCGGGCGTGATATGGAATCAAACAGATTCATTCCATACGGAATAAACTTAATTGGATTAATCATTGTAAGCCTCTAAAGCCGTGCCTTTAGAGGCTTACAAATCAGCCTTTAAATTTTCACTAAATACTAGATCGAGCTGCTCAGCGGTGTTCCGGTAAAAATTAGATGTCTTGTCGTGCACTCTAATTATTAACTTTGAAAACGGTCGAATGCTTAACCTGTCAATGCCAGACTAAAGTCCAATCCAGTTGCAATTTAAATTCAAATCAACATAGAAATAGTCTGCATGGTTCGGTCAGGGGTTGACGTCTAGTTGATTGCTCATGGCTCGGAAATTGCGATTTTCCGATGCGATCAATTGTTCAATAACCTTGCATCAGTGAAGACGTCGTACCTTGTGAGGTCGTGACGGGTGTGCGGGAGTCGTGGCGCCCTTTGTTGCGGCCGACGGGCGCCGTCTCCTCGGCGGGGAAGCAGGTGCAGTGGTCGTCGCACGAGCACACCCCCAACCCTCGTGCTATGCCCACTCCCCCTCTGTTGAGCTCGTGGTATTGTCCCCTGACTCGTGATGCCACTGGGGGACAGACAGAGTAAATAATATTTTTAATAAAGCCTTCTTTACATGGTCGAGACATTACGAACATTATAACATAACACATCTCGCACTTACACAACTCATAATATTGAGCAAAACAAACACAAGCTCACCCAGCAGACCCACAGACACCTAGCAGACACGCAGACACTCAGCAGACACGCAGACACGCAGACAGCCAACAGACACGCAGAAACTCACGGACGCAGTCCTGTGGACAGATCTTGAAGTGGAGTTGCTCGAGCTCGTCGCAGAGGCCGTCCGGACACGTGGTCAGGTCAGGCGAGCACGTGGCGTAGCGCACGCTCGTGCCAGTGCCTTCGTACGCGCGCCACTGACACGTGCCCGTGCCTATGTCGTCGTGGAACATACACAGTAGATAGTGACTTGATACTGCGGTGACTATGTGATTATGTGACCTGATACTGCAGTGACTATGTCACTTGATACTGCAGTGACTATTTGACTTAATACTGCGGTGACTATGTCAATTGAAATTGCACTGACTGTGTGACTGGATACTGCGGTGACTGTGTGACTTGATACTGCGGTGACTATGTGACTTGATTCTGCTGTGACTTCGGTACTTGATAAAGAAGTGTAATGGTGATTTAACGTATCAGTTAAGTTACGTTACGTAAGTCAATTGAACTTCAATACTCAAGCCTACAGAAGCCGCCCCATGAGAGCGGATAGCTATCGAGAACAAATTTCGAATGAAATAAATAAATTTCCCAGTTTCGATATATAAATTCTATGATGTTGCATTTTCAACGATTTACGAAGTGACACCAAACTTGTTAATGAAAATATTGAATTTGGAATGAGTTTGAGGAAAAATCAAGGAATTATAAAAAAACAGCGAGAAAATAAGACGAGTGGGAAGCTGAGAGGAAAAAGGTGTCGCGTTCAATTGATTAAAAAAATATTTAGTTAAATTTGTAAGAGAATTATTGTATGGAACACATCATTGAAGGAATGAAATTAAAAGCCGTAATATTAGACGACTTTATGTAAGGTGCACCTGAGGCGGCAGTGGCCAGTCCGCAGGTGCTCTCGCACAGGTCGCTGTAGGTGATGGACGAGCAGGTCTGCAGGTTGCTGGGTGCCGGCAGGTTCTCGGGAGTGGGAGGGAATGGCGCTCCCTGAAACAGGTAAAGAGAAGGCTATCGGAAGCCCCCAAGCCGAGGGATAACAAGCTATTCTATGATACAAACGAAGAATAAGGCATGTTTATTCATATTGTAATAAGCTATTCTATGATTATAACGGCTAACAAGGCATGTTTATTTATAATGTAATTAGCAATTCTATGAGTAGAACTAATAAAATATGTTTCTCGCACCTGGTCCAGGCATGGGCTGAGGCTGCGACTCCACCACAGCAGAACCTCGAAGCGCTCGACACCATCACTGAAAGTGTCGTTGAGGTCGCTCCTGTCGGGGGGTGAGGTCCTGAGGGCGACGTCCCGACGAAGAAGCTCAATGAACAGCGGCTCTTTCTCTCTGTTGGTTCCGTCAAGAGCCTCCTGAAGAAGATCCACATCCGACACGTAAAGTATTCCCAGGATGGGGGTGACAGACACGCCCTTGTTGAGGCTCTCCTGGGCCAGGCTGAAGACGCCGTTCTTCGTGGATGAGTTGGACACGGTGAGCGTCTTGATGTCCTCGACATCAGGGCCGGCTTGAGGCATCATGAGGTGTGCGGGCCTAATGATGGATTCTGGTGCTGGATACGTGCTGGACACATCGCTGGATACGAGGTGTCGGTGGTGCTCCAGCAACGCAGGGGCCAGGTCGGGAGGGATGATCTGGACTAGCCGTGAGAACAGCGGCACAGGCCTGGGAGAGGGCGAGGCTCAGGGACGCAGGCACAGGCATAGGATTGAGTAGGGATGAATTCAATTTTTATGTGAACTTTGTGGTGGTTCAATAGAGATATAGTTTAATGATGTAGTTTCATGATATAGTTTCATGATTTAGTTTCATGATATAGTTCAATGATTTAGTTTCATGATGTAGTTTAATGCTATAGTTCAATGATATAGTTTCATGATGTAGTTCAATGATATAGTTTCATATAGTTTCTTGCACATTCGCTTTGGAGGAAGGTGACTTTCATAGAATCATGATTTGTATTTCGCTGCCCTAGATCGATAGTTGAGCTTCTAATTAAACATAAAATCATATTATAAACGAATTTAGAAAGTACTAATTTGCTAATAATTCAATGATTTAAGATTACTCAAGTCACAAATAAGTCTCATGGAGAATACTTCTCTGCTCACATCACCCCTCCCTCCCTCTCATCACCCCCTGCCTCCCTCTCATCACCCCTGCCTCTCCTCACATCCCACTCCCTACCCTTACATACCCCCTCCCTACCCTTTACCCTCCCTCCACTCACATCACCCCCAACCTTCTCTTTCTTCACATCACACTGTTGACGGCGGCGGTGACGGAGGCGCGTGCACGCAGCAGCTCCCTGAGCTGCTCGTCGCTGACGCTCGCCCCCGCAGCCACGTCCTGCCCCGCGACGTCCTCCTCCAGCGACGTGGACGAGCCGAGCAGCAACGTCACGTTATACGTCGTCTGCCACACCACCAACGTCACAACCATTAGTAACAACAACAACAACAACTACATGACAACAACCATTAGTAACAACAACAACAACAACTACATGACAACAACCATTAGTAAAAACAACTGCAATAACGACAACCAACAACGATACGCAGCAACAACAACCATATGCAGCTACGAAGGGGCACTGGAGTTAGGGGGTACGTCTTGCGCTGGTTAAGCATTTAAATCAAATGAAGTCAGAAGTTATATATCTTTCGAAACGGAAAAATAAATTACAAGCATCGATCGAACACTTGAACTTATCGGCGAGTACGTAATGCTCACCTTATCAGTAGGCACGTGATGCTCACCTTATCAGTGGGCACGTGATGCTCACCTTATCAGTGGGCACGTGATGCTCACCTTATCAGTGGGCACGTGATGCTCACCTTATCAGTGGGCACGTGATGCTCACCTTATCAGTGGGCACGTGATGCTCACCTTATCAGTGGGCACGTGATGCTCACCTTATCAGTGGGCACGTGATGCTCACCTTATCAGTGGGCACGTGATGCTCACCTTATCAGTGGGCACGTGATGCTCACCTTATCNGGAACTAGGTGTCACCATAAACTAGGTGTCACCAGGAGTTAGGTGTCATCAGGAACTAGGTGTCATCAGGAACTAGGTGTCACCAGGAACTAGGTGGCACCATAAACTAGGTGTCACCAGGAGTTAGGTGTCATCAGGAACTAGGTGTCATCAGGAACTAGGTGTCACCAGGAACTAGGCGTCACCAGGAACTAGGTGTCACCATAAACTAGGTGTCATCGTAAAATAAGTGGCACCATAAACTGGGTGTCATAAGAAATCAGGGCGTCATATCAACAACTAGGTTTCATCTGAAATTAGGTGTCACTATAAACCAGGTTGAGCGAGTCCCAGAAAAGTGTCGATGTCGTTGGGAATTATAAGTCAGTAGTTTTGTGTTTATTATGAATCGCAAGTCATGGGATAGAACTAATCTTGGAAGACCTACCAGGACTGATGAAGGTGCAGGAGGCGTGGAAGGCGCCGCCGACGAGGGCGCTGCTGGCGTTGCGGCAGTGCACGTTGTTGATGTTGAACTCGTTGATGCTGTCCAGGAGCACGACGCCGGGGACGCCGCCTTCTGTGTGTACGTGGTAGTCGTTGAACACGTCAGCGTCCAGCACCGTCAGGAGGTTATCCAGCTGTAGGGCGGGAGCGCAACGGGATTAGTCCAGCACCGTCAGGAGGTTATCCAGCTGTAAGGCGGGAGCGCAACGGGATTAGTCCAGCACCGTCAGGAGGTTATCCAGCTGTGGGGCAGGAGCGCAACGGATTAGTCCAGCACCGTCAGGAGGTTATCCAGCTGTAGGGCAGGTCCGCAAGGTGATTGGTTCGTGCCTACTCTTCTTGCACGCGACAGCAAGCATTGTGCAAAGTATGCTAGCAACATCTATTGTACTTGATAGAAGTTTTGGTCGTGTCAATTGTCAATATTTTTAGTATGTTAAAACGACGCGATTATGTACGTAAGTCTGTGATGCATAAATATGTCAGGTTTTCGCGACCTCATAGAACTGTGATGCAAATTTTGTATCAAGGTTTCCACAACCCACGACTCTTATGCAACTGCTATTCCAAGGCTTCTGCAAGCTATCACTGTTCTGCAACTGTTACATCAAAGTTTAAAATTCCCGTGAATGTGATGCAACTAGGTAACAACAAGGCAAGCGATGACAAGTCGTTCACTAACATCTTAATTCTTACCAAACATTCAACTTGTTGCTAGCTTATTCAACACAATGATATTCGTCATAAATGCTTAAAAGTAGGAACAACAAAGCCCGTAACCATTGTTGAGAGATAAAACCAAAAACATAACTGGTTGATTTCAGCGTCCGAGAATCATGCCACAAATCATAAAAAATAGCTGTTCTTAAGAAGAAACAGCTTATATTTCCAGAACAGGACTTTCTTTTGCTGCAGAACTTCAAGGAAATTTCTGACCTTATTGTTCACTCAAATGACCCCAAAAAAATACAGCTCCATGAAACGAAGAACAAATCGGTTAAACTTTTGCTAATTAAGCGCCCGTTTATAAAGCGGAGTTTTGGAAAGTGCTGACGATAGCAAGAAGAACGAGGCAGAATGAAAAATTTCAGGGATAGAAAGCTATAAATTTTGGGGTTGGTACTAATGAACATAAGATAATAAGACCATGTTGACAAGAAAATAAATGATTTTTAGGACACAATTTGTCAACAAAACAATGTTGACAAATGGGAGCTTTGTAAACGTGAAATAGAATTCTTGTTGTAGAGAAATGAGAGCCAATTTATTGTGATGAGACAACAATTTATCTAGAAATGGGAACCAAATTTGAACGATAAGAAAATATTTCGTCAATAAATAAATTCAGAATTGTTGGGAATGGAAGCCAAGGTGGAAAGTTGTATCCATATGGATGTGCAAAAGAAGTCATACTGAAGAGGAGAGGCGGCAATATTGATTAAATAAAGGAAGTCATGGAACTGGATGATGTGGATGGCTTGTGATTGCTAATGGAGGTCAAGGGACAAGAACCGGCAGCCATAGCGATAAGACAAGACGGCTAAGCTGCTAAGACAAAGCGCTCTGCGCACCACTGAAGTACCCACGTCTCACCTCCCGCGGGTTATCGTCGACGTGCCAGGCGACGGCGGACGGCTTGTAGCGCACCGGCGGCGAGTCATCCTCGTCCAGAATGTTGAGCTGCACGTCCCACTCTGCATCCACACGAGACCAGGTCTCTTTCTGAGCACGACGACGAATTCGTCAGATCATGAGTGTTGGTAGTACTCGAGCTTATAAATAACAACCTTCGTCGCGGCTTGATCAATAACGTACGCGGTATAAATTAAGTAGGTTTTAATAAACGTTGTAGCAGGATTTCTTTAGACAATTAGATTTCAGACCAAATCAGATCAGATTAGATTTTCACTGAGTTTGGCAAAATTCTTACTGTAATTGACTAAATTCTCAAATTTTCCAGTCAAATTCTCAAGTTTTTATTCAAATTCAAGCAGTTTTTGGTATAACATTTACAGTTTTTAAACAAATTCTTGCAAACAAATTTTCAAGTCTGCGGGGAGATTTTTAATTATGTCTTTGCTCAGAAACGTAAGTTTTTGATCAAAAATTTACATTTCTTCTCACAATTCTACATCTACCAAAACAACTATCGCAAGATCTCCAGTTTTCAGCTACAGGAAAATCTCATTACTACAAACCAGCTGCACTTTTAACTTTATCATGATAATCCCTGAAAATGGGAATTATTTTGATTTCACATTTTACCGCTTTGAAATTTTATTTCCCATGAGAATCTTAGAAGCTGAGGAGACCCAAAATATAGAAAGCTTCAGCTCCGGACGGGAAATTTCGATATATTTTTAGAGTCTCCATAACAGCTTCATGGAATAACGCAACGATGCTTGAAAAAAGTAACAACTTATACGGAAACACGAAAAAATGCATTGGGAAACTGCAACAACTTATGACGCCGTGGAGAAGCATAATAATGATCCGAAAAATAAGTGTAAATATTTGAGTTGAGCTTAAACAAAATCGCGAGAACCTACAACTCAAAAAGCCTCATTTTTCGGGTGAACTGCAACCATATTTAGAACCCATATTGAAATTTGACCCGACAAATTTTCAGAGATTTTTCTTTACATACTCGTTGGCTTTAACTATTTCTGAGAAAACTCGACTCTAAAAATATAAACGTAAAAAAAAAAATTCCTGCCACGGCAGCCGGATATCTCTCGAGGGCACCAGCGAAGGTATCAGATAGCGAGCTCACCAAGATACTAAGGCTGGGGCGGCCGCATCATTTAGTTAATTGAAGGACCATGGACGTATTGGGTGTCGCTGAGAACGGATAAGAGAGGCAGGCTCTCAGCGGCTTTATGCATAGTCCTGAATAACCTAACCATGCATAAAATCTCCACACTAAACTAGGCATAATATCTCAGAATTTAAGTATGAGTAATATCTCAGAAGTTAATTATGCATAATATCTCAGAAATTAAGTGTAAAAAATATCTCAGGACTCAACTATGCATAATATTGCAGAACTTAACTGTGCACAATATCTTAAAACTCAACTGTTCATTATACATCAGAACTTAAATTAGCACAAAATTATCTGAGATTGGCACGTAGACGCGATCCCATCTTATCATAATTATTGTCTGATTTCAAGAGAGAAATCTACAACACTTAGCTTATTATGCTACAATCGTATCACCTCAAGCTGAAAATGTTTAGAGATGATAGAGTGATAACTTACGTGGCAGTGCAGGCTGCAGCCCTACCTTGTCCTGCAGGTGGCAGTGCAGGCTGCAGCCCTACCTTGTCCTGCAGGTGGCAGTGCAGGCTGTAGCGCTGCAGGCTGTCCAGTTCCTCCCGGTCGAGGCTGGACAAGAGGCTCAGGCTGACGCGGGAGCTCGTGCTCGATGACAGCGCGTCACTCGTCAGCACCCGGCTACTGCTGCCTGACGACGCTGTCCGAGGGTAATGGGTGCAAGGGTAATTATAATTAGGGTAATGATTACGGTCATAATGGTTCCGAGTGCATTGATCACGCGGGTAATGATTCAGAGAGTAATGATCAGTAGAACAATGATTCCGGTGGTGATGGTTCCGAGTGTATTGATTAGGGTAATGATTCAGAGCATAATGAGAACGAGATTAATGATTACGTGGGTAATGATTAAGGTGTTATTGGTTCCGAGGGTAATGATTACAATGGGGATTATTACGAGGGTAATGATACCGGTGTTAATGGTTTGTTTCAAGAGTAATGATTAGGAGGGTAATGATTTACAGGTTAATTATTCCTGTGTTAATGATTCTGAAGGGTAATGATTCCGAGGGTGATAATTTGTTGCGATGATAACTTGACGCCGAAGGTGATGGTGTGCTATGATAATGCTGGGTAAACATCAAGACTCATTCAAAACATTAAAACGAACTAAACTGCACCAACTTATAGGTGCGTCTGATGTGAAAGAGCGAAATTTCCTGGTCCTTAAATTTTTATAAAGTAATGCACGAGAAAGAACCAATGAAAATGAAGTTCGTAGTGAAAGGTACCGGTAGCTTACAGTCTTCTGTTTAGAAAGATAAAAAATTCCACAATCCTACTCAGCATGTTACCCAGCCCACGATATGCACAATAGGTGTGCAGCGTGTAGGTGCTCTTCTCCGTTGGGCCACTCAGATGTTGCTGAACATTGCGATCGATCTTGACTTTCTGACTACGTGGATTTTCAGTCACTTATAAAAGGTGAAGCCTAATTAAGCTTATAGGAAGAGATAATTATCGAACGGTTCTTTAGTAGGTTAAGCTTAAGCTTGTAGCGGTAGATACTTTCCAGTCAGCGCTATTGCAGGCGAGACAAAGTTTTCAATCCGTTGTGGTTCGCGAACAATGAATTTCTATTTCAATCTCAAACCAAAACATTTCACACGGTATTTTTAATTTGTAATGTCTAATGATGACTGCTCCGCAACGCTCACGATAAGATAAAATTAAGTGAGTAAGTTGGTTGTGAATCTAAAGTAGTCTGTAGGGACGCCTGCTGCTAATGAGAATGCGTCAGGGCGAGCTAACGGGGTCTGCCGCTGCAGTATAGTGGTGCAGTTCAATTGGTTTCTCATATAACTATCACGATTATTCCTATGATCATAACTAATTATTCTAGTTAATTCCTAAATTAATAAAACATAGCTACGTGTTATTTTATGGAGAACTGCTAATCATAGTGCATTTTTGGTTGAAAAGAGGATATTACCTACACTAGCAATGAATAAACAACAAAAAACACCTACTTGGTAAGGTAAGAAAACAATAGTCCATCATTAAGGGTTCAAGAGGAAACATCGCCGACACAAACCATATCAGAAAATACATCGCCTATACGAACGGTTTCAGAGAGTACATATAGCTTAAACGGTATATGGAGTTAAATAAGAACATAGCCAATTAACAGGAATGGTTTTTAGAACAAAATGCTGTCAACACGAAAATATTTTGAGACAACAGCACTTAAACGAACGGGTGGAGGATGAACATCGTTCACTTGCATGGTCAAAGAAAGATCGACGTAGGCGCGGACAGCTTGTGGATGAATATCATTCCCTGCAGTTCTGGGTTGATAAAGAACATCGCATAAGCCATAAAGGAACAAGCCTCGCCTGCACATGTAAAAACTCAACATCACGCAGAACATAACTAACCTGGCACACGCTGCAAGGAGATGTTGGTGAAGAGGTTGCTGCAGGTGGTGGCAGGTGAAGGTAGCTGCAGGAGGAAGGATGGTGGCCTGTTCTCCCATTGCTGGAGCAGGAAGGGCTCTTGCGGGACATAGCACAGGTCCTTGCAGGGGAGATACAATTTGCTAACAATCACGTGTGTTTCATACACTCTGCTCATGTTGCAGCACACTAAAATTTGCATAATTATCTATACACTGTAAGAAATATTAAATATACACCCCTAGTACATTTTTTTACTTCATGTTTGTTTGGAAAGTGTAGTTTCATCTTTCATGAGACGCCTGGTCGACGTAGATATAGTGTAATCGAATGCAAATCGTTTAATGCTATTGATACGCCCATATTGCTAAATAAACATCAAAGTTGAATAATTTAAAGTGATTAATACACTGGAATTACTCAATTACTCGGAGAAGAGAGCATGGGATCAGCTGCGATTGCATTGCGATGCAAAGTTTATATGTGCACCCTCGCCACTCGCTCCACACGCCGCCAACCCATCCGTGCCACTCACCATGTTCTGCGAGATGCAGGCGAAGGTATCGACGATGACCAAGACGATGGTGAGGAGGGTAAAGGTTGAGCCTTGTTCAGGGGAGGTCGTCCCCGGGGTCAGCTGGTCAGAGGGGGTTGTCCCCGCAGGCAGCGTGTAGTATAACTGAGCCCGCAGCTCGTTCACTGCAACACCAGCGGCTTATATGATGCAACACCAGCAACACCAGCGGCTTATATGATGCAACACCAACAACACCAGCGGCTTATATGATGCAACACCAACAACACCAGCGGCTAATATGATGCAACACCAGCGGCTCCATATGATGCAACACCCGCAACACCCACGGCTCAGCCATATGATGCAACACCAGCAACACCCACGACACAGGTGTGCACGTCGCCAGCAGGTGTGCAAGTCGCCAGCAGGTGTGCACGTCGTCAGCAGGTGTGCACGTCGCCAGCAAGGAAGCCGTACATGTTTTGCAGGTCGTTGGCTGGGTTCTGATCTCCGGTAAGCGATGAATGAACGTCTCGGTTGCCACGAGTTTAGCTTGCAGGACCAACGCGACGCTGCCTTATGGACTGACACTGATAACTTGTGTAAAAATCAACGCAATCGGATGTAGCTTCAAAAAAAGATCAAAGGATGCTTGTTGAAGCACAATCGTTTCTTCTAAAGTAGTTATTTTACTATCATTTTAAATCAACATAATTTGACCAGCTTACAAACTTTTTGAGGATTGGGGAAAGAGACAAGACATTCCATTAAAAATTAAACATTCCATTCCATTAAAAATTAGGGAAAGAGGCAAGACATTCCATCTCAATCCTCTTAGGACGAAAAAATTTCAGGATGGAAATATTACAGGCGCTTGATGTTCGATATTCAGTGACCAGCGATGTGTCTGCTAAAATCTTAGCGCGGGTTGAGGGCATCCCAAGTCTTGGACGGGCCTGAGCCCCCAGGAAGAAAAATGAGCTCAGTGAATTGATAATGTGGTCCACCCTGGTGTGATTTACGGGAAACTCAACCACGCGAGTAACCTTCTAAATTGTAGAAATATCTATGTTTATTAGTGAAGCTGAGTGTTTTTTGGCACCGCGCCCTCCTGATAAATTAACGCAAGTTAGAACACGTTCATCCAATTAAAGACTGCGCAAAGATTTTAACGACAATCCGTACTCGAGGCTTCACGTAAGAATAGTCGTATGCAAATTACAGAATATTCGTATATGTCCTGACTTGGTAGTACTTCAATTTAAAAGTTCACTGGGGAAGAAGAACTGCGCTGTTCATCAACCCCACGTTAAAAATATAACATTGATATTCCAGTTCTCCTCAGCATAATAATTAGTAACATTCACGACCAACATAATAATGAGCAAGCTTCACAACCACCCACATAATTATTAGTCACAATCAGGATCAAATGAAATGAAATGTATAGCAAATCGAAATCCATTACATACAGTATAGCAATTTTTAAATAAATTCTTGGACTTTAAATTTGATTAAGGCACTTAGCATAGCCTTCATGTTAACGCATCTGCGAAGAGCTGGGATTAAAGATTTATCTGCTTCGGTGATATTTCTCGAAAGTGCGGAAGCTCAGCGGCCATTCATTTCCTCTTCCAAAGCTGCATAAAATGGATTGGAAATGTTGCCAGTTTTATAGCAGATAAAAGGTCGCTGGGAACAACTCGTTGACCTTTGGCAACGATTGAATTACTGACTCGCTCACACGCAAATTAGTAACGGGCATAAATCTCACATTGATCTATCACTGATCTGTGAATATTTATAAACATATGATAATTATTCGTTGATATCATATACATTTGTCAAAGTTTGAACGTCTGTAAACATATATGAAGCCTGACATCGTATTTAGTTAGTGCAGTTTGGTCTTACTTATTGCGTCGGTTCATTTATGCGAATACAATTTTACTTGTAGTGGTGGAATAATAGCCTAGGACATTGAAAAAGGAGGAGAACGTTCTATTTAAATTTTGAAAAATTATTTTCATTTCGGAGGAGTAAATTTATTTAAAAAATTCAAGTTTCCTTCAAACTTTTTAATGCTACGTGGATGGGAGCTCCGTACTGAACGTGGGTCTAAACGAATCTTTCTTTAATAAATTATCACACTCAAGTCCAAGTTATAGGATGGCAACTTGTCGCACTGAGAGGCTACAACTTGTCCCACTGAGAGGTCCCAACTTGTTCAACTGACAGGCAACAGCTTGTCCCACTGAGAGGTCCCAACTTGTTCAACTGACAGGCAACAGCTTGTCCCACTGAGAGGTCCCAACTCTGTCTCTTATACACATCTAGATGTGTATAAGAGACAGCTCCTACAGCCACACTACTACAGCCACACTCCTACAGCCATACTCCTACAGCCACACTCCACTTCTTTCCTCTTTCTTTGGAATGTTATCGTAGTGCTAGCCGATTAGATATATGATTGCAGAGCTGGCGGTTAGATAACGCACTGTTAGTGCTTGCGATTTGAAAGCTTACGATTGAAAAAATCATTTAATGATTTCTCTATTCTTTCTTATTCTCTCTCACGTGCTTCCCTCTCACGTCAGGAGCAGACATGGCACCCAGGAAGAATTGTAAATTGAAGACTCGTTGTCGGTAATAACTGCATTAACAAATTGGTTCGAGCAGCAGTAGTGTTATTTTGCGAGCGATTACGCCTTAACGTTCATCGCATAATCTAGGATAATTGCCAATTACATGAGCAGAAATGAAGCGCATTCACTCAGGGGAGATGCGGGCAACGTCGAAAACACTGTCGATGAAATCCTGTTAAGTGGTAAGCGATTATGTAACGTAACTTAAACGATGTACCTAACTGAGTGTCATCTACGCCTTGAGCGTCATTTTTTTGATGACGGTGATTATAACAGAAAACTGGATAATGACGATGAGAATTAGAAGCAAAATACTACGGCTGGCCACGTAAATCAACAATTTATTCGTACTTGTGTATCTTCTTGAAGGTCATGTTCGGTATTTAACAGGCAATTTGAGGTAAAATAGCCTGCAAACGGCCGACTGCTTCTGTTGACAGTGAATAATATTATTGCTATTACTTTTCGCACACAAGATATTATTCAACTAACCTCCGTTTCTGCGATAGTCCGTAGGCTTGAGAGTCTTGGCGAGCTGCAGGGACAGCATCCCGCCCTCGATCTGCAGTACGAACACCCCGTTAGGGTTGACGACCTTTACCAGAGACGTGTAGTCCACGGATGGTCGGGATGACGCCCAATCTTGAGGAGAGACTAACTGCGCACCAAGGTTGGACTCCAGATTAGGGTCGCGGAAGACGTCGTATCGAGGACCCTCCATTTTACTGGGGGGCTGACCGAACACTTCGTTCTTCAGGCTACGCGGCCTGGAGGCCCTGGAATGAGGCACAAACTCTACAGAAGACCGAGCCTGGGCGATTGTATGTTGCTCTCCTTCTGGCGCCGTATCCCTCCTGTCATTACCGTATTGGCTGCTGGTCCATCCACTTCGAGCATCAGAGTCACCAGAATTTTTAGGTCTTCGGTCACCAAGTATCTTGTCTGGCCCCCCACCTCCCTTTCTCTGCCGACTAGCTCTCCCTTTGCCTAAAGGTGTGTTTGCTCGGCTGCTGCTCGGCGTGACCTCTCCTTGATACGACCCAAGACTGGAAATGAGGCTGAAGAAGCGATTCTTGGGCTTAGGGTCAGGGCTTTCATCGTCAGAAATGGGCTGTAACGACCGTCTCTTCAAGCGTTGACGTCGAGCAGACGGTGAGGCATCGTCTGTCCTATAGGACATCTTCTGTTTCAAGCTCTGCAAGGAAATAATGAAGCGTCAGACAACAGCAGTTCAGTTGTGGCACAGCTGGCCTTAATTGAAATTAGGAGAGAAAAAAAATTCATTGTAGTTTCCGTCGTTGATTATATAATCATGGAATTAGAACTGTGAGTGGATAGAGCATTGGAAGCATAGCTAGATTGATAGCATAATAAACTGAGAGATGGGATGACCAGGAAGATATGATGCGAATAAGATTTTACAGCTCGCCTTTACTAGTCCAATCAGCATAACCTAATCCTACGGAATTTGATGCAAATCGAATATATTATTCGAGCTTAGTTTAATTTATTCTTAATGCTTGGCAAAAATGCCATTGACTTCACTAATGATTTCCTCTCAAAAACGCAGAGGCAAACAATAATACCATCCAGAACTCCGTACCGGGATCGCTCAATACGGGAAAGCAATCCGAAGTCGGAACCAACTCGGTGCCGGACTTCAACTACATGAGCATAGCACGAAGTTGAACTGAAATATTTGTTCCAAGAGAAGCTGAAATGCCTGACTCTGTTGAAGAAACATATACTGTACATAAATTACCCGGTGGATAATTAGAAGATTAGTTTCGCGCTGAAAGTTTATGCGAGTTTTTAGCATGAACTAAATAAATTGTTGAGCAATTGTTATGGTGCTTTAAAATACTATGTATTATATTCGTCTTGAGTTATTGGTTAATTTCAAGACAATTATATTGAAACGACAGTATATGAGCGGCAGCCATGTCTCTTAAGGATTTCGTTCAGGGACCTCGCTGAGCTAGACAAGCGGTCGGAGATTGACGGGCTTGATTACCTCGATCAGAAATTTTTAGGTAAATATTAAAGAAATTACCTGATAATTCTTGCAATGATTGCATTGCAGTGAAATCAAAGATAAATAATGAAATCAGACTCTGATTCTTAAGTACGGAGCTGCAGATCATTTACCTTATGTAAGTATTCATCTAAATATTGATCTGAATCATGCATGGTCATATATATGTATACATAGTTGTCAGAATTGCTTAATCCATCAATGGCAAGTCATTCATTTCCGCGAACACACGACCTCTGCTGTTGGAACGAACGTAAAGATAGATGTATACGAAGTACAGTTAGTTAGAGAGAAACTTTTTACTTGCAATCGACATGACAAATACCGGCATGTTGACATTGCCGTTGTGGCTCAAGAAACGTCGTAAAATATGACAAATAAATCCGATGGGAGCACAACCAAAACGGATTTAAAGCGTAAAAAACGGCTACGACAAAGCAGCGGCTCAAGCTCTTCAGTTCGACGTTGACAACAACATCGTCATCAAAAGGAGCCGGCATAATGCAGAGCAGATTCTCTTTATTCGAGGATTGGACAGTACGAGTATGTATCTATGTATATCTATATTATTTATCGATGTGAAGCTATGGGAGAAAGCAAAATGAATCGTGCATTAATGCAAATCTGTGTGAGAAAAAGGATTAAATCGTACATCTATTCACATTTACAAGTATGGAAGAGAAAAAAGTAAACTGCACGTCTATGCACATCTATGGAAGAGTGGAATAAATCGTACAACTATTTCCACAACATCAAACTCAGTCATGGTTTTATTGGCGATAAATGACCATAATTCAAGAATCAAGTATGATAATTATTCCAAACCAAGAATGAAGGGAAAGCGTAATGCTGAGAAACACGTTTTCAGTTTAGATTGAGTATAAGAATGCATAATGCCGAGGCATTAGTGATCTATGTGCCTAGAATACCGGGAGTCACAACGATGAGTGTTCCGATAAAATATATAAGTCGTACGCTACATGATCGCGGGCTAGCAAAGGATAGCTAAATATGTTCAGCGTTTCCCCTGTCAACAGAACGACGTTGACAGGGGAATCTCGTTTCTTCATGCCATAACAAAATTTAGAGTCGCCCCAGCTTCTGGTAATCCAAATCAGAAGCTGCCGCGTCTCTAAATTTTTACTGGGTGTCAATGCTAGAGGCTGCAGCGTCAACTTCCGAGCTGCGCAACCTCTGCATTGAACTTTAACCCAGTGAAAATTTACAGACGCGGCAGCTTCTGATTTTGGATACCAGAAGCTGGGGCGACTCTAAAATTTGTTAGGGATTGGGTGGTCCCTGGCGTAGCCATGAACCGTTCCTCCAAGATCCCTACTCCGACTCCAGCGATGAGGCACAGCCTCCGCCATGCTTTTTAAACATTTGGGAAGATTAATTAAGAAATTTTTTCTCTTTCGTCAAGAGAGCACAATTTTATTTAAGCAAGCCAACACAGTACTGTGGTATAATTTTTTTACAATTCACTCAGTCGAACACAGTCGCCCACACTGTTTCCACCAAGTATTTCCTATGTATAGCCATCACATTTGATAACATATTTGAATAAACGAAGAAGCGTTCTTTGCGCTAATTGCTGCAGAATACAAGTCAAAATACCATCAGTTTTTCTTAATGAGAATGAGAGCGTTCAATGCCACTGCGGAAGAAGTACTGCGCTGAACAGGAGGTCGTCTTTAGGCGTCGTAATGTCAGAGTTCGTGGCTACCTGAGCACGTCGCCAGCAGGTGTGCACGTCGCCAGCAGGTGTGCACGTCGCCAGCAGGTGTGCACGTCACCAGCAGGTGTGCACGTCGCCAGCAGGTGTGCACGTCGCCAGCAGGTGTGCACGTCGCCAGCAGGTATGCACGTCGCCAGCAGGTGTGCACGTCGCCGGCAGGTGTGCACGTCGCCAGCAGGTGTGCACGTCGCCAGCAGGTGTGCACGTCGCCAGNCTCGTTGACCTTTGGCAACGATTGAATTACTGACTCGCTCACACGCAAATTAGTAACGGGCATAAATCTCACATTGATCTATCACTGATCTGTGAATATTTATAAACATATGATAATTATTCGTTGATATCATATACATTTGTCAAAGTTTGAACGTCTGTAAACATATATGAAGCCTGACATCGTATTTAGTTAGTGCAGTTTGGTCTTACTTATTGCGTCGGTTCATTTATGCGAATACAATTTTACTTGTAGTGGTGGAATAATAGCCTAGGACATTGAAAAAGGAGGAGAACGTTCTATTTAAATTTTGAAAAATTATTTTCATTTCGGAGGAGTAAATTTATTTAAAAAATTCAAGTTTCCTTCAAACTTTTTAATGCTACGTGGATGGGAGCTCCGTACTGAACGTGGGTCTAAACGAATCTTTCTTTAATAAATTATCACACTCAAGTCCAAGTTATAGGATGGCAACTTGTCGCACTGAGAGGCTACAACTTGTCCCACTGAGAGGTCCCAACTTGTTCAACTGACAGGCAACAGCTTGTCCCACTGAGAGGTCCCAACTTGTTCAACTGACAGGCAACAGCTTGTCCCACTGAGAGGCCCCAACTTGTCCAACTGACAGGCAACAACTTATCCCACTGAGAGGCCCCAACTTGCCCCATTGAGAGGCTCCAACTTGTCCCACCGAGAAGCCCCAACTTGTCCCAACGAGAGGCCCCAACTTGTCCCATTGAGAGGCAACAACTCGTCCAACTGACAGGCAACAACTTGTCCAACTGACAGGCAACAATTTGTCCCACTGAGAGGCCCCAACTTGTCCCATTGAGAGGCCACAACTCTCGTCACTAAGAGGCCACAACAAAAAGCTAAAAATTCTCTCAACCAGAGACCCCAGAACTTGCTACTCCTCAGGCGTGACCGTTCGTTGTGGGCCACTAACCCACCGGCCCATGAACACATCCTAGACGCCATTGCGTCCGCACAGCACCAGATAATAAATGTATTTAGCGGCGCTGCTAATGCACCTAATTGTTCCCTCTACCTCCCCGTCCCCCATAAAACCCCCCTGCGCTCCCATTTGGATGGCAGCCAAACCAACGACTAAGAGATCCCTCGGCTTGAAAAATTCTACAAATTAGTATAAATATACGATGTGGGAAACTGTTCTTGTCGCATAGAAGCGTCTGATGCATTACTCAGTACGCTTTTGTTGATACATGTAGTCATGCAATCGTTGTATGCAATCATGCATGAATACATAGTGTTGAAGTCAGGCATGTAGTCATGCAATCGATGTATTCAGGACATTATTGTTGCTGCATTCACGCAGTTGATTATTCAGGACGCTTAAAATAACAATGATGTTTGCTAGCAGCAGGAGGCACACCACGTTCATCGCCATGGTTTAGCTCCCAGAAATCATCAAATGACGCACCGACTTCCATCAAATTTTGTCGGCCCTCATACAGTAAACAATTCATCATATGGCGCACCTTCTTTCATTCAACTCCTCATAACATCAAATACAAAAATCCAGACCAATTTCACTATGAAACATACTAGGGAATCTCAGAAAAATTGTAAATAACGGATTTGTGGCAAACTAGCTTGAGTTATTCAAATGACCAGTCGCGTCACCTCAAGAGTTCGGATTGTCTTCTCGTCAGGCCCAACAATGAAAAGAAATTGTAAGCTTCCCTGTTGGCTATCAAGCTAAGCTTCAGGCTGGACGGCGGTCGAAACACAATACAAATCACAACAGTGAAATATAATATACTTAAAGATAAACGGTTAACTATAAAATCAACAAATCAGAACGGGTAAACAACTTACACAACCAGCGCTTGTTCATTAGTAATTGAATGATCGCACCTAAGAGCAGTGGTATAGATGATGATTGCGACCATGGATAGACTAAAGTAAAGACTGACTCACAGCAACGACGTGACTAAAGACAAGTCATGAACCAACCAACCCCTGTCCCAACCATCCCCATGACTCTCAAGTGACTTACCGCCTTTATCATCATCGTCATCATCACCTTCATTCATCAGATCATTCTTCTCTAAGCAACACTAAAATGTATCTATGCAACAATAAAAATGTAAAAGCATAGTATTAATAACTCGCTGATGTATATTGTGTGAATAATGAATCACAATTCAGTCTTCACTCCCCCGATAAAACCATTCAAAGCCCTGA